TACATTAATATCTAGCTTCGAGGTTATTGATCTCTTGCTTTTGGATTTTCTCGTAAAAAGTTATAGCGTAAACTTATCGGTGTCAGTTTGAAAAAAAAGCAACCTTACCCAAACAACTTTTTGTTATTTAATAGATTACGCATTCTCTAAACAATGATTAGTATATCTATTAACATTAGAAGGAAATGTGACGAAAATCACACAATGTTGGGGTTTTGGTCATTTGTAATTTTATTTTTTAAGTAGGTAGGCCATGTATTCTATGGAAAAGTACCGGTATCAAGGATCGTCGTCAAAAAGGTTGTTATGAATAAATATGTAGGCTTACGTACCCAAGATATGAGCTATGGGCCTATTGGCTGTATGGTCCAGCGATTGCATCACACGGTGAGTAGAAACAGAAAGTGACACATTGGAAAAGCGAGTTTAGCACTTCCTCTGTTAAACCTCTGTTACAATCACCCACTGCAGTTGTGATTTTTTACTTTACACTTTACACAATCGCCATTGAAGCGCCGTCAATGAGTGGAAACCTTTTTTGTAAGCTATTGGCGACGATCATTTCAGTGTCACAGCCCTATACAACACTGATTCAAGGTCTTCTTCTTTCTGGTTGTCAAAACTCAAAACTAAAGAAACATTTTATACTCAAAGAATTTCTGGTTCCGATTTGGACGATGTCTAGTTATTTAATTTTATTTACGGTTACACTATTAGACTATATTATTGCACTTGCGATTAATTAAATCCGTTATGTAAGAAAAACGTTTTTAATCTCACTTGGTTGGGATTTGCTTTCAAAACGTGATTCGAAATAGTTGCGGTATTTGTAAACAGCATTTGTAAACATGTCATTGACAGCTAGAAAAAATAATCTTGATCCGAACAGCTGTTCGTTATTTCATAGACGATTCTGTGATAAAAATTGAACGAAAATGTGACAAAAATCGCACAAAACTGCATTTTTGAACGTCCATAATTTTATTTACAAAGTAGTGAGGCTATATTTAAATCACTAAAGACACTCTCGCCAATCCAGTGAATACATTAAAATGGCTTGGATCTTGATATGTACTCTGGTTTTCACGGAGAAGATTGCGTAAAATGCCATCTTGAGTGTTACAGACAAAGGGACAGACAGACAGACAGAAATTGAGATAAGACTCGTTTCTGCTTCTTTAATGTATAAAACGTAAAAATAACCTAAAAGTATATAACTCTGAGCAATGTGCAGACAAAACTCTAATTTTATTTATATAGATAATATAATAATAATAAATAATAATAAATATCCTACTAATATTATTAATGAGAAAGTTTGGATGTATGGATGGATGTATGGATGTATGTTTGTGACAAGTGAACGCGAAAAATACTGGTCGGATTGGGCTGAAATTTGGCATGATGATAGCTCACATTCCCGATTAACATATAGGCGTATTATTATTTCAAAAATCCTTTTGGGCTCCGCCCCAGTGGCTCTGGAGTTTCCCATGTTAACCTTATGAGAAATGGAATTATTGAATCTTAACAGCTGTTTCAATTAAACAAGTTGGTTCTGTTCTATGATGTTCAATAGCATTAAAGTTACAAGGATTACCAACAGGATGCAGCACTATTATTTCTTTTACATTTATGACAACAGCTAATTTGCAACCAAAAGGTGAGTGAGCGTAGCGAACGAGCTCCAACCTAAAGGTGAGTGAGCGTAGCGAACAAACTTCAACCAGGACGTGATTGAGCCATGCGAACGAGATAATCTTGAAAATTAAGAAGTTAAACGGGGCAAAGCCCGCGGGTTACAGCTAGTGTGTTATATTTATGACAGGTTAAGTGTAAGAAAGGGCCATGTGGCCCTAACTTTTGCCTGTATCTTACTAATATTATAAATGTGAAAGTTTGTGTGTTTGTTTGTTTGTTTATTTATTTGTTTGTTTGAAGTTCAATCACGCATAAACTTCTGGACGGATTGGGCTGAAATTTGGCATGATGATAGCTCACATTTCTGATTAACATATAGGCATATTCTTATCTCAAAAATCCTTTTGGGCTCCTCCCCAGTGGCTCTGTAGTTCCCCATGTTAACCTTATGAGTATTCATAATTACAGAGGATTAAAGAATTTAGTCAGCTGTTTTAACTAAAAAAGTTGGTTCTATGATATGCAAAAACATTAAAAAATATAAGATTTACCAACAGGGTGCAGCACTAGGCTATAATTCATTTTGCTTAATATGAAAAAAGCTAATTTGAACCATTGGCTTTTTGAACCAAACATCAAGAAAAAACTGTGATATGCAATGAGAACTGTCAAAGTGGGACTGTTTACAGTTATATTTATGTTTATGTTTTTAATTTCATGAATATTTTGTGATATTTTGCAAATTGTTAATAATTTATCTGTCTTTGTTGTTTAGTTGAAGTGGTAGAACATTATGGCCATGGTAGGTGTGTAATACTATAGAATACCGTAAATTTTATTATAGTAAACAATTGTCTTCAAATGTGTCCTGTCCCATTGCAAATGCAAAGCTTGAGTATAACTGCAATAAGCATTTTATACTTATATGCCAACCCCGTACGAAGGACGGGTACTCTGCTAGTAAATAATAATATTTCATTTCATTTCATTTCAAATAACTATTTCATCACTGATCTGACACTTATTTAAATTTTGTTTATTTAGGAGATAGGCCTACTATTTTTGTATAAAATACATTATATAATTATATTAGCCTATCTTTATATTATACATTATATTTTACTATAATTGGTCCAAACGACTTCTGTGATCAGGGCAAAAAAGAATAATATTGTCCTCGGCGAAGACAAAATCGTGAGCGTCCGTGTTTGTGGGGTAATCTCCGTCTCCCGCGGTCGCGCGGGTTATCTCCGAGACCGCGGAGCAATCGTAAACATGTCCTATGTTTACGGTGGAATAGTGAACATCTTTTGCGGACGCAGGGATATATTCTACATGCCGAAATCGTTAACATTCAATTGTCAACATTATCGTCCCCCCGCAATCGCGGCGAAATCGTGAACACGGAACATATTTGCGGTTGGAAGACCTTATTATCGCCACCCGCGATCGCTGGGAGTCGTTATTTTCGATCGCACAATCTTTGCGGACGCTTCCGGTGATTGTGAGAACAGATTATTATATTCAACATCAAAATTTATTTTCCAATTTTTGAGACCCAAGTAAGGCCCCTTCCTAGGCCAAGAGGCCCTCGGCAATGGCCGTGTTCGAAGTTAGGGGAATACGGCCCTGATTTGGAGGCCTATGTTGGTGTGGGGCCTGGGGCAGACCGCCCCCGCCGCCCCCCCGTCGGTACGCCACTGACTATTGATACAACTAAACATTCCATCCCCATGTAAAAGTTGTCACCATGTAAATCAAAATTATTTAATTGATGCGAGCCACTGACAGGATGTGCTAATCTAAATTAATTATTTCTGTTGGATAAAAAACATATTTACCAAGTCAAACTAATGGAATGGCTTATTGTGAGCTATAGCAACTGTAAGCCCACCTAATGAACATAGTCAGCAATAAAAATAAGGTAGATAAGATAATATAATTTTGGACACTAGCACACTGTGACTTGCTCACACAACTTTGATCTTTTGTCATAAAAAAAAAAAACAAGTGACAGCTGGTCCCATAGATGATCTGTCCACTTTAGTATCCAATAGTCAATGCTAGAACTGTTCGTAAATTACAGTCTACATCAAACTCCTGTTAAGGCCCACTGAACCAGTCCAAATCTAATAATAGTGTGTTTTCTATTTCATACACTGCTATTTCCACCTCCATGCGACAATTGGTCTCGTATGCCTATTAGCATTGACTATTGGATACTTAAGTAGACATTCCATCTATAAGGACCAGATGTCACCTATTTTTTATTTAAAAAAGAACATAGTTGTTTCAGCCAGACATAGAATGTGCTAGTGTCTAAAATTCAATTTTCTACTTTATATTTTGTTGCTGACATGATTGATGGGCCCAGTTCATATAACTCACAAAAAGTTTGACATGGTACAATAGTTCTTGTATTCAACAGAAATTAGTAATTTAGATCAGCACAATCTGTCGGTGGCTCACATCAACTACGATTTTGATAAAAACAATCAACAACTTTAACATGGGGATAGAATGTCTTGTTGTATCAATAGTCAAAGCTATTAGTCAAAAACAATGTGAGAAAAAATCAATGTTCAGCCAAGTATGAATAGTAATTTGTGATTAAGTTTCTGCAGAAAGAGGTCAACCTCATTTTGAAATTCGTTAACAGTTTTATCTGATGGTATGCAGAAAAATGAACATAAGTGGCTTAGGAAGTTTGCAGAAGCCCATTCATATTAGCATGAAGCCAGTGAAGAAAGTTTAGTTTATTTTGAGACAGTGACTGAGAAGAATTAGTAACTTGGTTTGCTGGTTGGGGTAATTAAGATAACCAGGGCTTGATGCTGTCCTTAGTAGTCTTATAGAGACAGTCCAAATTAGTTCATCAATCTCTCACTCAGTCATTCTGCCATCGTTTTATGAAAAAAATACACTAACTTTGCTGGCTGCCTCTAACTATACTGAACTGATGAATGACAGCATCCGGCCTTCACCAGACTAAACATTTTAAGCATCTTACAAATATTTACTACCTTCACTACTTAAACCCACTTTCTACCTACAAATACTTTATTATTCCACCCATGTCAGTCAACTGACAATAGACTTTGATAACGGTTGACTCCTTAGACCACATCTAATATAAGAATATGATTAATACTTGGTGTGAGCGTTGATTTTCCTACATATCATTTTTGGCTACTATGGCAGTAATCGTCATATAGAATTGGCAACTAGCTAGGATAGTAATGAAATAACATGAAAATTAATTATTGCAACAGGCAAAGTAACCGTCAATAGATAGTAGTGGATGACAGCACTGGTAACGAGTTTTGGTGTGTTCAACCAAGTAGTAGACCTTGACTTACACTCGAGGATCTGACCCTTCAAAGCCAGAAGAGTTGAGAAATGAAGCTGTGACAGCATCTGGCACCTGAAATCATCATTAACTACATGAGAAAAAATTTTAAGCTAGGACAAAAAGTTAAAGTAATATCTAACAGGAAAAGGACACATCCTCAAGACATGAGTTTAAAGTGAAATAACTGAATTGAAAAATTGTTGTCACATAAAAATGTGTATTATTTCATTATTTGTTTGTTTTATCTTAAAGCTGAAAATTCTATTCTGTGTTTTGACACATTATCTCCAGGCCCGTATTCAGACCGGTTTTCTGGACAATTTTACCGGGGCCTGGGACCCCTCACCAAACACATACTTCTAGGAGAGGGGCCCGACCTAATATCTTTACCGGGGCCTGCCAAAGCTGGGTACGACCCTGATTATCCGACCAATTACTGTGGATGTGTAAACTGTGTAGCTCACTGGAAACAAAGGACTCAATACAGTATCACTTCATTTAAAAGCCACAAAAGATCTGCACATTTAATTGGGAGTTTAGCTTTTGGTGTGGGCGTGCTAAAGATCTTTTGTATTTTGTGTACTAGATGGGGACCAGAAGAGTCTCTTCGTATAAGGTACTCTCGATTCTGATCGAACTATGAGGTAAATAAATGGAGCTTATTGTCTTTAACATATAGACAATTCAATTTTAAAACCAGGATACAATGGCCAATACTGTCAAAGGCCTTAGACATAACATAGAACTCATCGTGGTCTTCTATGCTCCAACTTAGGCCTATTTTGGATAGGATAAATACTGTTTAATTCAATAGATAGATTTGTGTATTGTGTCGTCTTAGGTTTTGAATCACCACACATTAACTGTTGAGGCAAATTAATTAATCAGCCTATATAATCAGAAAGATCAATTCTGGCACTGTAATGGATTTATAAACTTTATATGTCTATAATCCAAGTACCATCATTGAACTAGTCGTATTTTATCGTGCTGTTACATTGCCATTATTCTGCTTGATACTCACTGTAGGTACGTAATCCTCCAGTTGCTGCAGGAAGTCAGACAGATTTAGCGGAGTAGAGCTGCCATCACTGTCCGAAGGAGACTGATACCCAGCAATGTTGGGCTTGATATCGGCATTAGAATTCATATTGGGATTCATATCTGAAAAAGTCAGATCCATTGACATTACTAATACACTTTTTAGGTTAAACTGACGTACCACACAAAGAACAGGGCTGGATACATATAAGATGGCGGAATTAATCGTAAGGCTCACTGATGCAGCATTTCACCTGAAGCAAGTATTGCAAGGCAAAATGTTTTTTTGGGTATGAGCACTGTGCATGTATTTCAATGGGAGCCCCAACACTCGTCACGCAAACGTTGGGAGGCACCTCACAACGCCTTGAAACATTTGAGCAGCCGCTAGACGAATGGTTCCGATACAGCGCGATGCTTGATGTTTCAAGGAGAAAAATGGTCTGTGCATGTGCCAAATTCCTTCTAATTAATCACAGCTTAATAATTCAAATAATATGATGTTCTGTTGTTTGAAAAAATGCTACGTCATACTTGAACCTTCCCCACACTGGAGGAGCAAAGAAGCAAAACGCTTGAAGCAATGTTGTACAATATTTTGCTTAAGGGGGAAATGCCGGATCAGTGTACGCCCATCCTAAGGTTTTAAAAATTAATTAGACTTAGTTATTTACTTTATACACAGATGTGTATATTGAGTCTGTAACCTAGTTGTCCCACAACACCGATGACACATACGCTGTCTTAACGGCGAGGACTCTAAGAGTTGGCCCAAATGTGCTTCGATCAAGTGATGACCAGGGCCAATTGAGGGATGACAAGCTGACTTGAACTGGTGGTCTTCAAAATCTACTAGGTCATTATTCTCACTCAAAACAGTCAAAACGTCTCCACATTGATCCTTATGGAATGTCGGGGAAGTCGAGGTTTGGACAAAGGCAGCAGCAAGGGGCTTTACGCTCTAATGTCAATCAGCTATTGGAAGCATATCCAGGCGGTATACAAGGCCTTGAAGGTGGTCAGTCCTCTCAGCAATGCAAAGTTTGTGTAATTTGAAACTTAGGTGGCCCTAGATTGAACAATACATGCTTCAGCATGTCCACTGTAAACTCCATCCTTCTGTACAGCTCAGAAGTCTGAGCAGGTACTATGAGGCGAAATGATACGACAAGCGCAGTCTTGCCATTCAGTGAACCCCCACTTTAAGGTTTGCCTGCACTTGCCAAACTGTGTCCGTTTAGCAGTGTGTAGTGGCTGGGGTAATTCCTCTGAACGTGTTCTCCGTGCTTGATCACCTTATTGTAATCTGGCTTCTTGGATCAAAAACACTCACAGGACAGTCAACATTCCACAGCTGTGTTCTGCAGCTACCACATTAGTTGGACCAGCTGAGATCGCAGCAAATACGACATAGCTTCTTACACGCCGGCGAGTAGCGTGTAAACTCGCCCCGTGTGAACGAGGCTTATCATAATTTAGTGGTGTGTAAAGAAGATTCTAGTATTGAATGTTAATGAGAAAATTTATTGATACGGTAACAGCTTAAAATAGAATAATTATACTAACTTTAAGTCATTCAATTGGTTTATAGCTTTGGTTTCTACCATTTTCTACTAATTTTATACATGATAGGCTAGCCTACATGAATTAAATAGGTATGTGAAAATCTTCTGAAAATTGACTGTAAAAAACTACAGAAACAAATACAGTAATCATAACAGGAAACAAGGGAATATCAAGTAAAAACACATATTTCAAACAACACAATTTATTAAGTTGAATCCAAAACTAAAATACAGGATTATGAAATCACTCAAACATAAATAACACTTTTATAATGTTAGAAAGAGTAGCTTTTATTTTTACTTCCATTCTTTGGCTGTAAAATAATCACTTCCTGTAATGAATTAACTAGTTCTGCTCATTGTCTTCGAAAAATAAAAACTACATTTAAGGAAAGAAGATGGAAGATTCTTTTAAAATACCTAGTACCTGTATTGCAATTTGAATGTATGCTAGTAGCTATGCCTAACTTCTCTATTCATGATGTAGTTACGTAAATCTAAACCAGTCTTTCTACCAACTAAATTAGGTACTACTTTTTCTAAGTTTCTGCTATCATAATACTGACAAAATATCAAAGGATAATGTGACTAGAATTGAATTACAAAAATGTGTACATTTACAATATGTGCTCTCTACACAGCAGTCTTACATTGTCAAAGCCATAACTTTTGTTTCAAACTACTTTAAATTTATTCAGTACGCCAAATAAAATTTATCTGGTTTGCAGACAATTTATTGACCTGCATCAAAAAAAAGAATTTGGACATTTACTAGGCAAATACCAAATTCAATTTGTGCAAAAGGACTTGGTTATTGGAAAAATCTACATTCTGAACAACATCCAACAATATTTGGCATTCCGAGTAAACTAATGTACATACAAACATGAAATGTTATTAGCCTACTTGAAACACAAGTATGTCTACTCACTCTTAGTTCTTAATATATCATTAATGAAAAACAACAAAAATTATATATTCAAATAATATATCCATAACAAGAATATACCTCTACTACAATTAATTAACAATTAAATTGAGTTAATTGACTTGTTTTCACAAACAAAGGGTATTATGTGCTTACATCAAACAACATGGAAATATAACACGTAAAACAAAATTATATTTAACAAACATGAAGAGTGGTTTGTAGTCAAGTAAATCTTTGCTAAGGCCAAAATAAAACGAAAATGCTTCACAAGTGCTACCGGTACATGCAAGTATCAGCACAAAAATCGTTCAAACGATGCTGATTTAAAATGCTAGATTAAAGAGCTATCTGCAATCTTACTAGGCTTTATAGACAAGTTTTTAGCTGCGAAAATATCATCTCCTGATGCAAATAAATTAAATTAGTATGTTGAATTTGCTCCCCTTAAGAGTAAGTTATGGACTTATTCGTCTAGCCCTAGACAATTGAAATGCCGTGCTAACCTGAGATTGTATATAACATATAGCTGTATGTTGTAGATGGATGGGGATGTACAATGTAGTCAAATCGATTAAATTTGTATGATTCATTTAACACATACCATACCGTACCGGAATAATGAATTTTGCCCTTCTTATCAGGCTAAACAAGTTTGTAGACTGTACAAAAAAGTATAGTAATTTAACACTCATAAAACTGGCACAAAGTTTTTTGACTAAGCTCTGAAGACAATAATGCATAACTAAAACTTGTTTGTACCTTTGTTAACATAAATATTATTGTATGCAAGAGAATTGTAGGCCTAATTTTTCTGAGATTACAGCTGCCATTTTATTTGGCTGTCTATCTCTAAATATCCATTTTATTTAGAATTGTACTCAAATGGCACACTAGCACTGGACGCTAAATATAGTTTAAAGTGAACAGGCAGTATAGGTAAACTACAATTTTCAATATATCTCAGATCACTAAGGGAGTCTTTGTTGTAATTGATCAAGAATATAAAAACTCGCTGACACTTTACTATTACACCATAACCAATTGAACTGGTTGATCAAGTTAATTTATAGCAAACATTTTGTTATAATGGATTGTTTTTTAACAAACATAATCTATGGCTCCAATTTACAAAACAACGACTTGAACAACCTAAACCTCATTACACTTCCGTCCTACTCTAGCAATACTTTGGTAGCAGTTGCAGGTACAGAGAAGGAATACTTGGGAGGTTTTCCGCTGGATTCCTTCAACAACTGTTGTTGTCTGGGGGACAGCTTCAGAGTGCCTGGGTGGTCAGTGTCGAGCCAGTGAAGGAGAATCTCTGTGTCCGACGGACAACTAGACACAAACGAAGGCTCGTTGTAAGCGGAGTGTAAGTACCTCCAGAGGTGGGTCAAACTGCGAGGAATCTCATAGCCTGGGGACAACATAATATTATTACAATATAGTACAACATAGTATTATTACAATGTATACCTTGTAAAAAAATTGACTTTCCGTCAATAAATAAATAAATAAACAACAGACAACACATGTTACTGATGAAAAAAATCCTTAGGTAAGTCAAAATATCCAAAAATCTCCAATAAGCCTAGCTATATAGTTTTCTTTATGATAATCATTTAATATTGTGCAAGCGGAACTTGAATTATTTAGTTAAAATCCATGTTTTAGCCCCTGAGCTGTATAATAACTAAGAATAGGCTTTACCTTCGTCAGTGCAGCTCAAATTCTTGTGGTGTAACTACGTTACGGCCGTTTCGGCATTACAATGCCATCGTCAGACTACAAAAACAAAAACTCGGCTGAAGTAGCATCGTTGAAGTTTAAACACGTAACACATACAAACAATACGATACATTTAAAATATTTACAAAAACCGAACAGGCCTGTCGTACTAACAGGTGACATGTTCCCGTTCCGAGCAAAAACCGACTGGAAGATTTTTATGTCGAGCCAGGTGTGGTGGCGTTATCAGTTGAACTTTTTACTCCTGGCTTCTTGTTCCTTTTCTGATTTAAAATGCTTTTGAATATGAAGTGTGACTTGTACTGTAGTTTGTCGTTTAAAATTATAACCCGTTAGTACAACAGGCCTGTTCGGTTTTTGTAAATATTTTAAATGTATCGTATTGTTCGTATGTGTTACGTGTTTAAACTTCAACGACGCTACTTCAGCCGAGTTTTTGTTTTTGTAGTCTGATGGCATTGTAATGCCGAAACGACCGTAACGTAGTTACACCACAAGTATTTGAGCTGCAGTGACGAAGGTAAAGCCTATTTTTACTTGGATTATTATTTGAATTTTAATGCTAAATGTATTTTTATGACATTGTAGTTCAAATGTTTCAATAAGAAAAAATATAAAAAAAAACCCTTGTGTTACTGATTAACAAGAAACTTTATTAAGAAAAGTGAAATTAGCTTTACACATCTAAGTTATTTTAGAAAAGGTTTAAAAGAACAATAGAAAAGATTGAAATGTGAATTAATAACCTAGGCCTAGATATTAGGTGTGCCAAGCTACATAAAACTAATCCCTTCCCCGTCTCATATTACCAAAGTTATATCTTGGTTTTAGTTCCATCTGAATTAATAACAGCTATGAGGTGTGCCAAGTTACACAAACCTAATGCTTTCCGGTCTCATATTACCATTTCTTTTCTTTAGTACCCCTAATTCACTAACGGTTATGTTAGGTCAGGTCTGGTCTTAGGTTAAGCTAAATGGGATACAAAATTGCAAAATTTAAAATAGTGGTGAATAACAGAGTTAAAAAAAGAATATGTGTGTTTTAACAGAAAAGAATCAATAGACATGTAGGTATCAAATGTTACCTTTGACACCCTCAGCTGCTACCCGCACCTGATGTAGCTTGGGCAAAACCTCACAGTCAAGGAGCGCCGGGCGATCTCCGCAAAGAAACAACCATTCAGCCTCAGGACACAGCTCATTGATCGAGCCTAGGTGTGCATCCACCAGCTTCAGCTCTGTCTCTAGCTGACAAGTGTCCTTGGCAACCCCTCGCATCCAGTAGCAGAACTTGGAGAAAAAGTTCCTACAATTTAAACGGCATTTATAAGTGCCTCCAAACTAATTTTTAATTTTGATATCTTACTTTATAGTTTTTACCTCCTGAATCCAAACATAGGTACCATTATTTTTCACCGCTGATGAATATTCCTCAAGATATCGCCGTAAAAATATACAACACTACAATAAACAAGGTAGGACGTGTGACATTTACAAGTGGAATGAACTGTGGGTTAACTAAGCCTACAGCTGATTGTTTTCAACCACACGACAAACAACTGGAAGTAACAACTTTTAAACTTTCTTAACTCACTCTGGCCATAGGCCTAGTGAAGTCACTTTACTTCACTTCAACTAGAACACAAAACAAGAATACTCATACTGTGCTGCCTAGTCCTAGTCTGCTACGCCGTCACAAGCTAAGTGAAGAGAGTAACATGGTTGATGAGAAGAATAACATCTTTGATGAAACAGCATCATTTAATATAGAAACATTTCAAATGATTCCGTAGTCAATAATGTTTTCTATAAAAGGAATTTTGTCACATTATGGAGATATAGATGGGTTGGTGGACTAATTACATGTAGTTCTTATTAAGAGTTAGGCATGTCAGGGTGGTAAACTTAGGTCGTGCTTTATGTGAATTCGTGACTGCATTAAGTGTTTTTAAGTTAGGTTAGATTAGGAAGGTAAAGTTTAGGTTAGGCGAGAGGAGGTTTAGGTTAGGAGGTAGAGGATGAATCGAGATGTAAGTTGATGTCACCTGCAGACTGGTTTTGTAAAATTAAAATCCTGAGAAAAACACTTCAAATTACTATTTCAAAAATGCTTGCTTGAGAAATATTCATCAGCGGTAAAAAATAATAGTATATTTGGATTCAGGAGGTAAAAAAATATAAAGTTAGACATCAAAATTAAAAATTCGTTTGGAGGCACCTATACTAAAAAATTACAAACAAAAAATAATATAAGAACTGAACGGAATCTACTTTTTAAAATGTAAAGCCTCAAACCAATATTTTCTATTAGCCTAGTATGACTTTTTTATAGGCTAAGCTTAGGTTAATTTAGGCCTTTGAATCCAATTTCCTAGCTTGAGTTTATGTACTGTAAATAAATGGTACAGTACCTATCAGAAACCTGACATATATACTTTATCCTATTAGCTTGCCAACAACTATTATCATGGGTGGGAGTAACTTTGACATTTTATAGGGAAAATCACAAAAGTTGCAATAACTATCGAAGCCTAATTTTTACATCAATGGGGGTTGCACAATTTTGTTCACAATTTGAAGGACTATAACATAAACTAAATTGTTATTAAAAATTGTTCGTGCTCGATATATCAATATTTTTGTTTTCCTTTACGATCCATATTCCTTCAGTTTTAATATCTTCAAACGCATTTAAATTAAAAATTTACAACTGATCTTGTTTAGGCTAAAGTATATAAGTACCGGTATATGAAAGTGAAACTGTCCTAACTTAAGCCAACCTAACGTAACTAACCAAACTTGCTGTACCATTTCAAAATTCCGTTTGATTACAGAAAAAATAAAAGTGAAGATTATCAAACAGAATTTTTAAATGTTACAGCAAGTTTGGTTAGTTATGTTAGGTTGGTTTAGAACAGTTTCATTTCAATATAATTTGTTAAAATTACTGTTTGTTGATACTTAACATTAGCCTATATATAGATCGTAGTTGTCAGCTGAGTTTCAATTCGTTAATATCGATATATCGATAATAATGAATGTTCCCTTTAACATGAAAGTACCGAGATAAATAGCTAAAGCTATTATAGGTAGGCCTAAGCTACATGACATATTTTTAACTTACCTTGTGGCATTCTCGGCTTCTGTGTCTAATTCATTCTTGAGTATTCCTCCTTGATATCGTGAGTCGAGTTCAACTATTATGTCATCAGCAATGTCTATAGCATCAAAGTCTTGACCACGGATGTCAAGATATAAGGCTGGCACTCGTAAATGTAAACCAAGTTCTTTGAAAGCTTTTGGGGGCTTAGAAATATTAACTGGTGTTTTTTCAAACAGAGGCATTACTCCCGCTTTAGCCTTTAACTCAGCAAACATCAAAACGCGCTGACTTTGATAGCAAGCCCCCAAACATTCATTGTCATAGCCCGCTTTAAAAAATATTTTTATGGATTTTGTGTCCTTGTCAGTCATCATTGTTGGTTGTAGGCCTATCATTACATTATAGGTTACCTATGTCAAGCTCAAATTAGGTACTTTATAGTTGTTTAAGTAGGCCTACATAAACTTAAATAATGTGAATCCAACAAAACGTTTTACACTTGGATCTCCAACAAACTCATTCTATGTTTATATATTCATGAAAATCTAAGGACGTTTCACTATTGAAAATGTTAAAAATGTAAACCAAGATTTTGAATAAAATTCAGATGGCTAAATTTCAAGTTTGTAAGGCCAAGGTGTTCACTGTGAAAAACTCTTGAAGAGAGGCTGCTCGCAAAGGCAAAATAATATAACTAGTTAGGCTAGGCCTACATATTTTCAGACGATAGGATTCAATTCTATTTTTAAATCAAAACAGACAATCTAAATATAGTTTTTTAAGTTGCAAGAAAAGTGAGGTTAAGTATTCATTCACACAATTTCTCTAAAATTAGGAGGACATTCATTAAAAACATAGTATTCTAATGTAAGGTTTAAGAATAGGAATAGCTTACCTCGGTAAAAATGATACCTTAAACACAGATTACTAGAGCGTGAAACACACAAAACAAACACATACACAACTCAACTCGTCAACTGACACTTTCTAGAACAAGAAGAACTAGAACGCTAGAACTGACCTGTCAGCTGTCTCTGTCACGCTACACACACACACCAGCCAGGGCTAAGAAATAAAGACTGAGACTTCAGAGCAATGGATAGGATAGTAAACAAAAGAAACAGGAAGGGGGGAATAGAAGAATGAAGATAATAAGAGAGTTGGCAGAGTCGCCACAGTCATATACACTTGGAAGATAACAACAAGAACAAAATGAAGATCATAAAGTTTCAGGAAGTTATTTGGTAGCTTTTTTTATCAGTTTTTCAATCAACATGTTGAATGATGTATTTGAGATGACTGAATTATGACCAATTTTAAAATATCCATCCAATTGATTCGTTGTCAAATTTTTCTTTTACCAGGAATGTACAAAGCAATATTTAAGTTAGGGTAGTTAAAATAAAATAAAATAATTAGCTATTATATAATTATCATCATGATTAAAGCCACTCAGATTACTTGGTAACTTCCATTGAATAAAATATCAACCATATATGCTGTAGAACTACACATTCACTTCACCTATCCATCAATTTCTATTCAATATCTAACTATATAAATATTTTTTTCTTTTCTATAAGAAGATATGTTACATATAAACTTATTAATTTATTTATCACTAAAGCACCATCATTGTGGGACACATGTAAAAACAATAATACACTGAAACCATACATGCATTTGCAGCACAATAAAAATGGCAATTAACATTAAAATAAACAACCTTGGTAGTTGGCAGTTGGCACTGTGCTCACTCATCCTTGGCCTTAATGGCATGGGAGGAGAATTAAAGCATACAAAAGTCCCCTTTACTTTCCCATAGTTCAATAAGTTATTTTTTCATTATGTTTATTTTATTCAAGATCGGCCACTCATCCTATACCAGTAGCCTACTCATCTCCATTCTACCATTCATACTTGGCTTTAAATACCTGTTCGTATGGTCGCCATTTCAATGAAAAGTGAAAAGTATTAACCCAAGTAGCACACATATTGTTGGTGCAATGTTGGGAAATAGTCTACACGGTTGGGAAATGGTTGGCAAAAATTTTAACGCCTTGCTAACGATGGCCCAACAGAAACTTGTATTCCTTGGCCCTACAAAATGAAAGAATCATTGGGCCTTTGTTGGATTTATTTAAGTATAAAACATTCTAAAAAAATAATATATTTATAAGAACATAGCTATGACATCAGGATATAAGATGATTTGGAGAAAAATAGATCTATAATAAATGTAGCCAGATGATGTTGTAATTGTTGTGATACTAAAATACCCCCGCTGCAGCAAACCTGCCGACTAAGCAAATTTCCATTTGCCTGGATTGATTTTCAATCAATCTATTAAATTAACATTTTATGTTTAGTACCTAGGTTAGCTGCTACATGGAAACTAATGAAGTATGTTTTTTTTATTAAAATATCAATAGCATAGTATGAAATAAACAAATCTGCCAAGTTTGATCAAAATATATCTATAAACAAGCCAACTACAACATTTTACAATATACTCCATAAGAATAACATGGGAATTTTAAATTAAATTTTTTTTTAATTTTCTCTGTAACCAATCACAGAACAAAAACACTTTGATAATATACTAAATTATTTGTTTTTTAAAGCTCTTTAAAAAGGTCTGGAGAATAATTGATAAATTTTGTGTTTTAAGGATAAATAATGAGGAAAACACATTTTTACCCCATAACCCATTAATCGGTCACAGGCCTAGGTCTTACCATGAGACCTACGGTAATAGCTACTTCCCTATAGGGAAATTCGCTAAAATAATCCGATTTCGATGAAATTTTGTACAAATGTGTAAACCTGCCTTTATTCGATCGAGTTTGCAAACCAGCATGATCAGACCATGGTTTTAACAGGGTTTTACGTTGGGTTTTATGGAGTAAAATTAGACTTTTCTCATTTTTGACATTCAAAACATAAAATTCATCATTTTAAAGATCTTAAAACACAAATAATTTAGAATATTGAAGTGTTTTTGTATGTTTATTGGTTACAGAGAAAATTAAGAAAATTGTAAATTTAAAATTCCCATGTTATTCTTAAGGAGAATAAGTAAACTGTTGTATTTTGCTTGTTTATGGATATTATTTTGATTTAACTTGGAAAATCTATTTATTTTACACTCAGCTATTAATGTTTTGCTAAAAACACACTTTATAACCCTCCCTGAAGCAGCAAACCTAGGTACTCGGTACTCGTTAAACCTTTTGAAATAGATTTAATTGAAATTCAAATCAGGCATATGGGAATTCGCTTAATCCGCGGGCGGGGTATTTTGGACAACTTATGGTGAAATCAAAAAAACCAGCCTGTTTTTGGAGTTTACAAAAGCTGTGTTATCAACAAACAATTTTTGGAACTCCAGTGTAAACTCTGATTAGTTATCTAGTGGATATTTAAAATGGCAGCAAACCTGCAGACTAAACAAATTTCCATTTTTTGCCTTATTATGCCTTCAATAATATATCTCCTTAAAAATGTCATATTCAATCCGTATTTAAACTAGGTGGCGTTCGCAGAGGCATCCACAAAATTGAGCGGAGTCATCAAGGGTTCATATTATATTGTTTTTGTCATACTGCAGTAAAAACAGTCGTCATTGGTGCATGCTTTGCGGGTCTAAAGTAGCATTTTTACTCTTTAGGGAATAAAATTCGTTTTTAGCCTCTATGGAGTAAAACTCAGCTGTTGTCAACTCAGTTGTAAATTTCTATTGTAAACTATTGAATACGTATCGAAATATGTAACGATTCGTGCTTCATAATCATTTTAACCTACAGTCTACAGTCTCATCCCATAGCATTTTAGCATTGCAGATACATTAATCCATTCCCACACTCAACACTGCCCACCTGTGGACCTGTTTCCCTCTCTTCCCATAGCATTTTAGGATTGCAGATACATTAATGTAATTGCTAAATACACTTCCCACACTCTGCACTGCAAGCCTTACTACTTCCTTCACCATTTCCTACGTCATAGACCTGTTTCCATCCCTTCTCATAGCATTTAAGTATTAGATACATTTATCTAACTGCCCAAACGGTTCCCTCACTCTGCACTGCCAGCTTTTACTACTTCCTTCACTACTTCCTACGTCGTGGGGCCTGTTTCCTTCCCTTCTCATAGCATTTTAGGATTGAAGATACATTAGTCTAACTGCCACAGACGGTTCTCACAATATGTTCATACTTTACTACTTCCTAAGCCACTTCCTACATCGTGGACCTGTTTTCATCACTTTCCATAGCATTTTAGTATTTTAGATACGTTAATCTAATTGCCACAAACATTGCCCACATTCCGCACTGCTAGCCTTTACTACTTCTTTCACCATTTTCTATGTCGTGGCCATGCTTCCATCCCTTCTCATAGCATTTCAGCATTGCAGATACATTAATCTAACTGCTACAAACGGTTTCCAGTTCCCAAACTCCGAACTGCTCACGCTCACCTTACTACTTCCTTCACCTCTTCTTACGCCGCAGACCTGTTTCCCTCTCTTCCCATAGAATTTTAAGATTGTAGATACCAAGATACCTTAATCTAATCGTCATAAACAGTTCCCACACTCAGAAAAACTCGCCTTTACTGATTCCTTCATCACTTCCTACGCCACGGACCTGTTTACCTTCCTTCCCTTAGCATTATTAGAATGCAAATACCTTAATCTATTGGTCATAAAGAGATCCCACACTCCGGACACCTCGCCTTGACTACTTCCTTCACCACTTCGTACATCGCGGACCTGTTTTCTCCCGTCCCAAAGCATTTTAGGAATTTTGATACCATAATCTAATAGTCATAAACAGTTTCCACACTCCAGACCTGCCTTGACTATTTCCTTCACCACTTCCTACATCGCTGACCTGTTTTCCTCCCTTCCCATAGCATTTTAGGATTGCAAATACCTTAATCTAATGGTCATAAACAGATCCCATACCCCGAACAGCTCGCCTTTACTACTTCCTTCACCACTTCCTACGTCGTGGACCTGTTTCCTTCCCTTCCAATAGCATTTTAGGATTGCAGATACCTCAATCTAATTGTCATAAACAGTTCCCACACTCCGGACAGCTCGCCTTGACTACTTCCTTCACCACTTCGTACATCGCGGACCTGTTTTCTTCCCGTCCCATAGCATTTTAGGATTGTAGATACCATAATCTAATGGTCATAAACAGTTTCCACACTCCAGACAGCTCGCATTGACTATTTCCTTCACCACTTCCTACGTCGCGGACCTGTTTTCCTCCCTTCCCATAGCATTTTAGGATTGCAAAACCCTTAATCTAATGGTCATAAACAGATCCCATACCCCGAACAGCTCGCCTTTACTACTTCCTTCGCCACTTCCTACGTCGCGGACCTGTTTCCTTCCCTTCCAATAGCATTTTAGGATGCAGATACCTTAATCTAATTGTCATAAACAGTTCCCACACTCCGGACAGCTCGCCTTGACTACTTCCTTCACCACTTCGTACATCGCGGACCTGTTTTCCTCCCGTCCCATAGCATTTTAGGATTGTAGATACCATAATCTAATGGTCATAAACAGTTTCCACACTCCAGACAGCTCGCATTGACTATTTCCTTCACCACTTCCTACGTCGCGGACCTGTTTTCCTCCCTTCCCATAGCATTTTAGGATTGCAAAACCCTTAATCTAATGGTCATAAACAGATCCCATACCCCGAACAGCTCGCCTTTACTACTTCCTTCGCCACTTCCTACGTCGCGGACCTGTTTCCTTCCCTTCCAATAGCATTTTAGGATGCAGATACCTTAATCTAATTGTCATAAATAGTTCCCACACTCCGGACAGCTCGCCTTGACTACTTCCTTCACCACTTCCTATGTCGCGGACCTGTTTCCTCCCTTCCCATAGAATTTTAGGAATGCAGATACCTACCTAAATCTCATCGTCTTAAACAGTTTCCACACTCCAGACTGCTCACCTTTACTACTTCCTTCACCACTTCCTACGTCACGGACCTCAAGCTCGTGTCGTCATTTGATTATATTTATGATCCATACCACCGTTTATGTTCTAATACCTGTGGAATAATGGTAACAGCTATTTATTTATCTACTGCATTCAAAAGTCAACAGCTGATCATATGTCTTTGTTTATGTGTCAAATACTGCTTCCATAAGGATTACATTGAAACTTTTAGACCCAGTGGGGCGGATTCCTGAGAGACTTTTTTAACGCCATATAGATGTTGGCACTCACCGATATGGTCTTTATCACCATGCAAAATTTGAAAACGAATGATTCAGCCGTCTAGGAGGAGTTTGCGTATTACGAAATGCATAAAAGTCGACGTATAAGAGCTTCGCTCGCTCCGCTCAATAATGTTAGTTTAACCCGTACCTAGGTTTGCTGCTACAGGGAAGGTAATGAATTGTTTTTTATAGTGTAGTTAATGCTAATAGTATAGTATGAAATAAATAGATTTTCTAAATTTGATCAAAATATATTTATAAAAAAGAAAACTACAGTTTACTAAATCTCAATAACAATAACAAGGGAAACATAAATTAACAGTGTTTTGGAATTTTCTTCTTAACGACTAAGCGTATGACAAAATTCTTCAATATACAAAATTATTAGTTTTTTTAAGCCCTACAGAATGGTTTGAAAATAAATCGAAAATTTTTTTCGATTCCCCTCCCCCACCATTTCCATGGTCTCATCATGCTGGTTCACACAAAGAGAATGTTGTTGCAATTTCAACAACATAGAGCACATGTCTATTGCAATGGCAAACAATAGTTTAAGGAGATAAATATAAAATAAAATTTGTAAACAAGTTTTAATTAAATAATATTTATTGCTAACCGTAATGAATTTTTACATTTTCACAATGCGTACAATGTACCTTTATAAAGTACAACAGTTAACAACAAGGAAAGCAATATTGACACTTACGATGCGGAAATGTTGGAAAAGAAGAAGACAAACAAGAGTAAAATATACAATTAATACTCGACAATAAAGAATGTACAATTAAAACTATAAAATATCACAATCTGACTATACCGCTTACTGGTATGATTAACAATAATACACAATATTATGATCATTAAATGAAATTCAAAAACCACAAATAAAAAACAATTGAAACTATAGTTATTATATAAAAAAATTCCCAAGATAAAAATATGTGTAAAGCCTCAAAACATTTTTTCGGATTTGGATGTTAATTAATTGTCATCTAAATGTGTTAAGTACCAGCAAGCTTACTGATAAACTAGAGTTATTTTTTACACTGTTATAAACTAATTTAAAAGGTCCATAAACTTAACATAATTAAAGCGTCAGAGTATAAAATACAAATTTATAAAAATAAATATTTGATTGATAATTACCTACAAATAGAGTTGATTAATTTTAAGAAATGTTGGCATAATGTTTTTTTAGATAGTTGAATAAAATTCATTACGAGAATGTAGCTCTTAAAGTTCAATATCTTTTTACAAACAATATATATTACAAATAATAAGTATATGAATTTGCAATGAACTGTTAACTCGTATCACAGACAAAAAAAAATAAATATAGACTGTCATCAGTGCTGCAGTTTGCTTATGTTACGGCACCCACCGCTAGGAGTGCCGTGTAGTTGCTGTGTAGTTACGGTACACACTGCTGCAGCGTCTGCTGGTATAGGTCGACCGCTTAGAAAAGAACCTGCGCGCTAATGCTAATCGACCTATAGCATACGGCTCCTGCGCTCCTTGCCTGCAGCGGTGTGCGCCGTAACCTCACGGGACTTCTAACGGCAAATCGAGGAGCCTTCCTTTGACAGTCTATATTTATTCTATTTTTCTATGCTCGTATAGTTGTGACATTAAACGTTGAATTAAAAATATATGGGAATAATACTTCATTAGCTGTCTTTGAGATGAAAAATTAACAATAACATCACATCAAATACTTCACTTTTCCCTTCCGACAGTAAAAATATAAGTAGAAAGCTAGACTTAATAAACCAAACAAGCACTTTTGATATTAATATTGTAAATGTGGAGCAATGTTAAAATTTAGGTTTCATTAATAGTTTTATATATTAGATGTGGAATGTGTTTACTATTATGTTTTAAACTTCAATTGAGATAAAACTACAAAGAGTATAATCAGAATGCTTTCACAAATTTTCTATTCACTAATTACTATACTGATATAATATGATTTGCATAAAGACCATAAAGAACAAATTTATATTTAATGTTTATTGAATTGAGAAAATAGTAATTCGTGTTTGGTTCATTGCTGAAAATCAAAATACAATTTAGTTACTTTAATTTGCCCATCCAAATGGCCTTAGGCCTGATGGCAAGATACACCGAACCAAGAAACAAGTAAACAAGTCAGTACTGGACTAAAGTTAGGTGTGTTGCTAGCCTAATAGGCTACTTATTGTCTCAGACTTCGGTATGGGAGAGACAGGTCCAATTCTGGAAAATCTATGGCGTAAACACATGCAAAAAAAGTATAGGGTGCTGTTTAGTGATGAATACTAAACATATAAAATAGAATTCAGACTTTTACATTTACAATGCCTCGTTCCAATATAAGTCTTACGTATGGTAATAAATTGTTGATAGAATAGGCTTTACACAATTTGGCATAATCTAGATTGTCATTTATTAAACTACAAGCATCAAGATTGCCTTCACAAAGCTCAATGAATAGTAACCAATGCAGAAAACTTTAATCAACGCCCAAGTTAATCATTTTAACGGAAAAACTCAATAAACTGAAAAATTAAAACAAAATAGGTTTTATAAACTGCCGAATTAAAATAAACTACACAACAAGCACACCATCAGAAATTGATTTTCTTTTTCTAGGTATTAAATACACTGGTACACTACACGGGGACATTAATTTCTTACATTTGTACACTAGAATACACAATATGAACACATACCAGTTACAGTATACCGCATAGTATATACAGAGTAGACGCTTGTTGGCGATTGTATGAACGTTAAACGCTAACCCATTCAGTCTGTGATTGGTCTCGAGATAGGTCCTGTGGACTGTGAAAGAAGGATTGCTTTAAAACTTATTGCTAACTTAATATGCTGGGCTTGTAAAAAACTTAACTGACTACAAACTATAACGGCCTAATAAAATACTTATGTATCAAGAAAAACAAAAATGTACAATAACTAACAAGGACGGAATTTTTTTAATATCAAAAGTATCTGTTTGATAGAACCAGTGATGTTGGATGATTGTTAGCATTCAGCGAGAGTATCTGTATAATGATGTAGCAAACTAGGGGCAAAAATAAGAAAGAAGTTATCTATAACTAAACAAAATAATCTTATCTGTATCTAAATGATTTAAATATTAAAATTAAATCAAAATATTTTCTGTCTATTTATATTACAACAATAATAGTAGTATAATGGAATACACCAACCAAAAAATATAATTATCACAATACAAAGAAACTTTTGACAGTTTTGTGTGTTTTTTTTTTTACAGTTAATCTAATAAATATTGATAAATAAGAACAGAAAATAAATCTAAGAATATATTTAAGTATGAAAATTATTTAAATCCACAAAACTGAAAAATCCAATCCTCTTATCAAAATAAATTAAACATAGAGGGTCATATAAATTTATTGTTGTATCTCTGTCCACAGCTAGGAGGCCTACCATTCATTACTTAATGTGTTCCACACTTTAAGCTAATGCTATTCTGATGTGACAATTTGATTGTAGAAACCTGACTATTGTCTATCACTTGAGTATGGGATGGGGCCATACACATTTTTCTACAAAAGTAAAAAATGTATGATGTAATTTCTTTTATTTTGATTGTGTCACTAAGCAAATAATGTTATCATGACAGAACTGGGCCATGGTCAGATGGCCAAAAGGGCGGATATCAGGAGGAGAAAAAACCTTTGGAGGATATAAGTAAGAAAAAAACCAAGAATTTGGCATAGTGAAATTAACTGGTAAAACCAGTTTTGGTGCCATTAATGTTGTTTGGATTAAGGACAAAAGGGTTTCACAGACAGCCAAGTACTGAATTTAATTGCTCAAACACTCAGAAATCTCCGTTAGCGCATGAAGATACCGACTGTTAAAGCATTGTCTGCGATCGTGAACGATCTCCTACGGCAATTTCAAAATCGAGAACATTTTTTGTGACCACGCCAAATTTGTGAGCATCTTCCATGGCCACAGCAACATCATCGTCAACCTCGATTGCGGCATAACATAAAAATCCCCAACAATCTAAAAAAAATATAAATTTTCAGCATCACAGCAATTAATTTCTGCAATCGATGAAATTAACACTCGGCTTGACTCCTACTAATCATTATTTTTCCGCCCAAATAGATTCTTCGGTACATCTGTTGGCCCGATCCGACCAAAAAATACCAGGGGACTCGCGGAGCATTAGTAAAAGGTACACGTGGTGACCACAAAATCCAGGTTTTGCTGCCGGAAAAATTGTGTGACCACCTTGCGAAGTAGACGGCTGGACACTAGGTCGGATATACTGAGGAGTCAGTTATGCCCAGGTCGGATATGAGGGTTTCTATAGTATTATGAATTTGCTAGAAAATAAATCTTCGACTACAGAGATTTGTTTAAAACCGACAAAAGAAAGTTTTTGTGAGAAAATTAGAAAATAATCAGACAATAAGCAACCAGAACAGAGATCTGAACGAGTCAATGCAGGTTTTTATGATATAGCTTTACTTTGAAGTTTCAAACATTTTATGTGCTACAAACTAGATTCTATGATGATTTTGGACTTCAAGTTAACCATGCCAGTAGCTCACTAAAAAACTTTAAGAATTGAAGAATGTCTATATTCATATATTCAGTACATTGAATTTGAGATGTATTGGTTTTATTTTCTTTAAAATATGATCACAGACATTTTTATGACCTCTGAAAAAAGGGATAAAAAGGAGCAAGAGGTTAGATTCATGACTAATTTTCCCAAATCAATCAATATTCAACAAAATCCTAAGATGGAATGTGACAATAGTAATATTGAATGTTTGATTTATTATAATCGAGAGGGCATACAAAAGCGTTGCAATGTTTATGCATAGAAGTGAAATTAAAATAATGTTTTGTGTATGACCTCAAGAGACAAAAACCAATTGTTAACCTAGCCTAACCCTATCAATACATAGGAAGTCCTTACAAACAAATGACAATAGAACAGTCACAGCACATAGTCTTCGTTGTTTTACTGTTTTGCCAACCAAACTCGTGTTTACAAAACAACATAACCGTAGAAATCATACTTTTTTGAAACTGAAGAATTCTTTAGAGTAAACAAACGTGCATTTAGTTAACTGTAAGCAATATTATTCTATTGCAAATGCAATAAATGTGATATATTTCAACAAAACCTTTTTTTTTATTTTTTTAGGATTTAAAGGCAAATAAGACAAAATAAGTCTAAAACATTATTTAGTAGATTAAATAATTTTCTCATGAAACCGACCCTGACATCAACTGCTATTTGTTCTGCAAAAAATATTAATGTAAAATATATTTGCTCACAAAACATAAAAAATAAAGCTCTGATATTTTGCATTAATATTTTATAATATCTCTTGAGACTGAAATATACTTTACCTAAAGAACGCAATTAATTATAACATAACTAAGATGTTTTGCAGGGTTACATGGTAAAAGTTATTGAAGACAATATTGTAAATTAAATAGAATATATCTGAACTTGTGCTTCATACCAGATCTGAGGAATCTTATTAAGAGGGTAAAGCACTTGTAAATATACCCGAATGTTTGTGATGATTTATGTTGTGGTACAAACAAAAATAAATGAATGAGATTGATTAGGTAAATAAACATTTACATTTTGGTCGAATTACAAAAATATTTGCTGTTCACAAAAGCTGTATGGCGTATGTTGATATAAAAATAAGAATACATTGCAATATTGGTAAAAAATTAACATTACCATTACTGATATGAACATGGCTTGCATATTTGAATGGCGTTTAGTTTGGACTTAGCCTGTTTTAAAATAAAAACAATACAATTCAGGTACCATATGGTAACTCTTAACACATTCACCATGTTTCTTGGAATGTTTAAGTAAAATGCTCAAACTATTAGTGACTATTCACTTTTGAAATACTTCAATTGAATGAAAAAGTAGACCTGTAAATTTTTGAACAAAACAACACTATTCCTAACAAGTTTTTAAACTATTCAAATGCTCCTTAACGAAATCATTATTGTTCAGTTCCCCAAGTACACTTAAAAAAATGTTGACTAATAAAACAACTTATTATAATTAAATAGAAGTAGTTTCTCTTCCAGTTAATTCATAACGATATTTGGTCGTGAATTAATTAAATTTTTAACCACCCCATGAAACTAACACACAGAAGAAGCTTAACGAGTTTTTGTTATCTCCCCTGATAATATCCTAAAACAAGCATATGAGTGGTTTTGCATATGCATTCAAAAAGGTATTTCAATAGTGAATAGCCACCACATACAAATTACTCGCCGAGATATTTTTCACACCTGAAAAATACATAAAAAATATATATGTAGACTATGAAACATGTCCAGCCTAGAGTAGGAACGGTGATCACCGGCGCGCGCCAGCTCGAGCGAGGTTATTCTTGACGACGCGTGGCGACCGGGAGTGGAGCCGTGTGAAGATGGCTTCTAGTGGGTGGTCGTGGGAGAACAGTGTCGTCAGCACACCCTCCAGCAACACATAGAGCAGACGACGGTTGAGCACTCGATGCTGGAACAGCTGGAATACTGAGAGCAGTCCGCGGCGAGACGTCTCACTGCCCAGTATGTGCTTCAGCTCGTCTGGAACAAAAGAACAGCTACATACTTGGATGGGCTGGTATAAATAACTATATTCATATTCTCTACTCAGGCAAGCTGATTCTTGAACTAGGATATAATTATTGAATTAGATTAGATTTACTATCATCCCAACACATCGGAACGCATTGTTTGGGCCAAATAATGAAATGAGATGCCACGTATAGCTTTTTTGCGAATTTCCCATATAGGGATTAAGCTATTACCGTTGGATAGACCCGGGACCAATTTACTTTTTAGTTTTGAGTTCCCCAGAGGCCAAAAACATCCTCCGTTCAAATTCATATATATATATATGTGTCCATTGTCGCGATAAATCGAGCAAAAATGATCTGATTTCGATGAAATTTGGTACAAACGTGTAAACTTACCTTTTTTCGAAAGAGTTCGTGAACCAGCATGATTGGACAATGGTAACAGGGTTTAAGGGGGTTAAAGCCTCGTTCACACGGGGCGAGTTTACAAGCTACTCGCCAGCGTGTAAGGAGCCGGCAAGTTGGAGAGTGCGCTTGTAGTCGTTCAATCGATGCTTTTTCCACTCGCTTAGTAGCTGGCTTGAACTACCATATATTCCATATAATATTCCTCCGAAATATTTGAATAATGCGCACAAGCACAAGCAACTGTGTTCACACTGGGCTACTTTACACGCCTACTCGCTCAAAAGCTGGCGAGTTGGCGTGTAAAGTAGCGGCAGCTTCAACTTTTTCCAGAGCTTTTTTACAAGCAGCTTTTGAGCGAGTACGTCGTTCACACTGAGCTATTTTACTAGCTGCATGTAAAAAATCCGGCTTGTAGCTTGTAAACTCGCCCCGTGTGAGAGGGGCTTAAAATTAGTTTTTCCTATTTTTTACCCTAAAAACACATTATTTCACAATTTCCTTTCAAACTATATTGTAGAGCTTAAAAAAAGAAATAATTTTGAATATTGGAGCGTTGTTGTATGTCTAACAGTTACGGAGATAATTCAAATACCCCCGCCGCAGAAATCCTGCAGACTAAGCGAATTTCCATTTGCCTGAACTGATTTTAAATTAAATCTATTTAAATAACATACCTAAGTACCTAGGTGATGATGCTACAGGGAGGCTAATGTATGTTTTTAATCAAATATTAGTATAAAATAAATACAAACAAAACGAAAGGAGATTAATCTTCTTTGAGAACAAGATATTAAGAAAGACTTTTGGCCCTATAAAAGAAAATGAAATATGGCGGATAAGGAAAAACAGAGAACTACGAGAACTTTACAAAGACCCAGATATAGTAGCTATTGTTAAGAGCCGAAGATTGAGGTGGGCAGGACACATAGCGAGAAGAGAAGAAAACAGTCTCCTGAAGATAGCTACAAATGGACGACAACGAGGGACCCGACCACTAGGAAGACCCAAACTACGATGGGGAGACCAGGTGCGGAAAGACCTTCAGCGCATGGGGACATCAATTGACCAAGCAGCAGACAGAAAACACTGGAGGCAACTTGTTGGCGACATCAAAAACCAACTTAGGTTTGAATGGCCAAGGAGGTAAGGTAAGTATAAAATAAATAAATTTGCCAAGTTTGATTAAAATATTTCCATAAACAAGCAAACTACAACATTTTACATTATTCTCAATAAGAATAAGAATAACATGGGAATTTTAAATTTGCAATTATTTAAATTTTTTCCACAACCAATAATTGTACAAAAAGACTTTGGTATACTAAATTATTTGTTTAAGCTCTTTAAAATAGTCTAGAGATAAATTTGGAAATTTTGCGTTTTGAGGGTCAAAAATTATAAAAACCAATTTTTAACACATAAAAACCCCCTGTAAAACCCTTTTCCCACGGTCCCATCATGTTGGTTTGCAAACTCATACAAGTTTAACTCGCCTTACACCTTCAAACCAAATTTCATCAACATCGGACAAAAATTCTTCAAGTTATTGCTTTCACAAACGTATATAAATCTATATATACAAATTTGAACAAATGGTGTTTTTGGCCTCTAGGGACATCAAAATGAAAAAGTATATCTATTATATAAATATATAGCCCTAATCTTATATATTTTAAAAAAAGGCAAGTGGCCGAATGGGAATGATTTAATTGCAAGTTTTGACTGGACGTACCAGAAAGGCTGGAGAGTAGAGCTATCTTGGCAGCAACTCTCGTCCTAGCTCTGGTCATCTCATCTCTCGGTAGCTTCGGCTCAGCCTTGAGACCATGTGGCCAATAGGAATGTCTGCAACATAACACATTGGGTTGTGCTAGTTAAGTTAAGTATCTACAACAAAGTCAGTATCTAGATTCAAAATCCACTAGAACATTCAAATTTTTTAATGAAAAATATTGTTTAAAAATTGTTTGACTGTGCTTGTAAAAATGTATTGTAGCCCAGGTTCACGTGCTACCAAAGAATTTTATCTAACACACTGTTCACATGAGGGCGTTAGACCAGCCAAACGCGCGTTAGTCAAGTACCCAGGAACAAATGAACAAACCTTGCCAAAATGTGACATTTGTAGTTTTCACTTCAAACGCTACGTTTGCAGTTGCACTGGAGTAGTGACTGGTTCAACTAACGCCGCGTCTACCACTGTCATGTGTATGGTTTCACATTTTGCTAACGTCCGCTCAACGCGGCGTCTAACGTCCTCATAGGAACAAGCTGTAATAGATAGTGCTGTGACCTGTTAGTTCAGAGCTCACTTTACGCTGTAGGTCTACCTATCAATAAAAAAAGAAAAAAAGGCAGGTCTCAAAATGAGAAGAACTGTCTCTTAATTGGAAAACTTCATCCTTAAAAAGCCATTCCACAACTCACTTGAAAGAGCGCAGGTAGTCAGCAACTTGATGAGGACTGGTGAGAGCGAACACGTAGTCCACGATACGTCTGTTGACTATGTCGCCAAACATGGTTCTCACGATCTGCCGCAACAATGTGACAATGCGACGACGCAGCCACTGGTTACGACTCTTCAACTCAAACACTTCCGTCATCATCAGCAACATGATGCGGAGGGGAATGTTGTCGTCAGTCTGGAAAATAACATATTCTATAAAATCTTACGTGTTCCGCTGATTGTTTTTACAATCGGTTTGCTTACTGAAGCAAATTATAACAAAGGGATCAGGTATATTTATTTATTTACTATGCTCAGTGCCTCTATTTAACATATAAGTATTTGACCTATACTAGAACTTATACATTTTAATGATTACAAAATAGTAAGAAATGGATAATTTAATCCTATTAATCAACATTTCTCTTGATGGAATGGCCTTGAGATCGTCTAAATGAAACTAATATAAGTTTATATTACTTGGTTGCTGCCAAAACGATCCTTGGTATTACAAGGCCACAGCTGTTTCATGCTGTCAAAAATGGAGCACAACTTCAGGTCAAGAATGTCTTGCTAATGATCCGTCATATGGAGTTCTATTTGAACTAAACAGAAAATACATTAAGCGATCAAAACACTCAAGACAATACATTTAATGTATTTTCTGTTTGATTAAAATTTTTTGAAGAACTGCACACAAGGGATCATCAGAAAGACATTCGTAGTCTCAAGATGTGCTCCAATTTTTGACAGTACGAAACAGCTGTACTCGATGCACTTCCAGGGATCGTTTTGACAGCAACCAGGTAATCTAAACCTATATTAGTTCAACTTAAGAACAAAATAGAAATAAAGATACTCTAATGAAAATGATAACCCTACGTAACCGGAAATAATCTTAACATTGGACGATGATATTTTTCAAACCATTTAAAAATCCAAAGTGTAAAGGTCAAAATATAAAGGCGACACTGGTTGAAAATGATTTAAAAATCCTCTACCTCAATGTCTAAAGAAGCGCCCACTTTGCAGGACTCTGCGTCAATGCTGTCGTCCCTGGAAGGCTTGACTCCGCTGTACTGCAGCACCTTGCTGAGGCCATCCATCACTCCATCCACAGTGCTGAGGAGATTATCAGGTAGAGTGCGGACAGTCTGGCCAACCACAGCCTTCAATGGGTTCACTAGCAGGTTGTCCAACTGTGCAACAATGTAATAATATCAACTGTAGGGATCTGCGGGTACTCAATATTTTTGGGTAGGGCCAGCAGTGGGGAGACGATGATGGTGATTCTACGACACGACCGCAGAAGCTCTTTTACGTTTCTACCAAGACCCAGTCATTTAACCCTCATTTTAAGTGTTTAGTTTATGTTGGTGACATTAAGCGCTAGTGTCGACAAAACCTTTTTTCTATTATTTAAGGATTAATTTCATGATTTACTTTTTGGTTAAATAACTAGGGAACAAATTATTGCTTATGATTTGATCGTATATTTGGCTAAACAAGGTTCTAATAACTGAAATAACAAGAAAAAAATTGTAAACAAAAACAAGGTCCTAGCAGCACCTTACTAGCTAACAATAAAATTGTCTTTAGCTGATAGTTTTTCAAGATAGTTTTTGTGCCGTGAGATTACAATGAGAGGCTATAAATAATCATCCTGTCTTGTAACAAAATGGTTGCTAGTATCTTTAATTTTGACAAAAAGTTTTGTACTGTATTGCAATAGATTTGGAAAGCACCAACTAATATTACAGTACTAAAGTTATTAAAATAAGAATTTTTATTGACTCTTGCCAACAACTATACCATCCCATGGAAAGTATTTGACTTAATCAAAATTCATGTTTTCGGCCCCTGGACTATATTGTTAAGGTAGTTGATAGGTTTTTTACATACCTCAGTCAAATAGTCCAAAAATGGTATTGCTCAACAGCTTACATGTTTCGTTGCGAAGACAACATTATCAAAGCTTGCAACTCGTCAAAAACACATTTAAAACACGAACACGAACACAGAAGACATTAATACGGTACGAATACACAATTGACATTTAGATAGCGCCTGACCAAATCAGTATTATGATAGCGCTATCTAAATGTCAATTGTGTATTCGTACCGTATTAATGTCTTCTGTGTTCGTGTTTGTGTTTTAAATGTGTTTTTGACGAGTTGCAAGCTTTGATAATGTTGTCTTCGCAACGAAACATGTAAGCTGTTGAGCAATACCATTTTTGGACTATTTGACTGAGGTATGTAAAAAACCTATTATTGTATTTGACTTAACAGTGTTTTGTGTATACTTGTGAACTTTCTACGAATACGAAAAAAGGAGATAAGTGTAGTTATTTTAAAAATAATGCAAGTACGACTTCAAAATAATGATTATATTATTTTAAATTAATAGAAGTTCATTTTGTTGCATTTTTAGGGATTGCCCATTTTAACCAACCTTTTGAGCTATCCGACCTAGGTCCGGTCCCATCAGGGTCGGTTAAGAGGGGGTCTACTGTACTTTTGTTCATAACAAAACCATTCATTCTGTGATCAGTAACTGGGTTTTAAACGCATAAACTACCACTGTGAGACACAACAGTTCGACATAACTTACCGTCTTGACAATCTGGCCGCCTGAGACTCCCTTGTCGTAGTCGCCGGGCTCAAGGAACGTCAACAGCAACGCACGCAGACTCGGGTGCGAGGCTAGAACACTGGAGTGCAGCAGTGTCTGCAAATAGTCATTGAGCATCTTCATCCGGCGTTCCAGCACTCGACGATCCATATTGTGAAATGTCTTTTTGCCAGGGAACTGGAGCTTTCCCAGATCTGCGTACTGCGGGAAACAATATGGGACTGTTACAAAAGAGGTGTATGGATATGTATGGAGCTACACATAAAAAATTAATAGAGGATATTTAATAAATAAAATGAGATAAACATGTTTGTTTTTTACTAATCAATACAAGAAAGTTTGAGGAGTACCCCCCGAGAGAAGAGCCTGGAGCAATAAATCAAGGAAAGAAGCCTTATAACAGTTTGAAAGACTGAATTCATGAAGACCCAAGTTGAAGAGGTAAAGTAAGGTACCACATTTTTCATCTAATGCCATTAAGTATCACTAGTAGGTAGGGAAGTAAGTAACACTATGATTTAACATTTTAAAATTTGTGATGGGATTTAAAAGTAAAGCAGTAATATTACATAATACTTATTCAGTACTTAGATAACATTAATAAAAAAAATTCAACTGTCTATCACACTGTCTTTGCATGCAAAATTAAGAAATGAAAATACCCAATTCAAGATGGTGAATTTTGAGGTGTGAAACATAAATATTTCCTATCCAAAACTAATACCTTTGTTGAAAAATCTAGGATCAATCTGTGACCGGCTAATATTATTTCCTAGCTATTTTGATAAATCCGTTCCGGTAAATGAGAAGTATTTGAATGTTAAGTTTGAGGTAATTTAATTTTCAAGTTAGTTTATCAAACCAACCTTATCTCTGACTTTCTGATGGAGTTCATAGAAGTCTGAGTAGCGTCTGTATATGTGCCAGGTTTCCTTGCTGCCAGAGTCGTATTTCTTGGTGACAGACATCGCATAGATCCCAAACGTCTTCCCCTTTTCATTGACTACCCCTAAAAAAGATTCAAACTTAAATGACCTTAATTGGATTAAATGAAGTTTAAGAGTCAAATGTAAGTAGCCTTAAATAAATCTAACCATGTAAATGTTCCAGCCAATGTGGTTTTTAATAATCAATAAATCTCCTCTAATTTTAAAAACTGTTTATAACCTTTAAAGCAAGACTTAATTCTGGCATTCCTAGTGTACATATTTTCCTGCAGTTTCAGAATCATCAGATCTGGCTAGATGAGTTTCCTGGACCAGATCAAATTTCTTTTCTTACCTAAGAGTCTAAACCAATTTTCGTCAACAATACTGACTAGTTTTTTTGCAAGTGGAACAATTTTAAAGCTAGAAACATGTAAAAGATCAAAACTCTTACACGAAAAAATAAAACAAACATTGATGTCATACTAAATAGTCTTGAGGACAGCTAACCAATTTACCGAAAGTGAAGGTAACAGACTAGAGGCCAGGCTAATAAAATAACTCCATGTCCAGTGAACTGCCACCATTACGATCAGGATCAGATTATTTATTTTGACGTTTTGAATTGTAGCAAGCTTTGATAATGTTGCATTTCCAGTAAAACTATTCGCCATTATTTTTAAAAAGATAGGAACACAGTAGGAAGAAAAAAGCATATTTTGTCATTAGAGGACGCACCCTAGACAATCTGTAAAATGTGATTCTTCACTTTGTTCAACTATACACACTTACAAATCCACCAATTGTACAAGTTGTCTCTAGCCAGTTGTTTGTTCATATCATCAACACAAGCTGCTATTATATCTATCCAGATTCTGTATCTCAAGAAACTGAGTTATATGTGGTGAGACATACCAGTTTCAATAATCTCCGCAGACAGCATGTAAGGACCCTTACAGTCAGTGTTCTGTGTAGTCAGTGCACTGTGGGTGGGACTGGCTGGAGTAACATTGACCACAGCTTGTAGATGGTTGCTGCCTTCAACACTGTCTCCAGAACCTGTCATCACGAGAAAAACCTAATGCTGCTGCAAATTACTCAAAACCCACATTATGCCTGGCAAAAAACATGACTCTCAAATCTTGAAACCTTTAAAATTAATTGTTGATGTGTTAACAAAACAGTTCCGACTTGTACTTACAAACAAAAACTTCTCAGAATGCAAGTTGAAAATCCATCAATCAAGAAGCTTACACTCCAAAGAAATTAGAATTTTGTGGCATCACTCCATATTACTATTGCATTCAATGATAATGATGAAACAATTAGTTGTATCATTGAAAAATAGTAGTAATAGAAGATAAAAAACATGAAACAAATCAAAAGCAAGTAAATGAATCATAAAATTGATAGGGCAATCTATCTACTGGGACGGGTGGCGTCGTCCTGTAATCCAACTACTAGGAGGTCACGAATTGTGGATATTTATAGGGATGCACTGTGGATGAGATACTCCCTGGTGTGGATTAACGTCCGCACTAGTGAGTACTACGACTATCCGCAGTACTATCCTAATAATTAGACCAATTCGTTAATTACAAGGAAAAAATGTGGATCGGATTCCACAATAAACTGTAGGTCCGTTAGTTGCCATTAGCTGTATGGGCTATTAATTAACAGCTGTGTCTAAGGAACATGTTGGCCTTAGTCACTAACAAGACTACAAGATCGCGCCACTCATCCTACACTCATCCTTCACTCATATTTGGGTTAAAATACGCACATAGTGGCGTCCCCATCTTAAATCATTGATAATTGAATTGAATATCACAAGTGCCTAACAGTTATAGTTTCACTGCTCTAACAATTACTACACATCCACGCACCAAACCCAGTACAGCTTAAGATAATTAATGTCATATTAATGTTGTTTTAATTTAGATAAGGTGAGAAATCTCATACTGTAGCTTCATGTGGCAGAGGACCACAATCACAGACAGAGCTCTCCTAACCTAAAAGACCTTTCTTTTTTTCTAGAAAGATGTTTCTACAATGGATTCTGAACCAATCTGGGTTACGGAATTACGACAAAACATATTGTCAAATATCATTGGTGGGATTTTAAAGTCATTTTGGTTTCCAGGACAGCCCCCTTCAACAGATACAAGAAAAGTGGTACCTTCTCTGTGGTCCAAGGTCAGAGTCAGTGAAGACAGACTGGCTGTCTCAGATGTAGAGCCTAGACTGAGCTCGTCTACACTCCCCGTATCCTCATCGTCACTCTTCAGCGGCTCCTTTAGTAGCTCAAGCTCGGCCAATAGCTTCACATACGCTACGTTGTTGCGGAACCCATTCAGAAATTTCTCTTCAGTCTGAGGCACAGAAATAAATACCTTACAAACTGTATGCAAGTATAACATTAATGATTAAAGTTAATTAAACCAATCTCATGTTAAATAATGATTTAATTTGGTAAGTAAAACACAAATGACAATACCCAAACTCATTTAGTACAAGGAGACGTTCTAACATGCTTGAATGGCTCCACCATATGACATTTTAACTGACAGTTTTCTTAAATCAAAGTTTGTGTAGAATAACTTTCTTATTACGCATGGTATATTTTGTTTTGTAAAAGAGTTACGATGGCAGCACTAAATGATGATAAGATGGTCCAAGCGATGTTAAAGTTCCTTGGTTGGCTTCCTGAAACACATCATTGTGGGCAGTTTGCCATTCAATTGTAGAAAATTTGCAGAAAATACAGAAATTTTTATTTTAAAACTTTAATTTTTTCTATAAATTATTTTTTAATTCTTTATCTTAAATGCGCACCACTGACCTGTAATTTCTCGTAAACCGCCGCTTGAACTTCGTCAAACCACGTCTCTACTGGAGTCTCTGTTCTTATCCTTAGCAGTAACCTCTTGACTAGAGACTCTTCTATCCTAAGTCTAGGTGAGGCCTAGGGAGTAAAAAAAAACAAACATAACAACTCGAGGGAAAGAAAAAAATAATATGTTTAAAAAAATATTTGGAAATGTTTTTGTAAAAACTAAAAATATAAGATTTTTAGTAAAACAACATAAAGGTCACACAGCTCACCAACCTTAACTTAGTTCAATTTTGCCAAGATAAAATAAACGACTACATTTTATGAATAATGCACTTTTAAACTGATGATGAGACCAATAAATTTAAATTTAAACATGCCATCACCTAGTTAATGTGACGGAATTACTTTCCTGGCCCACAATTATTCTTCTTTGTCTCATTGAGAAAAGAACCTGATAGTTCTTGTTAAAAAAATAATAAAAGTCGATTCAGACACACCACTTCCGGCACATCACAGTTCAGTCACTTCAGTCAAAAAATGTATTCATTAATGTATTTTCTTTTACCCTTTCTACACTCATCCGACACAGGTCCGTCAGTCGCTCTGCCATCGTCCATTAGTCGATTTCAGATTTCTTCCCACTGATATTTTGGGATTGTTCAGACGCCTTGTTTGTTCACGGTCATGCGATGTATGTGTTAGACATTAAAAATAGTGTTTTTGTTTAAAAAAAAATGTGTTCATATTTCAAGTACTATTTGTAACAATCATCAAGAAGGATGATGAAATATTGTTAGAATATGGAGTTTATAAAAAAATTCTTGACTGTAACATCACTGTAGACGTGACAGAAGGCCGACTAAAAAACAACGGACGGACATTTGACTGAGGAACTGCGGACACAATTGTTACAATTGATTGATTGTTATTATATTTACAGATTTTATTTTTGATCATTGACATGTAAATTGTTAATTTATTTATTTTAGAGTTAATTATGTTAACTGTTGTATTTTAAAGAGTGATTGCTACTCACTTGGTGCATTCTTGCTATTAGGCCTACTCTAACAGGAAATTAACTGTATGTAGTATTAAAAAAAAAAAATTGACGATGTCTATTGTAATACTTGTATTGCTTAGTGACGAATAAAGATCTTGAATCTTGAATCTTGAATACTGAACTGTGACTGGACTGATGTGTGTAAATTGACCTTAATACTAGTGAATTGTACCTTCTCAGACAGATACTGTTCAAAGATGCTGTAAGCTGCCTCTCGTATCCTGTCCAGGACCTGTTGTGGTGTTGATGTGTGCTCCAGGGCGGCCAACACGTCTACACCAACGTCCTGCTCTGACGGAGACCTGAGCTTCTGCAGCGCCAGGTCTGACATCTGCTGTTCCACTGATACTCGCCATCCTGCGTACATGGCAACTCATAGACAGGACAGAACTAGACAGACCATTCCCATGTTAAAGCTGTAGCTAGTTTTAAAATGAAAATGAACATAGTTTAATTGATCTACCGACAAAGTGGTGATTTCAATCACTGATTTATCAAAAACAAAAACGTTTTATTTTAACCAAACCAAATTGAAAGGATAACCTGTTGTAATCTAGAGCATCTATTATGCCACATCAATTGTAAAAGAATACAAATAAACGGTATTAATAGGCTAATATGACGCATACTTTCTCCCATTGGCTTGTATGGGTAAGCGGTAGGAGTAACTATTATAGGGAAAATGTCAACAGTTGCAATATTTTGAATCGTAATTGTTTAGCAATGGGGGTGGCTGCATTATTATGTTTAGAATTATAAGGACCATAACAGACAAATTTTAATCAGATTCAAGTTTTTTCAAAAAATGAATTTTTCCATTTTTTTATTGGTTTTTGCAGGAAAATAACATAAGTTGCAATAACTTTTGAACCGTAATTTTTACAGCAATGCGAGGTTGCACTATTTTGTTAATAATTAAGGGACCATAACTGTACCATATTCTGATAATTTGTACCATAATGTTACAATAGTTTGACACTCATACCATCATGTAACCACAATTTCTGTTTAGGTTGGCAATATGCAAAATCAGGCGATATTTCTAATAAAACAGCTCATGGCTATTTCCCGTGACGTCATATCACGCCACCATCACACCACCTTTCCGAACAAGCCTAAATCCCCTCTCCTCACGTCAGTCCACACCATGTATTAGTCCCGTCAACACCGTATACCCTTTGCGGCCCTCTGAGCCCTTTTAAAATGTAACAAGTTTATTTATTACAACACCCCATCCCTGATCCCAAACGTACAGTACGATGCCGACGTACCGTACAACTGGCGACGAGGAACACGGAATATTATCGCGTTTTAAAACTTAAATTCGCGAACAAAGTGACAGTGCAAGTGAACAAAGTGACAGTGCAAGTGAACAAAGTGACAAGTGAACGTGAAGAAACGGTCGACGAACGTCAAACAACCGCGAATATTGACTCAGACTCATATTCTTGGCGGAAACGTTTTCGTGAGTGTAGAAAGGTACACCTAACATAACGTTATTCTTTGTTTTATGGACGTAATATTAAAGTTAATTAAGTGTAAAAAAGGCACTTATGCCGTTGACTGAAAGTTATTTCGAGCAATTCGGACAGTTAGCGGAAACGTATTTTTCCACCAACATGGCAACAATTGGTAATATCGGTCCTTTTGACAGCGCCGAAGAAACTTGGCAATCGTATACAGAGCGATTTGAACTTTTTGTAGACTGCAACGGGATTAATGCCACAAAGAAAGCGAGCACACTACTAACGGTAATGGGAGTCAGGACGTATAAATTGTTAAAGGACTTAATCACACCTGATAAACCTTCGTCCAAGACGTACGAGGAAATTGTAGACACGGTCGGTAAACATTTACACCCGAAACCGTCGTTTATTACAGAACGTTTTAAATTCAGCCGCAGACATCAGTTAGAACACGAAACAGTGAGTGATTATATCGTACAACTTAAGCAGCTATCGCAACATTGTGAGTTTGGGGACAAGCTTCCAGACCATCTACGCGACAGACTGGTATCAGGCCTCAAGAACCACCACATCCAGAGACGACTGCTGGGGGAGGATAACCTGACCTACGACAAGGCAGTACAGCTGGCAACGTCAATGGAGTTCGCCGAGAAAGGAGCAGCCCAGATGACGCTTAATCCAGGAGGACGACTTCAGCGCCTCAGCCAGACGACAAGGACAGCACCGAGCGGAAGCGGGGGAAAATTCGCAGCCAACAGAGGTTCGGCAACGTCACAGCCCCGGGAGTGCAACTGCTGTGGAAAGAACAATCACAATACTCTGCAATGTCGGTATCGTGAGTACAATTGCAATTTCTGTAAGAAGAAAGGACATCTTGAAAAAGCTTGTAGATCTAAGAGTAGAAGTGCAAATAGGCCCCATTTTAGTAAACAGTATAATGATGTATCTAAGACTAATGGACAGTCTAGGGGAGGAAATAAGTCGTATTTTAATTCAAAGTACAGTAATGCTAATGCTAGGCAACATTATGTAACAGAAAATGTCCCTGAACAAAGTGTAGACGAAGACACGGTATATGACATATCTAACTTATTTCAGGTACAGGGAGTAGAAGTTAGGAAAAAAGTAGAACCAATTAGAGTGCAATTAGAGGTAGAGAGCAAAAAGATCCTATTTGAAATTGATACCGGAGCTTGTGTGTCAGTTATATCTGAAAAAGATTACAAAGTAAAGTTAAGTCACGTAAAGTTACTACCAACAAGCTTAGTTCTTAGTTCGTACACACACGAAAAGATCGTACCTATCGGTAAACTATGTGTAAATGTAAAACATGAAGGTATTTGTAAACAATTAGAGCTGTATGTTGTCCCTAACGGTGCAAACCCATTGTTAGGTAGGGATTGGATGAAAGCACTGCAGCTAGTTGTTAGTATCAAAAACAGTAGTAAAGTAAACAATGTTCAATCATCTGTGGATGACAGCTCAGTTGGTACACCTGTCAGCTGTTCTGCTAGCAGAATGGTCGACACTAGCGCGCCGACTGAGGTGGCCGACACCGCAGTTACCAATGTAAACAAACAAACAAATGTCACAGTACATCAGCAGGGCAAGCAGCTAGTTAAACAGTTGTATGAGGAATTCCCTGATGTTTTCACAGACAAGCTAGGTTGTTTTAAGGGAGAACCAGTCAAACTTAAACTAAAACCTAATGCAACCCCTAAATATCATAAGCCAAGGACCTTACCTTTCACACTTAAAAATAAAGTAGAAGCAGAACTAGCACGTTTAGAAGCTGAGAGTATTATTTCACCAGTAAATTCAAGCCAATGGGCTACCCCTGTAGTACCAGTTTTGAAAACAAATGGTCAGTTAAGATTGTGTGGAGACTATAAAGTAACGCTAAATCCTTTCTTAGAGATAGACAGACACCCTTTACCTAAGATTGAAGAATTGTTCTCCAGTTTGTAAAATGGAGACAGGTTCTCTAAAATAGATTTGTCACAAGCATATCAACAACTAAGACTAGATGATGAAAGTAAAAAGTTATGTACAATTAGCACCCATAAGGGCTTGTTTGAGTACAATAGATTATGTTATGGCATATCATCTGCTCCTGGTATTTTTCAGCGCACAATGGAGCAAACCTTACAAGGAATACCAGGTGTAGCGGTATTTCTAGATGACATTCTTGTAACAGGACAAAATGACTCTGAACATATTAGTAAATTAAAGTTAGTTTGTAAACGACTACAAGACAATGGTTTCACAGTCAGTAAAAGTAAATGTAAATTTTTCTGTGAAAGTTTAGAGTATCTAGGGTTTGTCATAAGCAAACGAGGGTTGGAAACTTCACAAGACAAGGTCAAAGCCATTGTAAACGCCCCAGAACCAAAAGATGTCACCCAATTAAAAGCATTTTTAGGCTTAGTTAACTACTACGCTCGTTTCATACCTAGAATCTCAACCATACTTACCCCTATGTATATGTTATTGAGGAAAGACACTGAATTTGTATGGAATTTAGCGTGTAAGAAAGCTTTTGAAGAAGTTAAGCAAAAACTAGTATCAGCCCAAGTACTAGCTCATTTTGACCCTAAGTTAAAGTTAACGTTAGCATGTGACGCTAGTGCCTATGGTATAGGTGCAGTTCTAAGTCAAATTCAAACAGATGGTACTGAAAGACCTATTGCATTTACAAGTAGAGTGTTAAATGATACTGAAAAGCAGTATTCACAGATTGACAAAGAAGCTCTTAGTATAGTGTATGGAGTAAAGAAATTCAACCAGTACTTGTATGGTAACCATTTTTTGTTAAAAACAGACCACAAACCGCTTGTAGCTATTTTTGGACCTAAACAAGGTTTACCTGCATTTGCAGCTAGTAGGCTCCAACGCTACGCATTGTTTCTATCAGGTTATCAGTACGACATTTCTTATGTTAAATCCGAATGTAACGGAAATGCTGATGGTCTATCACGTTTACCAGTAAGTAATCCTGTGAACGATGAAATCAATGACAATGACTTAAATGTAAATATTGTAGGTACCTATTTATAGTGTTTAATTGAGAGTGAACTTCCTCTAAGTTATGTAGAAGTAAAACGAGAGTCAGCACTAGATCCTATACTAAGTAGAGTGATAGGTTATGTTAGATTTGGATGGCCAAATGACGTAAATGAGAGGGATCCTATGTTAAATCCATTTTTTGTGCGACAGTCACAATTAACTTTTGAACAAGGACTCCTAATGTGGGGTTACAGGATCGTCATCCCAAGCAAGTTTAGAACACATATTTTACAAGAATTACACAATGGCCATGTAGGGATAGTAAGAATGAAGGCGTTGGCAAGATCCTATGTTTGGTGGCCAAATATCGATTTAGATATTGAACAAATTGCTGGTAATTGTACATCATGCTTGAAGGAACGTGTAACTCCGCCCAAGTCGATTTTGCACACTTGGAATGTACCAGATAAGGCGTGGTCCCGGATTCATATTGATTTTTTCGGACCTTTTCAATCAAAGTTATTTTTAGTAATTAAAGATGCTTATTCAAAGTGGCCGGAAGTGTTACCCGTTCCATCAACGCAAGCGAAACACACAATATCTCATCTTAGAGAATTGTTTGCTAGATTTGGCTTAGTAGATCACATTGTCAGTGACAATGGACCACCTTTCACAAGTACAGAATTCCAAACATTTTTGCAAAAAAATGGAATCAAACACACATTTTCTCCACCATACAACCCAAAGACTAATGGCTTAGCCGAGAATGCTGTAAGAACAGTAAAACACAAACTTAGAATAGCACTACAAGACACTTCTGATTTGAACTTAGCATTATCAAATTTTTTGTTTACATACAGAAATACAGTACATTCCACAACCAATCAAACACCAGCAGAGTTAATGTTAGGTAGATCTCTGAAATCAAGGTTAGACTTAATTAGACCTAATGTGAAGGATGTCATTAGTAGTAATCAAAACAGACAAGTTTCAGCTTATGGTGGTGTCACAACTCGTAGATTATTTGTTAATCAACCTGTGTTAGCTAAAGATTACAGGGGAAGGGAGAGATGGATAGAGGCTACAGTTATTGAAAAACTGGGTCCTGTAACTTATTTAGTTGAACTAGAATCAGGCGTTCAGTGGAAGCGTCACATAGACCAGTTGATAGCTTTACAGTCTAAGCTAGGGCAGCAGTCAGATTTAGTAGTAGAATTTCCCAAAAACGATCTGACAACGTCGCTTCCAGACAGACAATCGGCAACATTGCAAAATTCGCCAGACCACACACTGACAGGGAACAGTAGCGAAGGTATGCGAGCTCTTCCGGGCACAGTCGGGCAGAAAACTCCGATATTGACTAGGTCACCTGGCGCAAACCAAAACATTGAGGGAGCGGGGTCATTGGCTTCGCCTCCAAATGTAAACAAATCGCCAAATGTAAACAGACAGACGCCTACTAGACGCTTTCCTGTACGGGAGCGCAAACCTGTAATAAGATTAGACCTTTAATTGAATACCCGGACATGACTTGTATATAGATTTATTTATTATATATCCTTATCAATGATTTTCAAATGTGTTTTTATTGAATTGTGTGTACCATTATGTGTGTTATCAATATTTAATATCATCAAGGTTCAATGTTTAATGCTATTAATGTTTATGATTTTAAGTGTGTATTTCATTTACTTGTGTTTTTAATGTGTGATATTATCTCAATATTTTGACCATATATACATATATATATTTAGAACTGATGATTGATTGATTCTCATTCTCATTTTAATAATAAATTAATAAGATATTCTGATATTGTTATTTGTGATTGTAAGTTTTCAAGATTATAGTAACCGATAGCATCACAAAACTTAAGAGGGGAGGATTGTACCATATTCTGATAATTTGTACCATAATGTTACAATAGTTTGACACTCATACCATCATGTAACCACAATTTCTGTTTAGGTTGGCAATATGCAAAATCAGGCGATATTTCTAATAAAACAGCTCATGGCTATTTCCCGTGACGTCATATCACGCCACCATCACACCACCTTTCCGAACAAGCCTAAATCCCCTCTCCTCACGTCAGTCCACACCATGTATTAGTCCCGTCAACACCGTATACCCTTTGCGGCCCTCTGAGCCCTTTTAAAATGTAACAAGTTTATTTATTACAACACCCCATCCCTGATCCCAAACGTACAGTACGATGCCGACGTACCGTACAATAACATACTAATTTTAACCAAAACTGGGGTTTTTTTCAAAAATCTGTTTTTCTCATAATTTATGGATTTTTTTTGTGGGAAAATAACAAAAGTTTCAACAACTTTTGAACTATAATTTCTACAGGAATGGGAGTTCTTAAAAGTTTAAAAGTAACGTGCAACCTTATGTGTGATACAACGACATAAAACACGACCAAAAATTTTGAAATCAAATTCAAATTCATAAACATAAATTTCAGGGTTGCAATTATGGACGAATTACCTCAATAATTAAATATGGTAAACTGTTAAAAAATTAATTTACCTTCAACATTGAGGTAGAAAAATAGGTAAGCTTGGGCTCCGACTGAGGACATGTAATCAATGAAGTACGAGAGAGCCACGTTGTTCTTGAGGATCACGTCCAACGGCAACATGAAGAGCTTGTGTCCAGCAGAGAGCAGTTTTGAGTAGTCTGTCGTGGGGAGATCAGCAGAATCTGTGTCCGCCCCTTCCTCTAATCTGTCAATCATATGATTGTTTGGAAGATAGACATAAAACTACATAGAATAAGTGATAGGTAACAACGTTAATTAATTTATGTAGATCATTAATTTTACTATCATGTTTTTAGTGGAAAGAGATCTCCAATAAATAGAAGGTAGTCCTCGCCTGAGAGATCCGTTCTTGTTATCTAGGTTGGTGAGGTAAACCTTCGGCTTCAGGTAAACATCAAATTTCCATGTCATGGCATTCTCACATAGATTGGTGATTAGAGAGGTTTGAACCCACACTATCTAGCAAAAATTTATGAGTGATTTCTGCTGTAGTTTTTTTCAAAATACACAAATTTGACCAACCTCAAATTTGTGTCCTCATGTATGTGTAAGAGGGTGCAGTGCAGAGACACCCTGGACTCAAACTAAAAACTTTGAAGAGAGAGTTCAAGAGTACGTGAAACCGTTCAGGGATAAACGGAAAAGACCTTAAATTAATAGCCCAGCCATAACCCGTTAGTCGGGATGGGTAGCAGAAAAATATTTCAGTTCTGGCAGGGATCATGCAACTTGGGGTGGTAAAAATATATAAGACCGAGAATGTAAAACCGCCCAAACACCAATTTTTAAGGACCTCGGTCGTCCCTGAAATTGTCATCAAGATGGAGGCTGTAAGATGATGCTGGACGCCATGATTTGGTTATAACACCCAGGGGCATAAACCGATTTTAATGAAATTTGGTATACAACTGCTTGAATACATTATTTCGGTCTAGGCTGTCAATGGTTGAACACAAAACACTGAAACATTTTTATTATTTTAATTACTAAATTTATTTTGAAACAACTTGATCAAACTCTGTCATTGACAACCTGGGCCGAGATAATGTATCCAAGTACTTGTATGCCAAATTTCATTAACATTGGTTCAGGAATTTGGGTGTTAAAAACCATTCCATGGCAACCCAGCATCCTTTTACAGCCGCCATATTGATGACGTCATTACGGATGACCCCTTAAAAATTGAGGAAACGCAGAGTATTAAAAACATATTGATTTTTCCCACAAAAACTGCCGCCATTTTGAAACCAAATAAGATAATTAATTTCTGTTTCCGCCAAAAATTTTTTCTAACAAATACCTTTAAAATGATTTATAACATGACATACGTTTATATTCGAAAATTCTGAGATTCGAACTAGCGACCCTCAGTTTTTGGCACACCCTGTATCGGGAAAAAGTTAAAAATATTTTACGTCATTCCTTGGGGTCAATTTAGTGGAAAATAATTTTATTTCATCCTTGTACGTTAAGCCGTTTTTCCGTAATCAATTTGAGACACCTTACGTGGGACACCCTGTATAGTTGTGGGATTTTTATTTCAAATTTCTCTTCAAATAAATTTATAGTGAGGAAAGGCCGTTATAACAGAGTATGATTAATCTCTTTGTTCGTTATTTAACACTTTGTGAGGCAGCTTTACAGCACTTAAGGAGGAATATTTTGGTTTTGTAACAGAAAAAGCTTAAGTGGAACAAATAGCTTAACAGTGGAAGAAAATATTTTAAAGGAAGTAATGTTTGCTAAAAGACCTAATAAAACTAATATAAAACAGTGAACAAGACGAACAAGACATCTGAACTCTCAATTACTTGTAATTTAGCTTGATAAGTGCCAAACTTGTATTTGCAACACCTGTTAAAAGTCATTCAACATCTTTAAACCACTGTAAGATCATGTGGTCTTTAAGAGTAGTAACCAAAAAAACATTGTATATTATTATATATATATAGTAATTTGTGTAACTAGAGTGCGGAGTGGCACTTTGCTGCACATGAGAGAAATGTTTGCGCACGAGCCGCAGGCAAGTGTGGAAAGTTTCTCGAGTGCAGCAAAGACACTTTGCGCTCGTGTTACACATTATATTTTTCATTCAGTTACTTTAAAGCATGAGGCAAAAGTAAGTAAATGCAGCAATTAGCTACTTTGCGTGCTATAATGAGTGCAAGGAAACCCACTTTGTCAGGTAACTGTAGGAAAAAGACTTATCACATCGGGATACATTTAGAATATATTAGGACAAAAACAAATAACAGTTGGCGATGCAACAAATTTTGGAACCTTGGCATATGTCCTTGTTTAGAATCCACAAATTGTCCATTGTTAGGAAGTACAGTCCACTCTTGCTAATTCAAACACTTGATAAATCGAAACTTTTGATAATTCGAAACGAAGGCTCAGTCCCTAGAGAATCTCTCAATATTTCGAATTTTTACCATGCATTTTGATACACTCGGTATTTCAAAGTCCAAAAAGAGGGCAGGTCAATTTTGAACACGCAGTAATTCAAAGTTTCGTCGGAAAAACACTCTATAATTCGAAGTAACTCAGTAATTCGAAGTTTCGTCGGAAAACACTCTATAATTCGAAGTCACGCTGTAATTCGAAGTTTCGTCAAAAAAACACTCTATAAATCGAGGTCACGCAGTAATTCGAAGTTTAGTCGGCAAAACACTCTATAATTCGAAGTGATCTCTTCCTGTCATAACAGGAAACTACACAGTACAGTACATCCTGTTCTCACGGTAGTTTTGGACGTTTTGATGTTTGTTTAGTTAGAGCAGTAGTCTGGTTGACTGTGTTTGCTTTTAAACCTGCTATACTTTTGTAGTTTTTTAAGTGTAGTCTTGTGCGTGTGCGGCGTTGTGCATCATGGAACCTAGGAATAAGTACAAATCTCTTTCGATCGAGGAAAAAAAAGAAGTTATCGCGGCAGTAGAAAGTGGTGAAGTGAAGTCCGAAGTTGCCAAAAAGTTTAAAATCCCTCCAAGTACATTGTCTACCATTTTAAAAAATAAGGACAAACTTTGTGGAGTTAATGCGGTTGCGGGGAGGAAAAGAACGACAAGAGGTGAATATCCTAGGCTAGAAGAGTGTTTAGTGACTTGGTTGAGAGAGTGCAGAAATCAAAATGTACCTGTAGGAGGTTTGATTTTGAAAGAAAAGGCCAAAGCGTATGCAAAGGAACTTAACATTCCCAGCTTTGCGGCCAGTGAAGGGTGGTTGACAAATTTTAAAAAAAGGAATGGAATCTTTTTTAAAAAAGTTTGTGGTGAAAGCGCAAGCGTAAATGACAATGTGTGTGCTGATTGGCGAGCTGAGTTGTCTAAACTAACTGAGGGTTATGAGCCTCATGACATTTTTAATACTGATGAAACAGGCCTTTTTTCAAATGCTTGCCTGACAAAACATTCACGTTCAAAGACGAAAAATGTCATGGTGGGGAACATAGCAAAGACAGATTGACGCTTTTGTTAACAGTAAATATGGATGGCTCTGAAAAGTTAAAACCTCTACTCATCGGAAAAGCTGCAAAGCCTAGGTGTTTTAAAGGTATCCAGTCGTTCCCTGTAACCTATCGTTCGAACAAAAAGGCTTGGATGACGACTGAATTGTTTAATGAGTGGTTATCATCATTGAACAATGATATGAAACGCCAAAACCGAAAGATAATCTTGTTTCTTGACAACTGTTCAGTCCATAATAATCCTCCTAAATTGTCCAACGTGAAGCTCCAATTTTTTCCACCCAACACAACATCAAAGCTGCAGCCACTGGACCAAGGCATTATACAAAACTTCAAGACATTTTACCGCCATGAAGTAGTAAAGATTGTTTTAGATGGCATTGAAAACGACGTAAACCCTAACATCTCTATCTTAACTGCTATGTTGATGGTTGAAAAGGCTTGGAAAAGTGTAGTGCCATCTACAGTATCCAACTGCTTTCGGAAATCTGGATTTTCTATCAACACACAAGTGAATGATGAACTTCAACCTGTGCCACCTACACCTTGGGAAAATCATCCAGTGATAGGGGAGGTTCCATTTGAGGAATTCGTCCTAGTCGATGATGAAGTTGCTGTGTTTGGAGCCCTAACTGATTCTGACATCTTGAATTTACAAGAACCTGAAAATCCAACTGACGATGACGACGATCAGGAGTGCGAACCAGTTACGTTGAAGGAAGCCTGTACGGCTCTAGAGAAACTCCGCCATTTTTCGCTCCAGGTACGTACAGTATGTAAGTGTTATACAGTAGGCCTACTGTACATTGTACTGTTTAACTAGAATGGCATTTTACAATAGATTTCTTTCTTTACAGAATCAAGTTGGTCCAGAAGTCTTCGAGTCACTATTCGTCCTTGGGAATGTTATTGACGAAGCAAAAATTAATAGTAAAAAACAAAAAAAAATTACAGATTTCTTTGAAACTACAAATATTGTAACTGAAAAATAAGCCGTAAATAAATATTGTAACGTGCTACTGTACTGTATAACTTTGTGTAATAAACAAATGAACTCTCTGTAATTCGAATGGTCTATTTTTCTCCCGATAAATCGAACTCTTGATAATTCAAAACTCTTGATAATTCAAATTTATATGCTTGGCCCGCCAATTTCAAATTATCAAGAGTCTACTGTATTAGCTCTCCTTTTTGCTTCATTATTCCACCTAAAGGTATGTGCAGTGGCAAATACAAAATGAGAAGAAGCCACAAGGATTTAAAAACTAAACTTGCATGATTGGCATTTCTGAGATGAAAGAGTAATAAAGTAGGATAAGGGAGGTTAGCCTACCGATAAGATATAGTCTAGAGCAAGTGATAATCTGACCTTGCCAGTCGAGACTCTATTATCCGCTGCACGTAGGCGAGGCTACTCAGCTGCTGTTTGACCCAAGTGTCATCATCTCCGCCTGAATCTCGGGACCTCTGTAAAAAAAATTGCTGTCATCGGTAATATACAAATTATCACCTTCTATTCTGACAGTGACAAATAATGCATCTAAAAAATCTTCATTTTCTTTTTGTTTCAAGTGTTTTTAAGAATATATAGCTTTTATTTGTTCAAGTAAAATTCTCTAGGTCTTAAAAGATATTTTAAATTCTATCGTAACAAAATTACTGACAAATGCTAAATGTGATCATCGGATCGCCTGACACTACCGTTCATGTTTATCAGTCAAATCTCTTTGATATTGCACTTACCAGAGTAGACATCTCTTTGACAAGCAGTTCCCTGGTAGCTGACAACTCTTCCATGTTATCTGTCACTCGGAGTGTTGTAAGGAACACCTCACTGGTGACAGGTATGTCCTTGCACTGTAAACAAACACAGACAAATCATGAGTTTATAAGATATATTGAAAAAGAAAATTGATTAGGTGTTTGTTTGCCCTAGTGTAAGTCATAATAGATAATAGCTATATATGTTACATGTAGGTAGGGTGGAGTTCAGGATAAGGATGTTGAAGACTGTTTAACAGGAAGAGCATTCAGAGCCCAGACTAAAATGATAAGGACAAATGGGAAATTAGTATTCCTAGGATGTTAATGATGGTAGAGAGAAGAAGACCTATAGGACGATTTTGAAGATGGAAGTAAAGAGAAATGTTGAGAAGATGAACTGTGGATGTACGGGAGAAAATGGAGGGGCTAAATTGTGTACGTTTGACAAAAGTAAAAGCAAAATACAACTGTAAAGTACTATTTTTTTTTAAAGGGGGATAAAAGTTTTGTATTAAGGAAACTGTTTGATGAAAGTTTTCTAAGGCTGTAACCATAGCCTCCTCTAATCTAATATAAGGCTGCAACGAGAAAAAAGTGGCAACGCCATAGTTCTCCATTCATAAATTAGTGAAACAGCTGTTGCAATAATCTATAATGGAGCGTATGAGCAATGTTTAATGCAAGTTTGTTATTCCTGTTATTATCATGACAATAGCCATCGAGGTACGATACGACTTTGTCACACACCACCTGCGGCCTTTTATTAGAGGAGGCTATGCTGTAACTCAACAAATTATAATTCTGTTGCAGGTCAATTTCTGACTGCAAGACTTAATGGTTGTTTTGAAAAATCCAATATAATGTTTTTTTTTAATCTGCTCCTCTTTTGCTATTAAGGATCTGATTAATAAGGCTCTACTCCATAAATATGATAAATAATAATGCTGGTAACATAATTGTCTTACCATTAGCTTTTAAAATGTACGGCAAAACAAAAAATAAAGTACTTGGATTTGATGTATTTGTTTGCAAGGTAAAGGAACTAACTATTGCATTACTCACCAGCCAGATGATGATCTGGTTGATGTAGTCTGGGTCGGAGACCAGGTCCATGATAGGCACCAGAACCTGGTTGACACATATCTCTCTCACCAGACAGCACAGAGCTCCACAGTGGAAGTCCTCCTCTGTAGTCAGCAGGTAGAGGATCACTTGAGTTAACTCTCGCAGGAAACCTTTCAAAACATAGCAAGATCAAAAGTTTGATTACAATTTGAAACAGAGTGAGAAATCCCAAGTTTTACAATTCTACACATAAACTACTGATAGTAGGTCACTAGTAGGTTCACATCCTGTTTGATAAACCATGCATACCCGTACTAAATTATCATTGGTCTATTAATAAACGGTCCTGGCTAAGTAAACAGCTTGTCTTAGTCAGTAAAAAACTACACAAGAAATCTCCTTCTACATTCATACTTCACTCCACTTTGGGTATAAATACACACAGCTGTGCCACCATCTCAAATGGTTATCCAATATCGTTTGATTTTTTTTGTATGGTGGGTTTACATTGACTAACAGATTATTGTGGATATTTTCTATCAGGATTAGTAAAAACAATATTTTCACAATGTTTCAAAGATCTCGAATCTGACCTTGTCCTTAGGTGCGAAAGTATTAAAAACAATACAAGAATTTTAATTCGACACAGCCCGAGCCGAAACTGGAAAACACAATAACAACCACCCACAGCACAGTATAGCCTAAGCCTAGTAATCTACCTAACACAGATACAATAAAAATAAAAACAAAAAGTCTTTATTAAAACAGAAAAATTGTCTTACTGTCATATTGTTTTATATAAACAGTCATGAGTCAGCGCTCAGAGGGTCAACATCGTTATCAGTCGGTGCGGGCTCCCATTGATAATCAGGTCTTAGCTGGTACTATAATAGTGTTCTTATGAATTAATTGCAGTTAAAACGCGTTTCTTATAGTTAATTATGGCCAATTGTCGTATATGTGTTAAAAATGTAACATCCAAGCAGCTTAAACTAAAGTGCAATGATTGTGAAGGTATTTTCCATGCAGCGTGTTTAAACTTTAGTAAAGCAGACGTCGAGTGTGTAACAACAGATAACCTTGTGTGGCGATGTAACGACTGTTCAGCTACTAGGAGGAAGAGTTTGCGGTTTGAGTCTGAAGCAAGTGGAGGTAAACTATCAATGGAAGATCTAATGAAAGTTGTTATGGAGATAAGGGATAGCCAGAAGGACCAAGAGAAAAGTTTCAACACTGCGTATGAAGCTATGAATTTGCAGCTTGAAGATAATAATAAAGCTCTCAAAGCCCAAAATGAGCAAAATGAAAAACTCTTAAAACTGATTGAAAGCATCACAGCTGAAAATGTAGAGTTGAAGAATAGGGTTAAGTTTTTAGAAGAGCGAGTTGACAATTTAGAACAGCATTCTCGAGTCAATTGTCTAGAGATACAAGGAATTCCTCAAACTCCAACAGAGGATGTGCTGTCCATTGTAAAGGAAATCGGTAAAGCTATTGACATGAAAATAGATGATACCATGGTGGACACTTGTCACAGATTGGGTTCGAGACAGAACGAAAGAAACTCACCCCCGGGAATAATAGTAAAATTTGTGCGCAGGATGGACAAAGAGGAATTTATGAGGAAAAAACGTGTTAAGCGAACCTTGTCAACCAGACACATCGGCAGACCGGATGACCACGCAATCTACATCAATGAGTCATTGTCACCCGCACGGAGGAAGCTCTACGCAATGGCAAGAACTTACAGGAAAGAAAAAAACTTTCAATTTTTGTGGGTGCGAAATGGAAAGATCTTCTTAAGGAAATCAGAAAATGAAACTGTCAAGGTAATAACTTCTCAAAATGACTTAAAATAAGTTGTAAGCAAGTAACTTTCAGTTGACATAGTAGCTTTTTCCGTTAAATTTGTAGTTAAGAAGTGATGTTTTTATTGTTTTAAACATTTTCGAAGCGATCGATATAAATGAGAGAAATATTGAACAGTTTTCTATATTGCACCAGAATATACGCAGTATAAGGAAAAACTTTGATTTCCTATTATCTGAATTAAGTGGCAGACAGTTGTTTTCTGAATTTATAATTTTAACTGAAGTGTGGGTAGACGAAAATGAATTGGATTTATATAGCATTCCTGATTACATTAGTGTCATAAAACCAAATAACGATAATAGAGCTGGAGGTACAATAGTTTATATAAAATCATACATAGAATTAATTTCTTGTAATCCTGTAAATATTAAATCAGCTGATATATTGAAAGTTGAATTTAAATTCAACTCGGACATTTTTTGTATTTTAGCTGTATATAGATTGCATAGTTATCACAAAGAGTTATTTTTGGATGAAATAAGTGATTATTTTGAAAATTATCGTAATTATTTTAGATCAATGAAAAATATATTTTTCGCAGGGGATTTAAACTACAACATTCTAGAAAGCAATCAAATTGTTGATACTTATAACTCAATTTTGTCTTTAAATGGGTTTGAATGTTTATTAAGTGAGCCAACAAGAATTACAGACGACTCAAGTACTTGTATTGATCATTTATTTGCAAAGTTAGCGAGCAAACAATTGACTCAAGTTAATGTAGAGGTGATTCATGCCCATATCACGGATCATTCCATGATATTAGTTAAAGTGCATACGATCGCTGGTGGAACAGACAGACGGACAGTTCTACCTGCCGTCTGTCCTGCCCTGCCCGCTTATCGTGTAGATTACACAAAACTTTCTACTATGCTTGATAACATAGACTGGGTCAATGTTTATTCCGAGCAAAATCCTTCTAAAGCATTTGACATATTTTATGATAAGCTTCAATTAGTTATTCAAGACTGTAAATACCAAATTGAAACAAAAAGTAATCTGAAGGCAAATAAGATTAAACCCTGGATGAATGATTACATTTGTTTGAAGATTAAATTGAAAAATAAATTATACGATAAAATCAAAATTCATCCTACCAATAATAAACTAAGATCACATTTTAAAAAATTTAGAAACAAATTACAAGCTGAAATAAGAAATTTGAAAAATGGGTATTATGAAAAACTATTTAATCAATGTAATGGCGACTCCAAAAAAATATGGAAGGTAGTAAATGATGTTACAGGACAAAATAGCAAGAGTACTGTGATTAGCAGTTTGAATATCAATGGTTGTATAGTTAACGATACTAAGACAATTTGTAATGAGTTTAATGATTTTTTCCTATCTGTTGTACATAAACTGAATATTCAAAAAGTTAAGCCAAATGAGTTCAGTGAATTATACTTTAAGAATTGCTTTGAAATAAAAAACACGTGTAATTCTATGTTTATTGATTACGTAACGCCAGAGGATTTGAGTAATGTTGTAAAGTCATTAAAACCTGGAACTTCTCCTGGTATTGATAATATAAGTTCATCATTATTTAAAAGAATTTTTCCTAATATATCTAGTGTGTTATTGTATTTAGTTAATTTAAGTTTTCATAGCTGTAGTGATACCTTTACATAAGAGTGGAGCAGTAAATGATTGTAATAATTTTAGACCAATTTCACTCCTACCAACTCTAGCTAAATTATTTGAAAAATTAATGAAAAAGAAACTTGTTAAATTCCTAGACCAATCAAAGTTTTTTAGTGAAAGGCAGTTTGGCTTTAGAGAGGGGTTGAACACTGAAACAGCTCTGAAAAATTTTATGGATAAAATATACACTGGATTAAACTGTGGGAAAAAAGTAAGTGGGATCTTCTTGGACATCAAAAAAGCATTCGACACAGTTGATCACCAAATTCTTTTAAGCAAACTCTTTAACTGTGGGATTAGGGGTAAAGTACATTCTTGGTTTAAATCTTACTTGGAAAATAGAAAGCAATGTGTTAAAGTTAAAAATACTTATAGTAATCTCGGTCTAATCACAAGTGGAGTACCGCAGGGCTCTGTCTTGGGAGCAATATTATTTTTAGTGTATATAAATGACCTATGCAATGCTAACTTAATTGGTGAGATAACATCATTCGCAGACGATACAGCTCTTTGTTATGTCAAAGATAGTTGGATAGATATAGAGCAAGCAATGTCGATGGATTTAAAAGCCCTTCAATGGTGGTTTTCAAATAACAACATGTTACTTAGTCCTGAAAAAACTAAGTTCATAAATTTTAGCCTAAGAAATGAAATAAAATTTAGTGACAATATCATTTATACATGTATTGACTGTTTATGTAATAGAACTCAGTGTTCTGTAAGTTGTGCTGTTGTTCGTCAGACAGACAGTATAAAATACTTAGGTATAACTCTAGATCAGGAGGTTAGTTGGAAAAAGCACATTCTTTTGTTGAAGAAAACATTGAATAATTCATTACGATATTTTTATTTTTTACGTTATTTGTGTTCTCAAAAGATTTTACGAGTCTTGTATTTTTCACTGATTAGTAGTAGGCTAAATTATGGATTATTCTGCTGGGGAGGAGCTTTTGACAGAACTTTAAAACCAATTTATATTTTGCAAAAGAAATTTGTAAGGATTATTAAACGTAAAAATCGAATGGAACCCTCATGGCCTGTATTTTTAGATCTAGGTATTCTTCCATTGAAACACATGTTTGTTTTTAAAGTTTTAAAGATTTTCTATGTTATGAGTGGTAACATACCTAAATTACAGAATCCGTATAAAGTTAAATTGAGGAAGCAAGAATCGCTAGCCGTTCCAAAACCTAATTTATCATTTTTTGTCAAAAGTTATTGTTTTCTAGGTCCAAAAATCTTCACTAAGCTTCCAGAAGCCATAGCAAATTCTAAAAACTTGTGTATATTTTTAAAGAAAACAAAAGCTTGGTTACTTGGCCATGAAAATATTAACTCAATTTTAAATATAGAGAAATAATTGTTCATTCTACATTGTTTTGGTTTAGAACACTATATGTTTTATTTAAATATTTTGATTTAGTTTGTATTTATTAGGTATAAGGGAGACCAACGTTTTTTTAAGTCAAGACTTATTTTAGAATGATACTCTTTTGCGCATTGATTAGATTTATTGATATTGATGGAACCTCCACACAGGCTTTGCCTTGGAGGCCCTAGATATTTCTGAAATATTGCTTAACATGTGTGTACAGTAAAAATTTTTAGTTTATTTGTGTTATTAGAGTAAAGTATCACTTTCAACTTTTGAACAGGATCCTTTTTTTTACATTGAGGCTTATAGTTTAAATTATGGTTTGTATTCTAAGTTTATTTAATAGTGATTTTCATAACCTGTATATTCAGCTATTATTACTAACAAGTTATTAATGTAAAAACCTTTGTAAGATTACTTATAATAGCGTAATATATTATACTTTACGTTGATGATAGTGTACTGAGAACTGTGCTATGTATTGTTGTAACTGTAATTTTTCAGAAATAAAAAACATTCATTCATTCATTCATATACAAGGGTTTTTAATTAAGGGCTTTTATGTTGTTTTTACGCTATAATTACTGTCAACTTATTACGGTAAGGTTAAACAAAATAAACTGTGATAGCAAAATAAAAATACTATAGTAACCTTAAGAAGTAAACCGAATCCTAAGATAACAAGACTCACTTTTCTCATTTTCACTGTCCAAGCAGATGTGATCTCTGCAGACGTTGTTTTCTTCCATCGTCAGTTCAAGGTCGAAGAACACAGATTCCAGCGTAGGAGGGGTGATTCCCCCACCACTGGGCATGCGGCCGTGTCCACCTCCCCCCGTACTACTGCTACCCCCTCCCTTCATCTTGGCGCGTGCCTGTCTGAACAGACGCAGATGTGATGCGGCGTCGTCCACGAGCCGCGTTGTCAGGTACGGAATCCAGTCTATTTCCTTCATCCTACAAAAAAACCCACAAGAGCTATGACGTTCATGGTTTGAAGTTCTGGTGAAGGTGTATTTATTTTTTTAAAGAGATTATTGCGGACATTTTCCACAGTGAGTAATAAACATGGTTTTCACAATGTTTTGGGCTTGAAAAATCACCAAAAAAACCCATCTTTGTCTAGACTTATTTAGATTTATGCATTAATCGGTTAGGTTTTAGGTACTATCGCACCAGAGAATAGAGTGGAATTCCATATGCCAAAAGATAGTAAAAATATTGATTTTAATAACCGTGAAGGAAAATGTCCACAAAAGTCCCCTCAATAATATAAATGACTATAACATGTCACATTTTACAGGAAGAAAACTGGGTCTAGTGGTCATTGATGAATGAAATGATATTAGCCTAGGCTATTCATTCTGATAGCACCTGGACTGTGTATAAATAACTTTATAGGCTTACCTCCGTCAGTAGTCCAAAATTGTGTCTAACTTCAAATAATGTACTTCAGTTAGTAGTTCAATTATTGCTTCAGGTAGTAAGTTTGAATGTTGATTTAGGTTGTCACGAGATTCAAAGTTCCTGGATTCAACCATCACTAAAGAGTTATGATGGAGTACACTTCCCATATGAAAGCTATTTTAACATTTACTAACCTGGAGGCGAAGGAAACAATAATCCTCTGAGCTAAGATGCGGATTTGATGTGGGGCTTCTTCATCAGCACTCAGCGGATCATACCTGGGGAAGAAAACAAATTAAATAACTATTCAATTATATGTTATCATTTAATTTTTTGCTACTTTGGCATTATACGGAGGCCACATATTTTACAGCCTACTGCGGCGGTTATGTTAGGTTGGGTTATGATAAATATGTTTGTAGGACATTCCTAGTTTCGTTATGAATCGAACGATACCAGATGAGTCATAGACTCTATTTATGATAACCCAACCAAACACAACTGCTACAGCTCGCTGTATAAAGGTGGCCTCCAAATAGTACCAAAGTACCAATTGTTTTAGTCCCTCCGTACACACTAATTCTGTATGATATAAAAGAATGTAAAGAATCAAAATAAACTAGTTTTAGAGCCGAAAGATCACAGACAAAGGACATCCTTCCAAGAGCATACAAGCCTGATTAAATTTAGCCTGAACAAGAGTCCCAACTTAAATTATTATCAATAATGATTCGTTAACATTTTTAATAATTTACTTTATTAATTTTAGAATTAATTTTCATTAGTTTAGTTTTTATTCTTAAAAAAAAAGAAATGTAAATGCTTTTATTTTCATTCAAAAGTAAATGTTTGTGGTTAAACAAATGTTTAGGTTTAATTTTGTAATGGAGAGACAATTTAACAATTTATTTATTTACCCTGGCCTGGTTTGGACCACCAGACCAGAGAGAGAGTAAGAATTTTGTACACCTTAGAGAGCTTACCTGTCACTAAAAGACATGTATCGTATGCATATAGGCAAACTTTGCAATCTGTTTCTGAAATTCAACTAGTTAGACCCTTTGTACACTAGAAAAATAGAAGAGGTGCTAGGATAGATCCTTGGGGTACTCCGTATTTACCATGGGTAAACGTAGTCTCTGATCAGGTAGGTTAGAATCTCTTGCAGCTGATCATCAATTATCTGTGACCCTGTGAGACGACGATCCGCCTTCAGCTCTCTCGGAGGCTCCTTCATTGCTGAGACAATCTGCAGCAAAAGTAATGATTAAGAAATCGATATGGATACCTTTCTTCAAGGTTTAAAGCTGGGTTCACAGTTTATGTATTTACAATTGAAATTTTTGCTACCCTAGTAAGATTTGTTTTTTTATTATCAATCAAGTGAAATTTAGTCCAGGTAGATCTCCAGATCACCTGACTTATGAAACTCATCTTTTTTGTTTTGTTTTCTGAACGGATAGATCAACATCAGGAAAGTGAATCAACCTATCAGACCACAACATTTGATGGTAAATAGCAATCAGAGATGCGAGATAAAAACTATTCCTTTCCAAGAAAACAAAAGAGAAAAGACCTTAAAAAATAACATAGCATTAAATAGGATGAGATGCTAGACTAATGGTTAGCGTCTCAAACTTTGATGCGAGATAGACGAGTTCGATACCTGCCGTTTCCGACGTATTGAGGGGTTTTCACCATATCCCTTAAGATTTCTTCCATTCAAAATAATGCAAATGGCGTAGACAGTGAAAAACCTTGATTTGTATATTTCTTTGGATCACTTATCCTGTCTACTACAGCAGTTTGATTCTAAACGCAAACTTAGTTCATGTGTTTCAATAAGGTGAAAAAACTAAAACTATATACTTCATTTTAAAGAACCTTAACATAATGTAATCTCAACACTGTAATTATTTCCTTTCATGGTTAGGCCTATTTTCAGATAGCCTTTAAAAATAAGCATTTGTTTATTTCGTAGCACTAGATCAATTTACAATTAACTTACCTTGTATAAGCCAGGGATATCGACTGGGGCTCTCCCATCTCTATACTTGTCCGTCACTGTTTTATCTTGCCGTACAAAAAGTAGAGCTAAACCACTGCAACAAAAAAAAATACTTTAAGCTCGTACTATGTTTTTTATCAATGTTTATTAAATAGGTTTTCTATTACTGACATACATTGTACTAGGTGATTCTATTGATTCTTAGGTGTACTTACCACTGAGATTTTTCTCACCAGGGTATTTTTATTACCGGTAGCCTATTTTATAGTTTTACACAGTTAAATACAGATGGTTCAGTTTTAGCAAATTTTTTAATAGGGAAGTAACTTTTGTCGTGCCCTTCATTGCCAGATACCACAGTACTTCTTTGGCTTGAGGCCCCCAGAAGCCAAAAACCTGTTCATTCTAATTGTTTTATATAGACTACACATTTGTGAATAGGCATACCGGTAGTAATTCTCATACAAATTATCCAATTTTGTTAAAACTTTGATAAAACATGTAAACCAAATTGTATTTGATAAAGTTCGTGAATCAGCCTAGTCTGATCATGGGAAGGGTGGTTTGTACCTATTCCAAAAATCTCTGTTATTGAAGTAATAAATTCAATACGCTCAATTATGTTTTATTAGATGATCTTTTACATGCGAATGACAAAGCCATATCGCGGTAGCTAATTTTTGGAAAAGCGAAGTCTGATTTCCGGACACGGAAAGTAAGTAAAGTAAGTAAGTAAGTATGTTTTATTATCAAATCAAAACAACAATAATGTAAATATTTTGTGATTGAAATGACTTAATCAATAATCATCCACAGGAAGAGTTAGATAACACAAGATTATGAAAAAACCAAAGATTAGATAACCGTGACTCTGTTGAGCTATGTTAAACTAGCTCGAATTACTCATGTTTAAACATGATTGGTTTATAGTTATTTATAATATGTATTTTATAGTTATAATGATTTTTTTTTAATTTGACTTGGTTAATGCATAAGTTTTGTTAATCCAGCCCAATAACTGACTTACCTATATATAATTATTTACTACGGTCACCACCAATCTAACCCAGCACATTGGGATGTAAATTTATAGCATTAACATATAATGTACTTAGTCAAACTTTGTAAAAGAAACTTACCCTATTAAAATAAATATTACAATCAAGGTAGCGGTGAGGCAAAATATAAAACCAAATGTTGTAATGAACAGGACAAGGGTGAGCCCCATCCAGCCCCATAATGTGATGTTCATCTGAAATCAACAGTATTTGGTTAGTAATTATACAACTATTCATACTCTGAAGGAGGCTATGACTAGCAATTGAGCCCTCGATCTTGGCAATCATGGTTGAAGGGAACATGAATTATGGTCACAGAAATATTAAAAATCATTTGCCTTAGAAATATTTCAACCTTTCAACTAAATGCTTTAAGCACCAATTAGGCCTACGGTGGGCTTGTATAAATTCTGGTTATGAAAATCATAGATTATACGATTACATTAGAAAGACATTTGATAGGCCTAACAAAAAATATAGCCTTCACCAAACGAATGGAATTTGCACATGAATAGGCTTAACACTAAATTATGGCATTTTATAAATAAAAAAACTACAGTATAGAGTCAATGTTTTCAAGAGCCAGGTCAAAATGTAATTATCAGGCCACTTTTAGATTAGGTAGTTAAAAAACATATAGGCCTATTGTCACAACAAATTGAATATAATAATGACCTAAACTTAGGCTACCTGGAGGTTTACTCACAGATACTTTGAGTATCATAAACTCAGGAATTAAAATTAGGCCTAAACTCAACACTTGTAACCTACAACACGACTTGTGTACGTATCAACTTAACAATAAAAAGTATAATAAAACCAATCATTGAGTATTCTGGAGCAATGCTAACAATTAAGTGTCAAATTATGAACCCCAATTGTGAAAAAGACTCTAAATTCCCAATTTTAAAACAGCTAACTTAAAGGCTACAATTTTTACTCTTTTTTCAAACTACACTTTTATTGCAACGAGATCTTCTCCTCTCCAACTCAGCACACAACAGCTACACAAAACTGACCATCAGATTCAGTACACCGACCTACATGATGTAGGTACCAGCTTTCTGTAGGTCAGCACAACAAGTTATTGTTTTACAACAAATCCAGCCTACTCACACAACATTGTCAAACACTTCCTGTTTACTATTTGGATCCCTCCTACTATAGTTAAACAAGAAGGTTTCAAGTTGGTAGAACCTGGTCTTTGGGTGACGGCCGACATTTGTGACGCTATTCAGCAGTCCATTCTCAAGGCACTAACACTCATTCACTTTTTAGTAAAAACAGGTTTCAAGCATTAGGTACATTACAGTACACCAATCTGTTTAAATTTCACGTCCAAAACATAAGCAACATCACTGAAGTCCAGGATCTACTAAACTTTAATGAAATCGACCGTGGAAGCCTATCACAAACGAAGAATGTTATATATTTTACTTCTTACTTTTAGAGGCTGGTTTATTAAGTCCAGCCCCAGATAATATCATATCTTGATTCTTTAACTTCAAAAGTATTAAATAGTGTTGAAGGGTATGTTCTTTACAATTTCAATATAGCATAGGTTGAATCAACGTAAAAAGGTTAGTCACTTTATTGGACTAACAAAGAAAACAACCTTGCCCATTAAATGGTAATTTGATTAACCTATTAAATGCACGCTTACTTAAGGCCATGAGACATTCATTATAATGAAAATACATTACCGTACCTTTAATGACAAATATCGTATAGCCTAAAAAAAAACTTGTGAAAGAAGAATTAATTATTAACAGATGAACAGGTTTTTGGTCCAACTTACAAGTTTGACTAGGGCCTGTTTAAAATATGGTACATTTAAAAGTACAAGTAAGGATAGGCTATACAAAAAAAATGTTTAATTCTAAACTTACATTGACCACTACAGCGAGAACACAATGTAATTCATGATTGTGATTATTAAGTTAGATACGAAAACTCTCTTCCATTAAAACCTGGCTATTGAAGTGCCATTTTTCAACATCTCATTGTTTTGCTGTTCACTCAACACTGACTTGACTAGTGACTGACACTGACAGAGACAGACTGACAGACATTAAATTTAGCATACACTAACACTATTTTACATTATCAGCTGAATAGCAGAATGAATATTACAACTCAAAAAGTTGACTATAGTGTCACAGAGTATTTTCTAAAAGATTGACGTTTCAACCATTGATTATAGAGACATTTAATTTCATTTCAAACACAACATTCATTCTTTTTAAAGTGTATACGCCAGTTGCTTTGCTTGTCTTATGAAGGATAAAACACGGATGTTTTCAAGGGGAAGCCAATCAAACACATCGATTTTTTTTATTGATATGACGCCATCAAATCTGTTCCTCTCCATCCAGTCACAGCGAAGTACTGGCTAGTTAGACAACAAAGGCACGCCAATAGTTATTTTGTTTTGTCGAATTACGCACATACCGTTTTTGGATTGACGGTAGAAGAAACATTTTGCGATATTTTACAACAATCTACGTGTGTGCGGCGGACTTGCCGACAGCATTAACCTCAGTATGACTATACCATACCTCCGTAAGGCCAGGCGCACACAGGCGATTTTGAGTTGCGCAACAGTTGCCCGACTAATCGGGGGACTGCTGCGCAACTCTCTCGGAGACTCTGGAGTCTAGCGACAGTTATAGTCCTTGCCTCCCTAAGTTGAGGCAGTCAAAGGCCGCACTAGATATACGCCGTGCGGCCTTGAGCTGCCTCAACTTAGGGTGGCGAGGACTATAGTTGAGCTGGAGTGCGCACACAGGCAACTTTTTAGTCGCGGATCTAGTCTTGAGACGTGTTGGAAATACATTCGTAACAGCGTTCCGAATGGATTTCAATGATACAGCCGTAGTACTGTATGTGCTTTGTTGCTGAAGTTTCGCGCGCGAAAGAAAAAGAGAAGATACTGGGTTAATCCCATATTATCACATATAGTGAGCAACTTGTGAAAGGACAGTTTCAATGACTTTAAATATAGTCGGCCTCTTCTCAAACATCATCATCACGCACACTCATACTTGTAATTTTCTAAAATCTTCACACAACAAGAGAGCAAACACTAGTGACAGTTCTGGCCCCGAGTAGTTGAACTCCTGGGGTGAGACTGAGCGACACAGCGACTATTTAGTTGCATGTGTGCGCATCTACACTAGTTTCAACGGATACCAAACCTGGAGCGACAGTCCCGCAACAATTCAGTCGCAGAGCAGTCGCTGGCAAATTGGGTCCGGGAACATCGGTTGCAACAGTTGCACGACTGTCCCCAGACTGTTTCCTTCGTGTGCGCACTCCAATTTAAAACAATGTTGAACATTTTAGTCGGGCAACTGTTGCGCGACTCAAAATCGCCTGTGTGCGCCTGGCCTAAGAACCGCATCACTGGGTTGGAGCAGAATCAACGCGGTGGCAATATAGTGCTCGTATTGAGAGTGATGGCCTTTCCCTTTCCTTACCGGCCGGTACTTGCTCATGTGCAATGCTCAATGCGCTGTCTAGATGTTGACAAAATATAACTGTTGTGGTGTTGGTGTTAGATGTAATGCCATTTTGGACTTTTCCCGACTCAACCATTTGCTGCCTTCTTTGAAGATAGTTCAGGAACCACCTCAATGCTGGAATCTCTGAAACCCAGCAGACTAATCTTTTCTAGTAGGTCATGACCAAGGCAGTCAAAGACCTTTGGTCATGTCCATAAAGATGCCAGTCGTTGTATCACCTTCATCAATTCGGTCAATATGGTGTATTCAACTACTTCCAACAACACTGATGTCAAGGTGGACTGTATGCTCAAGAGGGAGTGTTGCACGACGTCCAATGATATAAGTCAGTGTCATGACGTCCAAAATATAATTTTTGAGCTGTCTCACGACGTCCGATATAAACTATTCGACTGTTGCACAACAACCAAATCTCATAATGTAATGTCCAAAAAGTACAGTAACTGCAACTGCAAGAAACATAGTCATTCTACAAGCTTTGGACGTCATGGGGTGGGATGTCGTGCAACAGCGCACTTTATACTCTTAAAATCGTAACAGTAGCACCACATCCAAAATCCGCTGGCAGTTGTTTCTTAATCATGGTGGGATTTGGAAGTCTTGCAACAGTAAACTATTTTATATTGGACGTCGTGAAACAGCTCAAAAATTATATTTTAGACGTCGTGACACTGGCATAATTAAACGTCGTGCAATGCATCCGCTCAAAAACCCGTGCTTTTACTGGCAAATAATGTTAATAACCACTCTCCTACTCACATATGCAATCAATCAATCATTGAGATGGGGACGCCACCTAGGTGCGTTTAATATGTCAATCATCACTTGAAATATCAACACAATCCTTATTTTCACAGTTATTAAGTGTAATAGTTCAGATCCTTTTTAAATGAACTAATTCTATGGCTTCATTATATCTGTAAAATTATTTATAAAATCAAGGGAAATTTAGATAGTACCTAGTGCCTGTTTAGCAAGAGAACATTATATTACAAGTTTGGCACTACTGTGAGGAGTAGCTTTCAGGTTCGTTCAGGGCAGATCTCTTGTAACTAACTAGCACTAGCAGAACTTATGTCAGTGAAAATGATTGATTAAGTGCTAATTGTGCGTTGGTATAAAGGATACTGATTCTTTCGTTTTTGTTAGCAAGTCTAGTGTTATTTAACACACCTAGTGTCCATTGAATTATTGAGCAAAATTGAATTTGTCGCTATGTTGGTGCGTTCTACAAAGATCAATTGTATCTAGGAGTAAACATGGCGGTCAACACTAATGGGTGTTTACATGGCTGGTGCGTTTTTCGTAAATTAGAATAGAAAGGCCGATTAGTTGAGTGGATTAGTTAATCGAAAATGGGCCCACCAGGTAAGCAAAACTGTTTATTGTTAGTTAAATTTATATTGTCTTGCTCATAGCGTACGATATCTTCCAAAGAAATTTCAGTAGAACGAAGAAAATTGGCTCCACCAACAGATCTCGTTGCTGCTGATGAATTAATCATTTACAGATTAAAAAGTCTTAAACTAATAGTTTGAGTTAAAGTTTTAAATTTAATTTGGTGGTTACTAATTATAATTTTGAGCATTTTCTTGAACACATTTCCAAGAAGTTTTAACAAAAGTGATCACTTAACTTAGTGTAAACTTAATTTCATAAATAAAAATTTGTTGAGAAGAAGAGTTTTGTGTTCACTTAAGTTATTATTCACTTAGATCTACAATACCCTATTTTAGTTTTAATATACTAGCCTATTGTATAACTGTTCTAGCCTTTGAACTGCTCTTGTAACTTATGTGCTGTGTGGTTTAGTAGGCCTATGACCTATATTTTACTATATACCTATGCAGTGCTCGATTTGTTTAAAATGAGGTGCCGGAACTGTAAGCTCATCTTTATGAATGTGATTTGTACCTATTGTGGCAAATATTTTTATCTTTGCAACAGAGAGGTAGGCCTAGGCTACCAGAACTCTGTTCTGCTGCGTTCCCCACAAATCGAGCACTGGGCGAAGGCTATGTAAGAAAATTAGTCCGACTGGCCATCTATACTATAACTCTATAATGTGTCAAAATCCCCTTTAAATATAAAACATTGTCTACAGAATCACTTGAAATATTTCTTTACGAGTTGTTACCTACTTCCAGTTGCTTGATGAAAACAATCAGCTGTTGGCCTACTTCACCCACCCCACAGTTCATTCCACTTGTAGGTAGCCTATAACTTATATCATTCGTCCCTGAAAAAGAGGTTGCATCTGTCGCGGGTATGACATCACCCGCCGACCCGGTCGGTGCTGCGTTTAATTCACACAGCTGCATCTGTCAAATTCTTTGTTATTGTTGTTTGTTTTTGTGTTAGTTCTGTGTAAATAAATTAATGAAAAACAAACAACAATAACAAAGAATTTGACAGGTGGCAGCTGTGTGATTAAAAAACAGCACCAACTGGCTCGACGGGTGACGTCATATGAGCGACTGAGGCAACCTCTTTTTCAGTAGGCCTACCATAGCCTTGCATCTGTCCTTCTATGTTTATTCAAATGTTGTACATTTGTATTGCAATATTTTGAGTAATTATCAGCAGCGGTGAAAAATTATGGTAGGCCTATATTTGGATTCAGGAGTAAAAAAAAATGTAAGGTAGGCCTACGGTATCTAATTAAAAATTAGTTTGGCGGCACCTATATCAAACAAATAGCCTAACTTACCTTAAGCTCCTCAAAACTAGGTTTGAATATTTTTTTATTTTCCCTGGGCCATTTTAAGATAATTTGTCTAAAGGTAGCCTATTTGAATTATTATAACCTTAATAACTTATAGGTTAATAAGGTTTTAACCGTAAAATTAGGCTATAACGTACCGTTTTGATTTAGTTAAGCAGTCTAACAAAGTCTTTTTACCATCATTTGAACAAAACTTAATATCCTATCTAAAACCTGATTAATGGTGCAGTCCTAATGAAATTTGCTCTTCCTATTAATAATTTTAAAAAAACTGTTAAACAATTTAGGTCCTTAGAGCTAGCAATCATTTGAATGTACCATCTATAAATACCTAAATAATTTATACTTTTTAGTCTTTAATGTGTATAAATATGTTAAAATCTATTTTATGGCTTATTTACACAACCAAACCTTCTGTAATCACATGTTGTTGCTACTATTCTCATAATCATAAAGCTTAAGAATCTCTCGAGAGCAGAACCTGTACCTCTTAAGACTGTACCCTGCAGACTAAGCAAAATTCCATTTAGGTACCTGACAAGATTTTCATTAAAATATTCCAGTAATAATATTGAAATACTCATTTCTGAGGTGACAGGTATCAGAGATTGATGGCTAAAGGAGTGATGTATATCTTTTGCCTTCTTACCCCTTTGCAAAGCATGCATAAATTAAAAAAAATATGTTGTAATGGAATATTGATAGGCTAGGTCTACTGGCCTACAGCAGGTTTTGATCCCCCTGTAGCTACAAGCCAACAGTTTTTGCAATAGTTTAGTGGTAACTATTTAGGGCTTTCTGAGGAGGATGTTGAAGACTGAACCTACAAGGGGCTGAGTTGATGGGCCAAGTACTGACTGGAGTTACTATTATAATTTAATAATAGTGGATAATTTTTATAATAGTGGTTACTTGATTATGTGAGAACATTTGGTATGTTTCAGCGATGCTGGTGAAGTGGTGATGAACATCCTGGGAGCTCTGATTCCGTGCGGACTAGAGCGAGGTTGCTGGTCCAGTGATGAGCGCATGACTGGGAGAATGGGAGCAGCGACTTCCACACCTCCAGGGGACACCCCTGCGCACCCTCCCCTCCACCCCTCCTCCACCTCCGACCAGCTGGCAGTAGTAGTCAGGTGTGTGGTCAAGTAGTACCTTCTGTGATTGGTTCATTCAACGTGGTATTTTTAATAAACAATTGGCTACAGTTGGTAAATAAAAATGGGATCTTTATTTCTGCGTCAAAAAGTCAGTGTTAATGTATATTCTTGTAGATTTACAGGATGTACAAAAAGAATATATTCAACAAAGGCTTAAATATCAAGGGTTAAAAACATGCCTTTTTGTAAATTACCACAAAACCCAACTTAAAAGATTCACTCATGATAGACAACAAATTAAATTATACATCAACTCTTAGGTTACAGTATTGATGATATAACACAACCAAATGTTTAGGTACATTCAAGTTCAAAATATTTTTGAAGTCAGCTGAATATAGGTAGGCCTACTGCAATTTTATGCAAGAAATTAAATATAGGCCTACCTACAATTTCTAGAAATTTTATGAAATTTCTTTATTAGGCGTTATCTTACAAAATGTTACAAACCTAAAAACACTTTGTTTGTCTCTAATATGCAATCTTGCACCAGTGGAGGAAAAAAGAGGAAATAGCTGTCTGCTAGGTAAACTTATTACCGGTCTCACAGACCAAACCATTTCCTGCACTAGTCCTGTACCGGTGCACTGGTTAGTGTTCCCAGGACACGCTCATTAACTTGACTTGACTTTTTTAAAACTTAAAAGCATTTAACATGGTATGATTTGGATAATTTTATTCATTTTCCAGGGACAGAAAAAGGATTAAAGTTGCTGGATTTGCCACTCTCAGAAAAAAGTTTATCAGAAAAAGGCGTTGCTCTAAAGCAATGGACCATGGTCGTGTCATCAGAGAAGTGGTATCAGACTGGAGTCCGCTGCAAGTGAGTTGATCTGAAAACCTTTTGCTACTTATAATGCTATATGTTCAGGATATTTTTACTAGTTACAGTACAATTTCACATTTCAAACTGAATTCATAGGTACATAGTCTTGAATGTCATAAAAATACAGATTTCTCCTCATATTGTTTCATTAAGTTAAAGTATGTAAGCTACATTAATTTTGCAAGCAAGACAAAATAATTTATAACTGAAAGCAATGGTTTAAAACTTTTTTAAATTTCTAATCAGGTATATATATATACAGTAGAACCTCGGTTAACCGAGGTAATTGGGACCGAGGGTACCTCGGATACGGCGAACCTCGGATAACACGGAACGTAACCTAAAAATCGTTACCGGGGCTAAAAATAGCTCAAGATATACTAAAACATGAACAAAAGTTATTAACTGAACTGTTGTTTAGTTTATTAGTACAAGAAATGTTATTAGTACGCAATAAAACGTGAGAGGAAACGGTAACACTCACAATACTAAACACTGTTTTAATATAACACTCAATTTATTGCACAACTGAATACGTATGATATAGGCTACACAATGTACAGAAGTTTAGTTACAGTACAGTATTCCTGTTTACAAAATTAAATCAAAGAAATGAAAATTAATTTACTGTACATTGTACAAAAATAAACAAAGTAAGCTAATCTTTTTTCCCAAAGAAATCAGTTATTGTTTTTTGACTTAGATTAGAGGATCTTAGGCTAGCCGCCCTGTTGCGCCAGCGTCGCAGCCAAACTAAATCGTTTGTTGTTGCGGTTTCTTGTTGTTCAATGTATGCCAGTCACTGAGCTAAAATTATAACTGGAGGTAGCACTGCCATTGCAGAAGTCTGTCAAAAGCGTGTCGCTGATTTTGTTAGGTTGGTATAGCAGCAGGTTTTTTCATCCAATAACATGGCTTCTATAACTAGGTTTGCATAGCAGTGAGTTTTTTCATCCAATAACATGGCTTCATTTTAACTCACACCTCACGCAAACATGGCGGCTGGCGACACGCATCTTTGACATTCAGTGCTACCTCCAGTTAGAATTATAGCTCAGTGATGCCAGTGCTCCCTCGATCATTCTTAGACCTTCTGTATGTGACATTTTCTCAGTCGCCCCATCAGATTCATCGCTGTAAAAAAAACTTTTGTCGAATCGGGGTGGTGGGGAGAGCGAGTGGCTCAGTCGCGTCTCGGCATTGAAACAGTTCGCATTGGTCTGGCGGCGAGCGGTGTCGGGTTACAACACCTGCAGCTGCTCTGGCGAGCGGTGTCGGGTGACAGTGCCGTATGCATTCGGCAAAGATAAGCGCTAAGCTACGCAAATATTTGGCCGAGGAAACACAACAGTTGCCAACATTTTACTGTACAGTAGTTTTAACGCATTGCAGGCTAGCGTGCGTATTGCGATAAAAGGAGCACCCAAACGCTCATTACTGTACGTAGTTTGTGCGTGTTTCTTTTGCTTTTTAAATAAAAAAAATCGTTCGAGGACGGCCTCGGTTAACCCGGAGTCTCGGTTAAGCGAGGCTCGGTTAACCGAGGTTCTACTGTATATATTTATACTTTCCTATATATTTATACTTTCCACCTCTGTACATAGTATATGCAGAAAGTATTGTTTTTTTTTTCGTCAAAATTGGTTAGCGTAGTTGAGTTTTTGGTGAAAATATAGGTCAGTTCAATTCAATTTGTTTATTAACGGCATAAACCAGTTAACAATATAGACTTAAAATAGTACCCACAAGCATTTTACAATTGCCAAGATAACAGTTACCTATACATTTAGCAGCAAGCAGGTCACATTAAAAACAAACAACTCTGACAATTATTGCAGTATTTACAATCTAGAATAAATCTGAGCAACATAGGAAGAGTAATATGAAGGGAGAAAAGAACAAAACTGCCTAAAGTAGTGAGCCAATCTATTCTTGACTAACAATGAAACAAAACAAAAAATCTGTTGGAATTAATAAGACAAGATAATGTGACTAGCAATGACAACACTGAAACAGTGGTGACATATTAAATATTCTCTCTGGACACCAAAATTAGTTTCTGTCTACTTGTCTAGAGCTACCGACTACACCTGGGGTACCATTTTTATGAAATTTGGTATCTGGGAACTAATTTTTTATGATATTTCCAAGCCTTTTCTAGTTTGTTTGGATATTTTTATTTTTAATAATGTTTGGACACATAAAAACTCATTAAATATCAGAAAAATTTGATTTTTACAAAAACGGCTTAAACCTTTATGGAAAAAAATTAGTAGGTAATCTTCTGGCTAACCGCGCTCCCTGAGAAAACAGGGTATAGACAAGTTTTGGACAAACTCTTGTTTGTTTACACTTCACAAAGTCCTCCAGGGGAAAAAATGTTGTGTGTTTTCTAAGTGTACCATGGCCTAACTGAACTTTCTACTGAACTGGTTTTTCTAAGGTAAGGTATTTTCCATCCATCTATTTTTTTAAATCCGAGCCTAGAGCATTTGATTGAAAAAAAAACTAAGAAATGTCCTGTCTGCACAGGTGGCAGCACTGTTGGAGGAGTACGAGGCGTTAGCGAGCCTAAAAGACTTGTCAATGCAGGCAGAGCTAGCACGACCTCCTGCTGCAACCTTCAAGCAAGACCTGTCAACTCTGTTTGACTTCAAGTATTGCACAGACGTGGATCTCATCTTCAGAGGGGCCTGTTTCCCCGTCCATCGCGCAATACTTTCTGCCCGGTGTCCGTACTTCAGGGACCTGTTGGCCGGCTGTCCTGGGTAAATCTTCTAAACTTAACTTGGATAATAACTAGTGATATTGGTTACAAAGTTTTGAGCGAAGTGGTTAGATTCCTTGTATCCTATATGAATGGTACATTAATTGTACCTTTTTCAAGTATTTGTTTATTTTACTTACTTCTGTTAATTACACATCAAATAATGACATTCAATCATTTAATTTAGTTATAGTTATACTGTGTTTAACATAAATCTATCAGAATATTTAATCTACAAATGTCTCGATATGTGTTTTCAGTGATCAAAATATTTTCTATCATTGGTTCAGCTAAAAGCTTCATTTTGGGATTTTTTTTTAAATGATCAAGTTAAGTTAGCTTACCTGAAAAAAAAAAACAAAATAGAGCAAGGGTCATCAACCTATGGCTTGTGACTTGCAAAGAGATCTTGTCCTACCCGCAAAGGGCCTACTGAGAAATATTATTTTATATTTTATAGCGTATAAATTGAAAATCAGCTCCCGCAATCGTGAAACCACTTGTAAACCGATACTGCAATTTGACGATCAATGCATCTGTCACTCACGATCGAGGTTTCGACTTTCACTTCCTCTCAAAATTACCTTTCTTTCGACAGAAAAATCACGAAAATTCATACTGTGGTTGATTTAGAATCTACAAACACAAAAACCTTCCCACCTCTTAATATATAAGATGTGCTTATGCCAAACTGTATTTTAGCCATGGAAAATAAAAAAAGCTTAGCAGTGTAACGATACATCTAACTTTTCCTGCACTTGTATTCCCCCTCTATAACATTGCTGTTGTACAGGTACGGAGCCAGGATATGCCTGGAGCTGCGCACACCAGGAGTGGACGTGGAGATGTTCTCAGCTCTGTTGAGATACCTGTACACGGGGGACATCAGTCCGCGGGATGGCAACATAGATCTGGCACTGCTGCGGAGGCTGGGAGAGGAGTTTGGTACACCCAACCCTCTAGAGGCCGACCTGCGCTACCTGCTGGAGACTGGCGACTACGCGGACGCGGCTCTGGTGTTCACCTCGGACCACGGGTCAGTAATACCGATCAGTCCATCAGCAAGACACTCATTACGCTTATTTCTTTGGTGTTCTAAAGTCTCATTTCCTTTCCTATAATTTCACTGATCCCTGGGCTTGAGCTGGACAGTCCACAAGTGTTGGGAAAATTCTATCTCTGTTGAAGAGAATATGCATAGGTCTGTTTAACTACGTCCTATGGTGCTGCCTTGTAATTTTTCCAGTTTTTTTGCTCCTATATGCTTAGTTTATACTTAATCCATGAGTCTTAAGGTAAAACTGAATATAACTTAACTTGAGTGAGAAAATGTTCCAGTTATAGAAGAAATTCACGCTTTTTAAAGCAAACTTATCTTAATCATCTCAATGCTCTATCTCCTATCTTGACTAGAGATAAGAACATACATTATTAATACATACATTATTATATACATTATTTTAGAATTATAATAGGAACTAGGTATTATTTCTTACTAGGGAATATCTAATTCCTTCGTTCATTAATTTTAATTTCATCACAGTATTTTATTATCATAGTGCATATTTGTAAATTTGGAGAGATGTTCAGTTCTCGTTATAAAATTTTTCATCAGCTTCTGATAAAAAAATAATATATATATTTAAGTAAGGTGAATAAAATTGACATTATTGCAAAATCTTAACATAACCAACCTATCTCAACAGGGGTCACTCAGACTACCACCGGCCAGACTCGGCTAGTTCAGAGTATGGGTTCAGACCCAAGCTAGAGTTACCGTGCCATAAAGCCATTCTGAGTGCCAGGTCTCCGTTCTTCCGCAACCTCATACAGCGACGCACGCGATCTGGCGAGGATCACACTGAACGAGCACTGCACATACCTACCAGGTCAGTGTCATGGTCTAACATTTCACTCTTAAATCTCATAACTTGCTTTACTAATGAGAAAGTGGATTTATCCTGTTAAGTATTTTTGCTGAAATGTTGTTTATGTTAAAAGAAAATATTCTAGGTCAAATAAATGGTTTTTTTTTCTTAGGGAAAACCATTGAAACCATTGGGGGTTGATTGTCTTTGAGAAATATTTATTAAATAATTATTAGTTGTGGTCTACAATTGTTTTATACATGAAATTCTACACGTATGTACCAAGTTTTGTGGCAATCGGTCCAATGGTGTCCGAGTTCATTATGTTCAAACATACAAACTTCCTCTTTTATAAATATAGATTGTACATGTTCCCCCCATAACACAGTGAAATCGTGAACGTCTTCGGCAGTCACGGCAACATCGTGAACACTTTCCGAAGTCTTGTCGAAACAATGAACAGCTTCTGTGGTCACAGCGAAATCGACAATATGTCCTGTGATTGCGGTGAATTGTCAATTTTTGATTGGGCATCTTTGCAGATACTTCTAGTGTGTGTGTGTTTGGCTTGGCCTTGACCCGACCAACAACTATTGTTTGGACAAGTGTAACTCAGCTAGTGTTTTGTGTTGGTAGGATTGTGCTGGATGAGAGTGTGATCCCCAAGAGATACGCCAGAGTGTTGCTACACGCTGTGTACCTGGACACTGTGGACCTGTCACTCATATTGAGAGGCAGCGGATGTGGAACCAGCGCTGGCAGTCTAGGAGAGGTGAGTAGTGGCTGGGCAAACATTGTACTAAAATTGAAACTGTTCGGTTTTTTTATATTTACCAGGGGACCATAGCAGTGATTGCTGCTTTTCAGTTAGGTATACAAATTGAAATTAAATACACACGTTTTTACACATCTAGTCGCGGTCTTTCCCTAACACGATACATGTCAACACTGCATTACCATTCTAACCTAAAAACAGAAAACTAAAATCAATAAACATACAAATACACAATGTTTACATTAGCTGGTATATTTGAAACAGCTTATAGAAACACTGTAGCAGTACTTCCATTAGAAAATTAATAGATCTTTGACGGCCTGTGGGGCAAAGCAGGGGCAATTTTTGACCCTTCTGATATTTTTCCCACCGTCCTTGAACCTTAAACTTTAAAATGAATCCTCAACAGCCATGCTACCTTTTTCCTAGCTTGAGATATTTCTGGGGGACCGATTCGCTTACGGAATTAAATATATAGATTGTGAGAATGGATGAAATTGTATTTAAGTTCAGGAAGAGATTTTTCCCTTCCTGATTTTTGGGACAGTACTATTCTCTGCCATTTACAAAATAGAAAACTTTTGTAAATGGCAATAATGACCAACAGTTTTCAGGCTTTATTACATTGTTCTGTGTCATGACTGTAATCCATTACTGTGGCAGTTATATTATATTTTCCTGCAATCACAGCAACATCATAGAGACAAAATCAGAGAATATCTCCTGCGATCAGAGAGACATAATTTTTGTTAACCACCACAGCAACGAAATCCTGTAATTCTTTCAAGATCAAGAAGACATAATCATTGTCATCCTCAAAACCAAAAAATCTTCAACATTTACATGATCTTGTAGACATTGTGATCATCTGCAATAGGTGTGAAATTGTAATAATTTCTTGTGATAGCAGAGACACCATAATCTTTACAATACTGATGAAACCGCTGACAATTTGGAGAAATTCCATGTCCATAAAATTCCAAATTATATATATGTAACACCACCTGAAGATCGGAAAAATATATTTCTCCTGAATATGTCCTGAAATGTTAGGACCCGCCCATTCCTTATTTATTGAGCTGCTAACACAAATCTTAACCAGAAGACACAGTGGGGTAAGCGTGAAGCCTGGTAATGCATTTTATTTTGAGTAAGGATTGTCATAAAGTTAGAAATCTATGGTATCTCCAAACCGCCGATTGACGATAGAAAGTAATAAGACTAGGTTTTGGACCGTTTATAATCCGCTCATGTATTGTATTCCAGGTGGAAGCACTAACACATACACGGCCCAGTCCCCTGGAGGAGGCCATGGAGCTGTACCAGATAGGCAGGTTTCTGGAGTTGGACATCGTGTCCCAAGGCTGTGAGGACGTCATACTGGAGTGGCTTACTATAGAGTCTCTGCCTGGAGTGTTGAGGTGGGGCTCACAACCACACGGGTCGGCCTGGGTACACCGGCAGGTCAGTCTCTAGCTGTTGTGCTTAGTCCTTTCAAAGAATTAAAAGTACTATTGAGGTGGTGTAGCAATGTAAGTTCAGTAGAATGTCAATAGTTCTACACTGCAACGGGGCGACATATATGAGGCAGGACTTCATTGGTCTAGCATTGTAATTCAGCTTTGTGAACAATTTATCTTTACAATTATTTTTTACTTTTCATTATTTTATTTTTTTATTTACCAATTGTACATACTTTTGCCAACAATTTTTTTGCCGTTGAGCATTCTATTATAAAAAATTGTTAGCAAACAATAGTCTTTGGTCTGGAAGGGTCCTGGTGGTTCAAGATTTATAATAAAGTTTCTGTTTTAGGCCAAGCACTTCCTGAGAGAGGAGTTTACCGCCATCACCCAGTCCCCTGTGCTACACCAGTTGGACAAGGCACATCTCATAGAGGCTCTCAACTCTCACTTCCTACAGGCCAGTGAGCTCGAGGTGCTGCAAGCTGTGCTCAAGTGGGGGGAGCAGGAGTTGGTGAGGCGGATGGAGGATAGAGGTACAAACAATGAGTAATCTTACATGTAATAAAAGATTAATGAATGGAGAATTTCAAACAACAACAAATCTTGACATAAGACACAGAACTGATAAAATTACTACGTTCTTTGTCAATAGAGAACTTTCTAGAGAAAAAATTGACTTGCGAGTAGTTTAAATCAAGGCTGTTGATTGATAACTTGTAAAAATAAAAGAAACATTCTTCAGTAGTAAATCCACACCTCAACTGTATGAATTTAATCTCCACAACAGTGTTATTAACTAGTCTGGCTATGTTGCTTTAATTTCTAATTCAAAGTAAATTTTAGATAAAACAAATCTAGGACCTAGCTTCATATCTTTTCAAAACACATTTAGTTACCGACAATTTTATATATAGATTTTGTTGTACGGTCTTAAATGTGGTTTAGGTCATCATGTTCTTCTCACAATGGTTTAATTTGCATCAATTGAATGTTCTCAGAGCCCAACCTGGTAAGTCACACGGCTCACTCAGTGACCAGGAAGGGAGTGAAGAAACGTGACTTGAGTGATGTGGAGTTGAGAGAGATACTGTCGGAGCTGCTGCCACTGGTGAGGATGGACCATGTAGCTCCTGCCAGCTCAGACTCTCTAGCCCAGGCCATCAGGCGAGGGCTAGTGTCCACACCTCCCACTCACATGATCGGCTCAGACACCAGGGACAGTCTCCGACTCAACGCCTGGGTACGCACCAGCCCCAACAGCAACGGACTGTTTGTGCGGCCACGACTCTTCATGCCTTACTACGAGGAGATCAAGGTAACTAGATTAGTTGTCGGATTAAAAAATGTATACCAAAGTTTGCATAGATTATTGAAAGACTAAATCAGATGTTTTTTAACAGGATTATTCTGAAAGAGTGATCTGAAAACTGGTATATGCCTAACACCTATCACAGGGCTTCAACATTGTTGTACACTTGTTTCAAAGTATTGTATATTACGTTACTAGTCTGGAAAATAGATGTTTACCAGTGCGGTAAACACATTTTGGACGAGTGATGTACATTATTTTTTGCCATACTACTCTTAGCTTACCTAACATTAAAAATTGTAAGAGAGGTTATGATTTTGTTTATAACCTCATTCTCATTGACACTCATTGTGATCCAACGACTTATTGTACCAACCACTCATTGCCCCACTCATTATATAATCAACTGGTAAAAATTTACAGTACATTAGTCCATAATGAAATCCCATTTGATTAAGCAAGCGGCAAACAGCTGTTTTCCGAATAAAATCCTTGCTTCGATAGTCCAATAAAACAGTTCAGTGTGGCAAAAAAGTGTTTATTTTTAACATTCTTGCAAACAATACTGTAATGAGAAATTTGATTACATAAAAAGGTCAACGAACCTTGTCCGTCTTCAGTCAGTTGTGTTGCATCGTATATGTATGACCTGCGTAGCCTGCTTCAAATTTTAAGTGTGGTCACACGTGTGATTTTAATATTTATCATTCGAGTTTTGTGTCGATATATGTGTAATAACAAAGATGTTTGTTGGATATTCATTCTCTTCAAGTAAATGTCGGATTTGATAATGGGTCTTTGACCCGAAACTTGTAATCCACTGACTCCTCGTAAGACTAAAGACAGGCAATGTACGTTAACCTTTTCATGTTTGACTGTTATGACTTAGAACGTGTTTATTTAGGCACTTGTGGAGGACCAGCTGGTACAAGAGGTGGAGCTGTTGAGACTGAGACGGGTCAGGTACATACCAGACATCCCAGACACCCTGTACATGGTGCAGGACAAGCCTAGACCTCTGGGAGTAGACGTGCTGGCAGCGTCTATACCTGGTGAGTGAGGCTATGTCAAGTATGGCTTGGTATCAGTGTTTGCGCAGGATTTTTACCCTGAAAACAGGGTTTTTAGATCATGTACAGGATTACAACAGGATGTAAAATACGATTATAGTGTCTGACACCAGATGGTTTTAATTTTACTCCTTTCAATCAATGTATTGAAAATATTAATATCTAATATATAAAATTCTCGTGTCACAGTGTTTGTCTGCAAACTCCTCCGGAACGACTTCACCGATCGTTATGAAATTTGGTGTGTAAATTCTGTAGGTATGCGAATAGGAAGTAAACTATTTCCCGTTTCGAAATTCTTAAAAGGGCTCCGCCCCAGTGGCTCTGTAGTTTCCCATGTTAACCTTATGAGAAATGGAATTAATGAATCTTAACAGCTGTTTCAATTAAACAAGTTGGTTCTGTTCTATGATGTTAAATAGCATTAAAGTTACAAGGATTACCAACAGGGTGCAGCACTATTATTTCTTTTACATTTATGACAACAGCTAATTTGCAACCAAAAGGTGAGTGAGCGTAGCGAACGAACTTCAACCTGGAGGCGAGTTAGCGTAGCGAACGAGCTAACCTGAAGGCAAGTGAGCGCAGCGAACGAGCTCCAACCCAAAGGTGAGTGAGCGTAGCGAACGAGCTCCAACCCAAAGGTGAGTGAGCGTAGCGAACGAACTTCAACCAGGACGTGATTGAGCGATGCGAACGAGATCATCTTGAAAATTAAACGTAACGGTACTTTCTTTCCATCGGTCTGTCTTAGGGGAAACCTATAACTTAGGCGATACGAAGTTCGCCGGGTCAGCTAGTTGAACTATAAAACGCTATTGAAGCTGTTAGTATTTTAAGGGGAAAATGCAACTTGGCTTTAGAATTTGATAAGGAGAAAGGAAGGATACACAAGAGGTTAATAGAAGACATAAAAGTAACACATTAAACGGATATTTTGCCCCTTTCAGGGGTTAAAGTCCAGGCCATACATCTTTATTTGTCTAAACCTTGTAGTTATAAGGGCAGGGGGTAAAAATCCTGCTTTTATTGCTAATCTGATTTATCATCCTCTGTCTATTTTCAATAAACTCCCAAATCCGTCGGCGTAAAATTCTGCCCACAAAAAAAAAGAGAGTGATCAGATGACTACGTCATAGTGACGTCCGCTCTGCTCAGGGGGTAAAATGCCAGGGGGAAAAAATGTTGTATTGCAGCAAAGCTAACCAGTTTATTTCACTTGCAGTGCCTGACTCAGCCACTATGACTGCCATGCTGAAGAGAGAGCAGAAGTTGCGACAGTCACCGAGCTGTCAGAGAGCTCTTGCCTTGCCGTTGTCTTCCAGACATGAGGTGTTACGTCAGATCAGACTGCGTGTTGTGCGAGAGTTCAACTTGCCCGACCCAGTTGCCGATCTGTTAGAGGCAAGTGACTATCTTGTTAGCTCTTAAACTGCAAGTTTTGGAGGTGAAAACAAGGGGGTTTTTAATTATTGCTGTTGTGAAAATTTTGAATGTAACCTATGATATTTTTTTAATTCCTAATAAATTTGTCAATCATTAAATTGTATTGTAGGCATACAGGTACCTTGCTTATCTTGTAAATTTTATAGTTTGGCAGACTATTTTAACTTTGCATTTTTCACCCGCCTACCCCTTGGGCCCATTTGTGCAACTTATCACGTAATGCAAGGGACAGTTTTTGTGTATGGACTGGACTCAAATCCATGACATTGCTAACCAAGGATTTCAGTACAAACTCACATAAATCTGTCAGCAAAGAACACTCAGTTATATTTACCAAACTTGCAGTTTTTTTATTGTAGAACGTTTTGAGATGAAGACCGTTGAATTTATAAAAAGTTTCTTTCCAACACTTTCCTTGCTTTCCTCAAGAACTGAAATAGTGAATCTTGGTTGTTTGTGTTTCTATATAGTCCCGTTTTTTCAAGCTTAGCCAATTGTAATATCTATATTAGTGATGGTCAAATCCGGATATTTCGAATCTCGAATCCGAATCTTAAAAAAATCGAACCTCGAATCTCAAATCTTTTAGATTTTTTCAAAAATCAAATCTTTTTGTGCACGATTAAGAAAATTATTACAGTTAGGCTACGTTCACTCAATGAAATGTCAAGTATACCAATCTAAATAATAATACCAATAAATAATAAATAATAATACTTAAATAATACCAATCTTGCCAATTCAAATTATGTAAATAATCAAGGTGTAGAAAATTAAACAATGCCAAAAACATAATTTTTAAAAATTGAAATTTAATAGCTGGGTTTACAAGCTGGGGAGACAAATTAAAATTAACAAATGAAAACTTAAACAAAACACAAAATTAACAAATCCTAAGTCCTTAATGAATTCTTTATTTAATTTGTTCAAGGGATAGTTATCTAATTAAGGAAAAATATTCAGCAATTAATAATCAATAACAACTCAACTAAACAAACAAAAGTAGGAACAATACACAATGAAGGAACTTAAACCGTTCAAAACATCCTCTTTGGTCAAGAGTCTAATGTAAAAACTGTAGGCCTATTACTTTTCATGGCATGACACTCAAAAGTTTACAATACTTAAAACATTAACAACATTAAAAAATTCCTTTTAAAATGGATCAATGAACATTAAATTAAAGTACCAGAAATATTGATGAACTTAACAATTTGAGAAAATTATCATAATCTGCGGTAATACCAGCGACCAAAGAATATAATAGACTGGCATCACGTTTAAGTCATCAAAGTAAATAAAAGAGGGTAGTAGGATGTAAACAAACCAAAAACCATTGTTAATGTTTAAAGAAAAAGGCAGAATAATAATACTGGAAAAGCAAAACAATAGAAGGGTGGGAGGGGTTGGACAATGACCTCGAAACGAGCGGCCACAGCGAATTGTGATGGCGTGGGGGGGGGGGAGGGTGCAACCTTGAAGCTATATTTAGACTAGAGGGCTGGCTTGGGGGATTCTAATTAGCAGGACAATGATATGATAAAAGTTTATAAAAGTCTTTTATCATGTAGAAACTTTGAATCATCAAACATATAATTTGAATTAACTACAAATATATTCAAATTAATGCCATGATTTGCATTTATAACATCAAAATACAACATTGCACAATCATGATATTTAGGTTAATGGCCTAAATTTATATTAATTCTTTTGTATGATTTTTTATTGTGATTGTTTTTATTTAGTAAATTGTAATGTTGTTAACAGGTGTAATATATTCAATTGTGTTTTTATTATTATATATTACAAGACAAAATCTGAGACTTAAATTTTATTATTAGATCTTATTTTGAGTTTTAACATTGAAAGGACTTATAAAATCTTATGTTTACGTTCACCACAAATAGTTGGCTGTTTCAAAATATTACGCAATTGCACGGGCAGACGACTGTGTCTCGAACTGACCTTGAACAGTCGTCCCGCCGCGTCGTCGCATCGGCGAATCCGAATATTTCCTAAAGATTCGATGGATTCGAGATTCGGATTCGACACATCACTAATCTATATATTAATAGGCAAGCATGTTTCTTTAAAACCTTTTTTCTCAAATACTGTTAGAAAGATATTTTCCTGTAGATGTGCAGAATCCTTTATAAATTTAAATAGGCAAAAAAAAAACACAAAAATGAATTTAAAAAAAAATCAACATGAGCCTTATGGGTTGCCATGCTGGTGACGAAATAACAACGAAAAATAACAGAATTTTATAAACAGAAAATCAAAACAAATGGAGAAGTTCCAATCAAATGTTTTAATTACAGCATGGGGTGAAAATTTTAAAGTCTGTAGCCTACATTAAATATTTTTAGTCGAGCTTTCAACCATTGGATGACCATAGTTTCTAGTTTGTAAAACCATACCAACTCTTATTTGGTGTTTAAAAAAAGAATATTATAAGTTTGAAATACAATTTAATATCACATCCTACTTGAAGATGATTATACAGTGAGTTCTAACAAAGTATTTGTGTGATTGTTGTAGAACGCCGCGTGTTACTGTACAGAAGAGGAAGAGGAGGAAGCTGTTGGCGGAGGAAATAGTGTAGGTTTAGAGAGGTACGGAGGGGCCAGTCGGGCAATCTCATACGCGAGAGTGGCGGCACCGCCAGGCCCCGGACCCCCACATAGGCCTGACCTGGGTGATCTCTACAGGAACCATCCACCTACACAGGTAAATTGTATAATGAGGAAGGTGTGCCCAATCTAAACAACCATTTCTATTCCATTTAGTGTTAGAAGGAAAGATCACTTGGATAAGGAATGCATGAAGGAAGACAGAACGTATACCCAAGAAAAGAGTTCCATACAGTTGACAGCACTAAATGTTCGTGAAAAAATGTGTTCTTCAACCCCAGCAAAAATTCAGAAGGAAGTAGTAGAAAGAGCTAGAATGTTCTACAACTTCCTTATGAAGATCCCCTCGAACAAGCAAGATGGTTTTCTTTAGCTCTGTTTCTGTTATGAAGGTTCATACAGGGTCTATCTTGAATAATATGTGCTGTCAACTGCCTGGAACTCTTTTTGGGTAAGTTACTTAGTTTTGTATCCATTCCTTCGTCCTTGATTGAACTTAACAGTGAGGCATTGCCAATGTATGTGGAACCAGCTGCAAGTTTTAGATCTTAATTGGGATTTTGTTGAATGAAATGTTTTTTTTATTTGTTATGAAATTATCTTTGAACTACTTCAAATGTAATTTAAATTTAATGTAATTTGAAACTATAATGCTTTTGATATTTTGTAAATTGTTCCTAACCTTTAGTAACACTTTTATTGATACATTACAAATTGTTCATGATTAGTGTTGTTTATTTAGTTGACATGTCATGTTGTGTTGGTAGTGCTGTGATAATGACGGACACCTGTCGGACATCATGCCTGACGTCGCCATGGCAACAGCCTCCCTTAGTCAGCTGACACTACAAGAGGTGGAGTTGGAGCTGGACCTGGGTGACGGGGCTACACACGCCCACCTTCCCCCACCACCACTGAGACGGTACCAGCCTCCGCCGTATCTACGGCCACATCCCCCGCCACCGCACAGGTTCATATAGCAGTGGCACAGCTGCTGACTGCCTCAACAAGGTAAACTCTATATTCATCTATTAGTCAGTGTATGTTGGGGGTTCGCAAGAATCGCAAAAGTGGGGAGGGCAAAAAAGCCATCCTTGCCCTAATTTCAAGTCAAAAGTTGAGGTCGGTAAATTACAAGACGAGACAATATTTTACTGTCCAAGCAAGGTGTCCAAAATTTGGCTGCAGGAGTAGTGTGACACTCTAATATGATGTCTTCGTGAAGATGTTTACGATTTTCAATGTTTACCGATGTAACATTTCCAACCCATCCTATTAAAAAAAATTAAGGAACAAAAAAACTTATTTCCTTTTCTGTCTAATCAAAAGTTAGAATTTCTGTCCCGCAAATCTCTGGCACACACAGTTTGTAAGTAGGCCTAATGTATTTATCTTGAGTTTTTAGTTATTAAATTAAATAAACAAAAACCCGGTACCGAGAAACACGTTACGCACGGAGGGCAGGTCTAGACTCAACTAGAACTAGACAGATAATTAAAATAATCGTTAATGTGTATTTTAGTGAAAATCTTTTTGTTTTATATTTTAACAGTATTTTACTAAGGGCTAAACCAGCACATGTAGATTGTACATTTTTAGGTTTAACTAAGCTTAAACAGTCAATAGGGTAATGCTGATTGGCTGAAATCATAATAATGCTAAATTTTTCAGTAGTGTAAGGGTGTTATCAACTGTTGATGTGTAGCCTCCAAAGCTGGTTTGAGAATTGTGATTAGTTTCCAGTTTTCACAATATCCATGAAAGCTTTTCTAGTTTCAGAAAGTTTTTGTATCGTTGTGGAAGGTTCTACTACATTAACTGCTGTAGCTCTGATGTATTTGTATTTGTGTATTTGTGAAAAGCTGAAAACTGAGATTTTGTAACGTATTGTCAATCGTCATAAACCTTTGAAACGGGCAGAGCTGGAATAACAGTAATCTAGTAGGCATTGATGAAAAACAAAACTTGATTTACTTCAGGTTTTGGTTACCACACTTAAAATGATAACTTTTGATTCCAGGTGAAAGAGCTCCATCAACTGCCAAGGGATGTAGCGCGCTAGTCTTTCAAGTATTGTGCGCGCTAACGTAACGCTCTGCTCTGTACATATATTTATAAATTGTTCTATCGTATATATATGTTGTATAGATCAGATAATATATGCAAGAATGTTACAAGTTGAGACCTTCGTTTCTGTTAAATTCACGATTGATTTTAATTTGTACTCAATTAAATGATTTTTTGGATGATTTTTAATCGAGGTCATCTCTGATCACCAGGTTCACTATCTGTGAATTTGTCCATGGTTGTTAATTTTACAGTTATTGTGTATAGGTCTGGTTCCTCACTCCGACACTCGCCCAACAACTGTACTGCACCAGGCCTGTGGCCTCAGTTACTGTGCTATGATTTGCGTATTGTAGAAAGTATTGTGTATGACCAACATTTCCAAAACCCCTGACACCTGGTATTGGACTTAGTTCTGAGGTCACATTAAATTTGATAAAGGAAGAAAAAAAAATAAATAAATAGCCTAGTTACAAAGATTGTTTTTTAAAATTAAATATTGGCAAAGCTTTGGTAATATAAAGAAATATGATATTTCAGACTGAGAAGTAAAGCAGCTTAAACCTTTGCTAAACTAAGCAGGGTTTCTCAAGGCAGCTATGTAGAGATTGTTCTACACACCTATATCATAGACTAACCGACTCAGACTTCTCATCCCAATGTAAATTTTGAAGCTAGTTTTTTGTGTCTAGTTCATGTTAGTAACACTGATCGCTAGTGTCGACAATTTTTTTTCTATTTTAGGGTTAATATTAAGATTTGTGCTTTACGGTTTGGTCATATAACTAGAGGATGAGTTATTGTTTATTATTAAATGGTTTTATTTGGTTAAACAAGATTTTAAATGACTGAAATAACAAGACACAAATTGTAAACAAAACATGATCCCTACAGTGCACCAGACGGAACTAACAATAAAATTGTCTTCAGCTGATCCATAAGGATGAGAAATCTATTAAGGGAGGATGTTTTTACTATGCCTGTTTGCAGATGATTTTTATTTTTTCAAATTTTACAACGATAATTCTCTATTAGTTTTAGAGATTTTTTGCCATAATTGATCTCCCAAAAACCTTTGCTTGGATTTGCCTGTAATTTCAACCAACTTGATTTTAACCTATTCTCTTGAACAACTTTATTTAGAAAACACCTGAAGGTGTTGAGGGTAACATTGGTTGCTAATAGAAGTTTGCTAACCACATTCATGTTAATAAATGATAAGAATATAGATCGGTTACTATCTCATTTAAGCTCAGTATAACATTCAACTTAATAAATTTTAGTATTAGTATAGTTTATCCCACTATCAAACCGAACATTTTAGCCAATCACCAATGTGACAATGTTGTGACCTGGTTAGTCTGACCCTACCTTACCTATCTAAAATTAAAAAATTATATGCGCTCAATTGAAGGAACTTATCATTTGGAGAACTATTCAAATAAACCATTTAATAATTATTACTGTAGTATTTGGCACCAATTTAATACATACCATAGGCTTCAAGAAATGAACACAAAGGAATTCTAATATGTAATGATGTATTAATGCTAAAATGATATACAACTTGAAAAAATATAAATCTTGTAGTGTCGTATAAAAGTGTAATATTTTTATATAGATTGAAGACTTTCCTATTGTAAAAAAAGTAAACATTTATTTAAACATCTTGTGGGATTACTGTGCATAAACATAATGTAGCTTGGTTTCTTGAATAGCAATTACAAGTCTTTGTGCAATAAATATTTGTATTGTTAACAACTGAAAAACATCTCTATGATCATAATTATTTTCTGCTTCAGATTTACCAGCGTTTTTTTCTGTTTTAATAATTATTATACTAATCAGTTGACTGTCTTTAGTTGAGAAGGTTTGATTCAGAGATTTTGTGCAAGTATTTACTGCTCAAACTGATTTAGTTTCTTCTTTGATAGCCACTTCAACCAAGAGCTCAAGTCAAATGTTCTGTTCCGTCGCAACACTCGTTCTGTAGAAGGTCTCTGTGTGTCGTAGTGATGTGTTGACTTGTACCATGGGACCCAAACTTTGTATTGTAGTTCTTTCTGTATCTATTGTAATTATATTGTACCATATTATGCGTCATATAAATAATGTATCGGTTTCGTGTCATTGGCGTTATAAGCCAAAGTGTTCATCGTTGTTAGCGTTCACTTATATCAATTAAGTTCTATTGAAATGGTTCGGCAAAGTGTTTTTGTTGCTGTTGATCATCGCTGCGATTCTGATCTGAAAAAGTTTAATTGTTTATGATAGTTGTCAGCTTTACTTTCATCTGGTTGAATTTTAATGTTGTGTTTGAAATTTTGTCCTTGATTTGCAAAACTTTTGAAACCTACAAAAGCACTTTGCCATCTGATTATTATTTGTTGTTGAAATATCAAACAGTGTACAGCTTTTTGTGATTAGTGATAGGACTGCAGAGAAGATTAGCATCGGTTGTGATAAAATAGTCTATTAGATTTAAGAGTACATCTCACCTACACTAGTGTGTGTGAAGACCGGTGTTAATCTTTCCTGGAGTCTTCATTTGTTTGAAACAAAGTGTACAAATTGTTGATTTCCTCTCGACGTGCTTAGACACCGTTATGGTAGATCCAATAGGGACAGGCGGTTGAATATTGTTGCTTATTTAGTTGTTACGTTTTGTACTTTGTTATTTTTTTATTTCGGTTTTTCATATTCTTAGACTTTGTAAGAGATAGGAAAGTAACAGATACTAATGTTGAATATATGAATCTTTATTGTAAAAATCGCTTTTAACGTTCTTTCATTAGGTTTCACTACTATTGGCAGTTGAGTACTAATCATTAAGGTTTTATCATGTTCCATTTGAAATAATGACTGATGTTAGTTTTTTTTTATTATTTCATAAGTTTTTTCCTAGTTTACAATTACAGTTAGTATTTAATTTAAACTTCCTAACATTGAAGAGTTTGTGGTACTTGTACTGATGTGAAATGTTTTGTTAGACTATATATTTGTTTTAAATTGTTTCTTACCAAAACATTGTTTCAAATCCACACTAGTTCTGCAATCAATCATAAAAAGTAGTTTGCTGACAGGTGTTTTTAAGATTACAAAATTTTAAGATGACAGAATTTTTAAAAAAATGTGTGTGATTTTTTTTATATAAAATGCAATAGGCCTTGGGTACTAGTATTTCATTTTGACTTGTTGAGTTACCAAAACATTGTTTCAAATCCACACTAGCTCTGCAATCAATCATAAAAAAGTAGTTTGCTGATAGGTGTTTTAAAGATTACAAAATTTTTTAAAATATGTGTGTGATTTTTTTATATAAAATGCAGTAGGCCTTGAGTACTAGCATTTCATTTTGACTTGTTGAGTTTCAATGGATTTTAAACTATAAACTATTAAATAAACATACAACAAGGTAATTTTGGGGTTGGAATTATACTTTGAATTCTTATAAAATAATGAGGTGTATAACTGGCTGGATAGCTGAGTGGTAATAGTGCTCACATAACAAACAAAGGCTCGCCAAATCCATCTTGACAAAAGTCAGTAGCTTTTTGATTGTTTGAAACTGAACCCATCTGTTCCTGATAATTGGGTTTTAACAGCTGATCTTAGTTACAAAGCTGCACAGATCATCTCACACCATTCTACACTCGTCCTTCACTCATATTTGGGTTAAATTACGCTCATAGCTTGTGTCTCCATCTCAATAATTGATAACGATTATGGGATGGTTGATAAAATCAGTGCTTTGCAGGAAGGAATCAAATGTGACATTCCCTCTTCCCTGCCAATGTCTGTGAATGAATTTATTTTATTTCTTTATCTTAGATTCCCAGAGGTTGTTTTAACATCCCTTGCCCAGTTTTGTATCCACTAGCCTGGACCTACTGCATGTTTTCTGTAAAAATTAACTCTGCTGTACAGTAGACTCCCTCTTATCCAGACTCCACGGGACCGAGGCCAGCCCGGATGACAGTTTTTCCGGTTAAACCGACATCCACGAAAACACGTTAAAACGAACCGTTTAAATGCACACTGTATACAGTATTTGACTTAAATTTAGGAGAGCATTGTATTTAGACACATAATCACTGGTCGCAAATCTTTCCCACGAGAACAGTCGTTTCAGTACCGCTCTCTTCCTGCCAATCTAGTCCGGTTAAACCGATGTGCTGATAAACATTGTCCGGATAAGAGGGAGTCTACTGTAGTTTAAGTGAAATTCAATATCTGTAGATAATTTTTTATTTCATATAACTAAACTTTTTAACAAGTACAGTAGGTGTTACAAGCTTTCTAATCTACTTATAACTGATTCCAACTGTGGCTTCTTAAAACTTAAATAAAGATAGACAAAAAAATCACGATAACAAACTGAAAAATAAGTTAATAATTTTATCACCATACTGTTTTGAAACAAAGTGGAATATAACATCATTGAACTTATAGCATGCTGTCACAAATGGGTTTACAGTATTACGTTTAACTTTGATGGTATGAAATATTAAAATTTTAATTTTTGTCTAAATCCATTTTATGAATTGTGAATGAAAATGTATTTTCTTATAATGAATGATCATTGATCTGCTAATGTAGTATTTTTTTATCATTGTTTGTTTTTATGAAACTCATATTTTACCAATATGAATGAGCTATGTATTTTATGAGTAAAATTTGTTTAAAAGTAAATCATACAAGCTTTTACATTTTTATTTTATTCAATTTTCCCTACAATGGCTAAATCAATAATTTTTCACATACTTCTCAACAACCTCACACTCTTACTGTTGCCATACTCTATGAGATTTTTGTTTGTTTTACTAAATGTATTACTTTGTTTGTATAATTAATGTAACATAAAGTTATTTATTTTTTTAGACAGGTTCGTAGATCTCGAGATAATGTCGCTTTTGCTTGTAAACTGTATCGCAATCATTTACCGTATATAGAGTATTTCATACTATGCTTATATAATATTGTACTTTTTGATGAATTTCAAAGACTTAGGAGGAGAACAAATAATGTAAAAAGCATATTATCAGGCTGTGGTGGATGTTGTTAACTTTTGTATATTTAATTCTATACTGTGTTGGTCTTGGTTCGTCAAAGTACTTAAGTTGATTCTTGTTTAGTACTTCGCATTCAGTTGTTTTCGTCAGCTAAATATCAAATGTGTATAATAAAGTTATACTTTTTTGTAAAACCAGTTTTTATTTTCACCCTCGTGTATTTGTTTATTGCTTCTAGAACTCCTTAGATTTTTATCCTCTTTAACTTTGTGATATGAAAGATACTCTCTACTAGTTACATTTTGCTAGAATAAACAATATATTTTTGTGGTTCTCATTAAAATTTTTATTTTCATACAGCTGCAATGCTAAGAAAAATGTAATGTCTATTTGTAGTTTTCTAAACTGTTTTCCTTACTTTTTAGCAAATTTCCCATGTAGGGAATAAGCTATTATTGTAGTACTCATGGCAAGACCTGGACCCGGTGCTAATTTACTTTTTCGTTTTGAGGTCCCTATAGGCTGGAAACACCATCCGTTCGAATTCATATATATGTGTGTGCGTATGTGTCCGTTAGTACGATAACTCAAACAAAAATTATCTGATTTTTATGAAATTTAGTATAAACATGTCAACCTACATTTATTCGAATGAGTTCGCGAACCAGCATGATCGAACTATGGGAATGGGGTTAAAAATGGGGTTTTTTAACTCAAACAAAAATGATCTGATTTTGATTAAATTTGGTAGAAACGTGTAAACCTACATTTATTTGAACGAGTTCGCGAACTAGCATGATCAAACTATGGGAACGGGGTTATATGGGGTAAAAATGGGTTTTTCCCATTTTTTACCTTTAAAACATAAAATTTTGCAATTTCTTTTCAAACTATTTTATAGAGCTTAAAAACAAATAATTTAGTATATTGAAGCGTTGTTATTCGCCTAATGGTTACAGAGAAAATTCCAAGAAATAATAAATTTAAAATTCCTATGTTATTCTTATGAAGAATAAGTAAACTGATGTAGTTTGCTCGTTTATGAACATATTTTGACCAAATTTCTAACATGTATTTATTTCTTACTAAACTATTAAAATTTCACAAACAAAAAAACCCTTTTACCCTCCCTTTTGCAGCAAACCTACTACTAGTTGTTAAACTATTTCGACATTTTTGTGTAAATCCTATCAGGCAATTGGAAATTCGCTTAGTCTGCAGGTTTGCTGTGGCGGGGGTATTTTACATTTCAAAGCTCAACTATTATGTTTCTAAAAAGTTTTTTTAAGTTTATAATTCTATTTTTTCCCTAGTTTATCTGTCACTTGAAATAATGATAAACGCCTCTGACTGGCTGACTACATTGAAAAACAATACTTGGAACGTAACATGTTTAATGGAGAAGTTTGTAAGTTGTATATTCCCTCCAATGTGCTCTGTGACTCAGAATTAATATGAAATGTGGGTTTATTTTATCATTACAAATATAGTGCACTAGCTGTACCTGCGGAACTTCATAAGTATCGCATGGCTCAATCATGTCCTGGTTGAAGTACAAAGTTCTAAAGTTAAATTAGGGTTAGTTTTTCTGATCAAACAGACATGGGCCACAATGCCCTGTTACATTGCCCTAAAGTGTGATAGAAGCCCCAATTTTGAAGGGTTGTTTACTTTTCCGAATGTTTCTGACATCCTGATGGTTGAACTGAGTGACATAGGCCTAATAAATATGTTATTGCCAGTTCCTTCTGAGACTGGATCAATAAAGAGACTGTAGTCAATTTTAAAGTACAAAGTGAATTTTGATTTGCTTATTGTAAACTAATTACGAGTAGAACCAATTGAAACTGTTAGTTTTTACATGTATACCACTTGAGGTTAATAAACAAGATTTTTGTTCTTTATTTTTGCTTTTAATTCATTGTGCCAGAACACCTACATAGGTTTTGTAAAACATTTGATAAAAATCAGTTTTCATTTCATTATCAATTTAAATATATATATAGGCCTAACGTATGCGGGAAAGGTTGTTCTCTAAGTACATCTTCTGAAGCTGTAAAGCAAACATGTAAAAAAAAACAAAAATTGTTTTGCAATTTTTGTTCCATTGTGGCCCACCCTCTCCTACCGTACATTTTGTACCTAGGGCGGAAAATTAGGTTTTGCCGGCGCGAGATAGTTTTTAGACGAGGTCTACAACTTAAAACGATCGAGAGCTGCAAAACCATTTCGGTCCGTGGTACGAACCCTATTTTTCACCACACAATACCCTATTACCAAATACCACTATTCACCACAATAATAATGCACGCTAACAGTCAAAACAACAATACCTGAAATGTTATGTGAAGACTGAAGAAATAATTTGAGAAGTCAGCAAAAATAAACATAAATAGCCTAGTTGCTAGGCAGCGGTGACATAAAACAATTAATTAGTCTATTGCAATGCTATGGATACTGATTGTGTATTTAATATGCGTAAATGTTTTAAGTAAGCAAGCGAACAGCTGATTTTCGGCCCTAGGGATGTAAAAACCCGCTTGGTCCCAAAATAAAGATGACAGCTGGCAATACGTAGCTTTCGGCTTCCAATAAACATTTGTAAAGCGGCTAAAAATATCGTAGTGTGGCGTAAATTATTATTTTACGGTAAGATTCAATTCAATTAATTTATTTACGGCATAAACCAGTTTACATAACTTTATTTATAACATGCATTTTTGTAATTAACAAGATGACAGGTAACATTACTAGCTAAAATCAGGTATAGTACAGGGTGGCGCAAAAAGGATGGTCGGTTTTAAAATAAAATAATGTAAGCAAATGATTTTACTCACTTACGTTTCTGGACACTTTCGAATACCCCTTTACAAAAAATAATCTTGTAAGATACAAAGTTGCCAATAGATTATATAAAATGTCAATCAAACGATAAAAATGCATGTACGGAAAATAACTTCCGGAAGATGGCACCCTTCCTTGTACATACACTCGTGAAGTCTTTCCTCAAAATTCTTTATCACTTTTGCCACTGTTTCTTCACCAATGGCCATAATTTCCGCACAGATTGTCTTTTTCTGATTTTAAATGACAAAATCACGAGGGATCTCGGAAGAAGATGACTATGTTCCCTTTACATACGTTAATTGGTGGCTGAAAGTTGAGTTTTGCTGGCCATGCCAGCTGTCATCGTCATTTGGGGACCGAAGACCGAGCAGGTTTTTACATCTCTAGGGCCGCAAAATCAGCTGCCCGCTTAATTTCTAAATTTAAGGGTTAAAACATGAACGCAAATTAAATGAACAATCAGTTGCAATTTAATTGTTTCATTGTCACCTCTGTCTAGTAACTATTTATTATTATTTGTTCTGATTCCTCAAATTATTTTTTAATAGCCTCAAAGTTGTAGTTTTGTTGACTATCAGTGTGCATCAGTATTGTGGTGAATAGTGGTAATAGGGTATAGTGTGGTGAAAAAATTGCGTTCGTACCACGGACCGAAATAGTTTTCGGTCCTAGGTACGAAATTTACTATTTCCGTGACCCTAGGATTCGTCCACGATCGCGGAAGACTATGATATTGTTCCCGGTTCCCGTGACCGTGGGAGACGTTCAATAGTGTGCCAAGATCGCGTAGAATGATGACGAATATTTCCTTGATCCCGGAAAACAATGATGATGTTTCCGTTATCGTGGTAGAAAAACAAGATTTTTGCCGTGATTTTGCAGGAGACGGTAATAATCTCAACACGACCGTGACAAATAGTCACGATATTACCGCGATAAAATAGCCACGTAGCGGGGTTCTACCTATATAAAAGTCTGTCATATTCAATAAATATTGTTTATAAATAATATTTTTCACAATGTTTCCAAGAAATGTATTGCTTGGGAAGGCTTACTTTTGGACATAAATATTTCAAAATTGTTCAAAATTTCGATTTAGACATTATAACAGTTAACTTTATACAGTAGGACTTGGACACTATGGACGCATATTTGCGGTTTTAACATATTGTTTGCCCAATTAATTTAAAGCTTTACTTTTTAGCATTGCCATTGAATTTCGGGTCAGTCTGATGAATGTTTGAAGCTTTTTGATCTTGACCACCTCTAGGGATTTATAAATATTTACATCACACAAGTGCATTCCTTTAACCAGTAACAAATTGCCCGGCGTCTCCTCAGTCTGTGCTGGCGACGACACAGTATCAGTCAAACCCCAGTGTAGCGTATCTCAGATCCATCAGGTTTTATAAGATGCCAGAAATACCTCAGATAGGCAGCGGCGGCGCACTCTCTGGCCTAGAGCCAACTGGAGATATGGTTCTGACGGACCTTTCCGGGCCATTGACGACTATTTCTGGCCGTTTTAGTTGGTTTTGGCCACCGTCGACGAAGGTACGCTCATTGTCTAGAAGGTGTAAGGTGAAATTGTTGAATGAAAAGACAAATTCGACCCGCAAACTGTACCCCCTCCACTGCGTGTCGAACTAAAATAGGCGCGTCGTCACCGCGGACTAACCGTTTGTTTATGCGGGATTTACTGCGAGTTTGTTTACTGGAAAGTGGAAACTGGAGTTTGGTTATTTCTCTGTGAAAATAGTTGTTCATTAGTGTGTACATTGTGGATGTTTATAGGTTATGTTTGTTATGCGTGTCTACAATGTTGTTAATACTGTTGCTGGTGGGCTCGTCTTCCGCTTATCTTCAATCTTACAGACCAAAGCAGCCAATACGATTAGGTAAGATTTTGTGCTCAAAGGTAAGAAACGTGCACTTCGAATGTTTTTTAACATTATTTTGAGATTTTTTTAATGCACTTATTCAAGATACATTTATTAAGTGTACGGCATAAATGTATACAATATCAAAATATTAAAATCCGAAATGAAACACATAATTTGTGTTTGATAATTATTAAACATAATGAAATAGGTAAATTTTAATGTGGTATCAGTAGTAAACTTATTTTGGTGAGTTATTTTTTAATTTTCCATACCCTCTACTGTAGTTTTTATACAGTTAAAATGATAGTTTTTTTATTTATTTAAAATTTATTCAAGATTATGAGCAGAAAAATAGTAGGTAGGCCTACTTAACACTCTGAATTGAACTGAACAAAAAAGGAACCTTTCCAGGCTTTGCCATTTTTGGCTTAATGCTTGTGACTCGTGATGCAACTTTTCTGAATAGCTCATTCACTTCACAAATATAACTGAAGGCTATTGTTCACAGAGAAATTGCATGCAAATTATGAATTTCTTTTATAAATTAATTGCTACACTTTTCCAAAAAGTTTTGCCAAAATTTTTTTTGTTTTGTATGAAAAACTTAAATTTTAACAAATCTATATTTTTATTCATGGACACATTATAAAATATTACATTATTTATCTAATGTTTAAATTATTAATGTAAAGACTTCTATGGCAGATGTAAAAACTGTGTAAAACCACCCTACCCTCTATTAGTTAATTTAATTTATTTGATAGAATCATAATTAAAACTAAAACATGCATATAACTGGCCTGTAATAGGAAAATAGGAAGTATAATATACACTTCAGTAGATTTTTGTACTAGAGATCGTAAAAGAATAGTAGTTATAATCATTTTATTATATTGTATAGATTATTTGAAACGTTTGGTTACAAAAAGACTTATATGAGTGAAAATTTAAAAACGTACGTTTTCATGTCCCTGGCATTTTACTTCGTAGCTACTGGATTTGTAGTTTATTATTATGTGTTTTAATATTTTTTGGGATGGGGGCAACATGTTACACACATTTATTTGGTTTTAAATAGGTTCTAGGTATTTTTTTCGTATTTTTAAAGTCTCGAAATTCACGACCATGACGTGTCCGTAGGGTACATTTTCCAACTTTCACGCTGTTTTTAGACTAATTATTCATGCAGCAATATATAAAGCCATATTTTTATGTCATCAATGGTTATTAAACTTACAAAAAAGGAGCATATTATAATTTTATTGTCATTGCAAACTGACTACCATGACATAATAAGTCTGTCCCTCGATTTGGCGTCACGACCATTTGGGAAAATATTTCAACTTTGGAGCACGACAGTGGCAAGCCTCGCGTTGATGGAGTCAGTTGGTTTTAGAGGCTAGTTCGGGGTGTACGTCAGGATTGTAGTGCCGGTCGTTTCGAGTTGAAAGGAGGAATTACAAGATTAATAAAGGAAAGATTGTGTTTTTTGTAATTTTGGTGTGTCCATGACCGTACGTAGTCATTCGATGAAGTAGACATGGTGTTAATTTTTGTTTATAAGTTATTTCAATTGCTAGATTAACCTAGAAGTCCACTTTGTATCCTCGAACATGAGGTGCAGGGCTACCACCAGAACAGAGCCAAATAACACGTAATTTCACGACCAAAGTTTCACGACCATCGCGGGTTTTTTCACGACCAATCCAGCCTTATGGATTATAGTGTGTTTGGTCGTGACAAGAACTTTAATATAATTGTAAATTGAACAGTTTAGTGCAATTGAAACACATATTTTTATTATAACTAACAGGATAATTGAAGGATTGTTTAGAAAGATTTAGATTGTTTTATAAAATTCACGACCGTACCGCTTGTCCCTGACCATCACGTTTATGATTTCTGTCATAAAAATTTCAAAAATTAAAATATCGTCATATTTCAATGTTTTATACACAAAAGAAGCACGCCTCTATGCAAACATAACGATTTTTCGGGTCTCAGGTAAGTTTTTTCGGAGTTATACAAACTTAAAAAAGAGATTATTGGCTTTTTTTCAATTTTTTTGAGTTTTTTATTTTTTTCTAGAAAGACCAAATATACTAAAAGCTCAGTGACCTTTTTAATGTATAATGGTCATAAAAGTAAATTAGTTTATAGCAAAACATAGTTATAAAAATAATATTAACTATTTTTAATATTCATTTAAACGTCTGTTATGGTCGTGACCGGATTTTGTGTTTTTCCACTAAAGATGCTCTTTTAAAAAAAAACTACCAAAGATATTGCGTTACCATGGACATTTTATGAAACTTCAAATGTTAATGAAATCAAAAAAATAATAAAAGTTTTGAAAAAAGGGGAAAAAAATTTGCAAAGTGTGTTTCCTGAAAACGTACGTTTTTAAATTTTCACTCATATACCCGACATTCATTTTGAAATCTTGAAATTAAAAAGTGTGAAAAAATTTGTGATATTATTGATTGAGTATTTCAGCATTTGACTGATTTTCCATTCAAGAGGTCTGCCACGTGAAAGTATAAAATTGTATGTATAGAATTGCCTTTTCATACATATATTTTTTGTATCAGAATATAATAATGTACACACGTGTCAAATTGTCTGTTTATTGTTACAGGAGGGTTGTTTGAGTCTTCAGAGATAGAGAAAGAGAGAGTGTTTACTTACGCGATTGACAAACTGAATGAAAACATTTGGCTGGCAAAGAACTTCACCTTTCTTTCTTCAGTCAGAAAAGTAGAACAATATGACAGCTTTAAGGTGTCAAAGGCCGGTAAGAGACTTTTTGTGTAAAAAGATTAGTTTTTGAAGGAAAGAGCCCTTGGCTTATAGGAATAACCTTGGCTTAGTGGATGTAAGAACGAATACATAACTAACATACCCAATAAAAGAGTTCCAGTCAGTTGACAGTGCAATCAAAAGGTTCACAAGCCAATTAACTTATTTCACCCATACAAGGAGTTCTTCAAAGGAGGTGGTTGAATCCTTGAATGTAATTTGTGAGAATTGTAGGTCTACTAGTTCTATTCTTCTACCTCCTTCTGAAGAAACCTCCTTTTAAGATATCCATTCCTCCTTCCTTTATCATGTATTTATAAATCTTAATCTTTATGTATGTATAAAAACATACTTCTTTGTAAAGTTGATTGCAGAAAATCTTTTAAGGGGTGAATTAGTATATTGCTGAAGGGTTTGAGAAAAAGACCCTCCTCCATTAACTACTTTAAAGTAAAACATTTTAAATCATTATTTTGGGCAGTCTAAAACCTGGAATCTATAATATTAAAAGAATTTGTTGGATTTTTGTGTGCAGCAAATCGAGCCCTAAATATTTATTTTTATAGGCATTGTGTACCAATTTAAAGCTATTATCCTCTAGATGTGCCTTTTGAGGGTTTGGATGATATCTCGTGAAAGCCCTTTGTCCTACAAGCTTTTAAATTTCAGTTGATCATCTGAACTGTTTCAAGTTTACATTTGTTTACATCAAAACAGATGGCCATAATACAATTTTGTTTACATTTACATGAAAATGGGGTTATCTGTAGTTGGTGATGTTTCAGTGAATTAATTCAAGTAAAATATTGTAATGCTATTTGTGTAAAATGTAAAGAAAAAGTTACTTGAACATTGGATTTTGTGGTGTGATAGGTTTTTGTGTTTTCATAATATGTTTTGTTCATGTTTTAGGGAATTTAGTAAAATTTGTAATGTTATTTGTTTGAAATTTTAAGAAGAGATTTTGTGTTTTCATATTAAGTTTCATTAGCATTTGTAATTTTACAAAGATGCCTAGAAAAGATCACGCACACAATGAAAATAATATGGTACGCAATGCATATAATAGGGATATGATGAGAAATAACCGTTTTCACCCTTATCAACTATACTGTAAACTTACCTCATATATATATCACAGATTTTGAAGTCACAAAGTAACAGAAGCTGCTAGTTCTTGTTAAAAAAACATTTACTATAGGCAGCACATTTGTTTCAAATATATTTTTAAATGATTTTTAGCTAATCAAAAGAATGTAAAAATTGGTACAGGGTGAAAATTAAAAGTAACAAATTTTTAATAGCAGGTAAATAGGAATATGTAGGTACTAAAATGTACTAGGTGAACCCGTGCGAATTCGCACGAATAATAAATTATGATATTATAGCAACATCGTTAGAAGTTGTGTCGTATCGACGTTGGTCTTGAGCTCGATTGTTGGCTATTCATTCTAAGTTCTTTTTGCTCTTCAGTAGGAGTATTTTAAAGAACGGAGCTCATCATGCTGAAAACTTGCACGTATGGATTAATATCAACCAAATGTTGAGTCAAAATGTGCATGAGTTCAGTGCTGCAAGAGCCATTAGCTTTGTTTAGCATTCTTTCTTGAACAGCGGTTTCGACGTCGTAGATATAAATTTGGGCATATGTGGGATGCTCCCCTTCTGACGGTTGTAAGGTGCCAATTGAGTGATAAATTGTGCGTGCACCTTAAACCATGAAAGGCCCTCCGCTGTTATGTTCTTCAATTTTAGCTCGAGTGCTGATCATTGCGAGCGCAGAGTTGTACGATCTAATGTTCTCTTTGTAGTTTCTGCTCAAATGATTTCCTCCATTTAGTAGGCTCTGGATATAATAGCTCTCTCGTTATGGTGATAGATTCACTTTTCCTTTATGGCAGCAGGATGAAAATCTTTCGCCTCGTCCTCTTTGTTATTCTTTAAAATGTCGCACACCACATTAAATTTTAATGCCATCTCGCCAAGTGAATGCTGCTGAGTTATTGTATTTGTCAGTGTAATTTTTTTAGTACACGTTGCCACTAACTGTTCCAACTCCTCGTCTGGGTTCCTTACGTTTTGCATTGCTTGCCGTATGTTGACTCGCCGTGTCCGACCGGCAATATTTCTTTGTCGTTTTCCCGTCGTGTCCTATAGGTAACATTTCTTTCCCGGGTTTCTAATTATTTTTAAAAACATGCAAACTGTTTACATTTCAAAATCAAACAAAACATCTGGGATTTAATTTTTTTTAACTAATGTATTGACATATGTTTCAGAACATAATAACATTCAAATCAATCACAATGTTATCCTTATGGAAGGAACTTTGAGGGCAGCCCACGCCCTTAAAAAGATATATTTCGAAAATCTAAAGCCAGTTTGCACATCTACACACCTAGACGAACATTTTGGTATATAATATGTGGGGTTAAATCTTAAAATAAAAAAGCCTTATTGTTCACAAAGTTTCATGTCGCGTATTAAATATATAGATAGATGTTTTCCTTTTAAAATATTATTGTTAACAACTGTTTACTTATCTATTTCATATGCAATCCTGTTTTTCTATGAGCTCTTCCCTTTATTGTTCAACTGTGTTTCTATGCACTGACAATGGCTCAGTATGGAACACTTTTAATTCTATTTTCTATTCGTGATCTAATGTGAGTTGTGTTTCTATTTGTGGCAATAGGCACAGGCCACTACATGCGAATGTTATTCACCTTTTTAAAAGACAATACTTCCAACTGAACTTTTATTAAGATTTTTGTTCTTTAACTTTTTTGTTTATGTATTTTGTGTAGGCTAATTTAATTATGATTGTCCATAAATTATACAGATTTATTTTGAATGTATTAAGCTGCACCAAATTTTTAAATGCTGTGGCTGTATTTTTTATTTAGGACCCATACCGTACCCACTGAATGTTTGTGAATTAACTGCTTCTTAGAATTAACCATACCAAATGTTAATTTGATACAACGTGGTTAAAATCTGACACTATAGGTGTTTTTCTAAAAAATCCTAGTAATAAAAATATTAATTTACTAAACCACTCTCTAGAGATCCTTCTTCCTAGTTTTTTTATAGTTTTAACCAGTTTTAACTATCCTTAAAACTAATCTCCGCTAAAGACTTAGTAAACACATTCAAACATTCATGTTTTTCAGTCTTTTAAATCTGTAGCCTAGTCAAATTCTTTCAATCCATTTGACCCTGTGGCTTCTTTACAAATTGTAAACTTCTTTTTAAATTTACCAAAACCAAGCCTCTAACTCTGTGTAGAACTAGACATTCCAATACATTCCCACGTTAAAGTGAATGTACAGGTCACAGAGGTCATTAACACCCTGAAAATGCAGATGAACAAAGAGATTTCTAATACCATTTCTCCGACAACTCATACAAATCCTTCCATTCCAACACCAAGTTCATTAAAAAATAAAAGGGCTCAAAGAAATCATAACAGAACTAACATATTCAGCGTATCCCTGCAAAATGCTAAATACCTAGAACAAACAAATCACAAACTTGCTACTGACTGCCGAGAAATAACCAGCAAAACCTTCAAAAACACAACGTGGAGAGCCAGACAAACTCCAACGAAAAAACTGCAAACTGAAACAACAACCGGGAGAGTCAGACAAACTCCTACTAAAAAACTGCCAACCGAGACTACAACAGGGAGAGTCAGACAAACTCCTACTAAAAAACTGCCAACCGAGACTACAACAGGGAGAGTCAGACAAACTCCTACTAAAAAACTGCCAACAGAAACTGCAACAGGGAGAGTCAGACAAACTCCTACGAAAAAACTGTCATCTGAGACCTCAACGGAACAAGTATCAACAGGGGGAACCAGCCACACCCCGCCACAAAAACTGTCACAAGTGTCACAAACAGTAAAAGCTCAAGAAAGCCTGAAAGAGACTAAAAATAAAAATAAACTTCCACCCCTAAATGCTAAGCCAAAGAGCAAAGACGAGGATTACAATGATTTCTTTGTAAAAAATATAGGATTTTATTCAGAACATATGAAGAAGCATTATGGATATTTAGTAAAAAGGGAGGCTGCATCGCTACAGGATAATAACTTTGTTTTTTCCTCACCTTCTCAGATTATTCCAACGCAGCCTGATTTTACTTTAAGAAAACTGCAAAAATCAGCAGAGACAAGAGAAACGCAACCTGACTGTTTTTTAGACAATCGAGTCAGGATGTAAACTCCAAACTCATCCTGCTGCACCAAAATACACAGGAAGTCTCAAATAAAATAAATAGACTACAGCACCTTTTAGAAGAAACCAAACCTGACATAGTAATTCTGACAGAACATGGACTGAAACCTGAGACCATAAGTAGCACCGTCATAGCTACTGGATTCTGCCTCAAGGCTCACTATAGTAGAATAGAACACAGAAAAGGAGGTGTTTGCATTCTTGTAAAAGAAAGCCTTGAGAGCAGCACAGTAGCCATAGATGTTTCCAAGTACTGTAAAGAACTGTTATTTGAAGCAGCTCTTATAAAAATAAAATTCAAGAACTCAAATCTGTTTGTACTGGGAACCTACAGACCCCCAAACGGAGACCTTGAGGAATCATTAAACACCTTTACAGAACTAATTGAGGAAACAAAAATTGAAAATTCCCCTCTTATCATCATGGGAGATATTAACGTTGATTTGTGTAACCCAAACAGGAAACACATTATCTTAAATGAAACTCTTGCTATGCACAACATCCAGAGACTACAGCTTCCACCTACGAGAATAACAAATCTAACACAAACCTCCATTGACTGGATATGTACAAATATGGACACAAACCAACTCACTCCAGAAATCATCAATGCAGGACTTTCGGATCATACTGCTCAACTCTGTACTGTAAACTTCAAATCACAGATCAACTCAAGTTATCCTGCCCAAATTGGACGCTGCCTAAAAAATAAAAACCTGCAAGACCTCAAGTATCTTCTCAGTCAAGAAAACTGGCTTAGTGTTACCTCAATAAACAATGCCGAAGAAGCTTTTAAAACTTTTAGTAACATAGTGAGAGTAGCTATGGATGCAGCCTGCCCCCAAAAGAAGATAAAAATACAAAGAAAACATAAACTAAAATTCTCCATGGACCCAGAAGCAGTGAGACTTAAAGCCAAATTTCTTAAAGCTCTAAGAAAGTTTGAGGTGACGGGAAATCCAGATGACAGAAGGGTTTCTATTGAAAATAAAAAGAACTATGACCTGTACTTGAAAACGATGCGGAAAAAGGTTAACTCTGACCAGTTGATGAAAGCTGAAAATAAATCTAAAGCTATCTGGGAAACAATAAACACAGTGTGGTCCAAAAAGGAAACATCCCTAAATGAAATAACCCTTCAAGTAGATGGCCAACTCATAAGTAATGTGACCCATGTTGCAGAGCATTTGAATACATTTTTTACACAAGTAGGAGAAAAAACAGTAGAGAAACAAAAACACCTAAAGACCACAGCTCAAACTCCTGACGTAACTCAAACAGGTCCACTGTTTTCCTCCTTTCAAAGCACAGACGAGAAGGAAGTTAAAATGATTATAAACAAACTTAAAGCAAAAAACTCGTCTGGAATCGATGAAATCTCGTCAAAAATACTTAAGCATTGCTGCAATGAACTAGCACTACCATTGGCTGATTTGATAAATAAGTCCCTAACAAGGCATCTTTCCTTCACTACTTAAAATAACTAAAGTATACCCGAAATTTAAAAAAGGTAGCACATTAGAAGCAAGCAACTACAGACCAATTTCCCTCGTTTCCACCTTCTCCAAAATATACGAAAAAGTTGTTTTAAAAAGACTTTTAGACCACTGCACAAATCACAACCTACTAAACAACCTTCAACATGGATTTACAAAAGGGAAATCCACAACAACAGCAATAATTCAGATGGTTGAGTCCCTGATTGACAGCCTAGATGAAGGAAATCTAACAACAGGAATCTTTCTTGATTTCAGTAAGGCATTTGACTGCCTTGACCACCAGCTAATCATTAAAAAGCTGGATTCCCTGGGGGTATCAGGGATAGTAAGAGAATGGTTTCAAAGCTACCTTACAGACAGGAGTCAGTTTGTAGAACTAAGGCACAGAGATAACAGCCTAATAAGAAAAACAAGATCAAATTTTCAACCAATAAATCGAGGAGTTCCCCAAGGTTCAGTTATGGGTCCGGTACTGTTTATTCTTTTTACCAACGATTTGCCGCAACAAATAGGAGACGCCTGCCTTACTCTTATGTATGCTGATGACACAACCTTAGTGTTTAATGAACCACTAGCTGAAAATCTAGAAGTAAAATCCTATGTGTCACTCAGTATGGCATACCAATACTGCTATAACAATGATCTCGCAGTAAACACGTCTAAAACAACTCAAATAGCTTTTGGCCGTAAATCTCAAGAAGTGCCACGACTCCCAGATGTAGAAGTGGAAGATGAAGCTAAGTTTTTGGGCATCACACTCGACAAGAATTTAACCTGGACCCCTCATGTGGACAATATATGTAAAAAATTAAGTTCAACCATCTATGCTCTTAAACATATAAAAAATGCAACAGATGACATGACAACAAAAGTAGCATACTTTGCACTTTTCGAGTCGCATATGAGATATGGACTTGTAGCATGGGGTGGAACCTCTGCCACTAACATGCAAAGAGTTCTCAGAAAACAAAAAAAGGCAGTCAGAATAACTGCAGGACTCCACAGACTCGACAGCTGCAGGGAAGCATTCAGGTCACTCAAAGTACTTACCCTTGTAGCACTCTACATCCAGGAAGTTGTGTTATTTGCAGTAAGAAATAACCCTACAAGGCGTGGCGAAATGCACCAACACAACCTGAGAAACACCATGCAGTACAACCTTCCACAACATCGCACGGCACAGTTTGAAAAGAAACCTTCATACGCAGGAATGAAAATCTACAACAGGCTACCTCCAGATCTAAGAAGCAAGTCAGAAGATGACCTCAAACCAGCTTTGCATCAATGGCTCATTAATCGACCTTTCTATTCCTTAGAAGAATACCGTCAACAGGTCTTTGACTAAACAACACCTCAACCAAACATTTAGAAAAAATTGTAAATTGACGCTACTACTATTCTTAATGAATGTGTAAATAAAGATTATTTGTCTATTGTCTATTGTCTATTGTCTATTGTCTATTGACAGTTTAGGAATAAAAATAAATGTACTCTTGGATTAAGCCAGTGACAAAGTGGGTACCAACTTTTTAACCAAGCCAAACTGAATGAAAAAACTATTGTTAACCGAAGCATCTGTTATATGTCACATCAACATCATGTTATATGTCATAGTATCAAAAACTAAGGGTAAAAATTAATAGTAGCACACTTTCTGCTCATTCGACTAAGTTCTTAACAAAAAATCTCACAACTGTTCGACATGGGTGGGATGTCTACTTCCTAGTATCCAAAGTTAATGACAAACCCCACTATATGTATAAACAAACATTCTGTGAATCTAACCTAAGACCCTGTTGCAGTGTGTGAGTTGTTGGCGGAGGGTGTCGTTGGGGTGTTTGGTCCCCAATCTGTTGACACAACAGATCACGTACAGTCTACCTGCGACACCAAGGAGATACCTCACGTAGAGCAGCGCTGGGACATCAGACAACGTCGCGGCTCTTGTCTTGTCAACCTCTACCCCCACCCCTCCTCCATAGCTCAGGTGAGATAGGCGAACTAAATAAGAGGTCCATTGTTGCTAGCTCCACTATTATTCCAGTCGGTTCTGGATGTACAGCTTATTTTAATCTGGACTGTATGAAATGTTGTAAGGTAAAGTAAAAAAATTATTGTAAAGTAAGGAAAGGTTTTGTAAGGTAAAGTAAGGTGAGGTGGAAAATTACTGGAGTGACAGGACTAAAGAAGATTATCATTGTGAATTAATCTAATGATATAACTTCCATGGTTTATCTGTAGTATTGTCTGGTCTGTTATTAGTCAAAAGAACCTTCGATCAGTTAGATTTTATTATGAGGAGATTCTACTCACAATGTTTAGATTAGCTCAATTTAACTTACAATGGTTTTAATTTAATTTTGACAAAGATAAACACAATCTTCGCGTGAGTCGGATTCGGCTCTTTAATGTTTCCAGCTTTGGTACATACAAAATTGTACTTTTGCTTGGCCATGATAAATATGTTAGCTGATTTTTGTCTTCCAACGATTTTATAACTTTTTACTTTTGTATATCTTATTTTTGTTATCCTGTACATTGTTTTTGTAGGCACTGGCAGACCTGGTGAAGGCCTTCAAGTGGAACAGCTTTACCATCGTGTTTGACCAGAGTGAAGATCTGATCAAGATGAAAGACTTGTTGAGCTACTACGACCACCGAGGATTCCCAGTCACCGTCAGACAGCTGGATGAAGGCAGCAACTACAGGTCGGCTTCTTTGTAGAGAAATGTGTGCCAAGCTACTGATCAAGCTAATATTCTTTTCTTGCCTTACGATGACTTGTCGATTTGAAGAATTCCGTCAACAAGTACATCGGTTGTTTCATTAATTAATATTGCGCACTTCTTCTGAGTTTTTTTAACATACTCCTAATGTTGGTCTTGTTAATTGGTTGTAATATTCGTCTTATAAAAATGAAGACAGTAATGCACTTTTACTTTATTTTAAATTTTATGAATAAATATTTCCAAAAATATAAATACAAAGAGATTATAGAATCAAACATTATACCTGATAACCTTATTAGCTCTAAACCTGTCTAGCTTTTTGTTACTAACAGATTTCACATTGTATATTTCTGTATTCTGTAAAGCCCCTATAACCAAGTAGGGCTATGTCCAATTTGGAACCATCTGACCTTCTTAGGATCAAACTGACGAGTGGCGACTGTGATTTAATAGTAATTTATAAGTAATTCTGTGATTCAAAATGTCTTTGATTCTGACTACACAAAATGTACTTAACTGTTTTGTCTGTATCTGTAAACCTTTAGACCGACTCTAAGAAGAATCAAGAACACAGAAGGTAAAAACATCGTCTTGGACTGTGCGACAGAGAAGCTTCCTGAGGTGCTGTTACAGGCTATGCAAGTCGGACTGATGGGATCAGAGTACAGCTATATAATCACAACATTGGTAAGAGAGTGATGCACTGCAAATACTGTTCACTTCTCCATAAAAACTTAAACTTACTTTCAATGTTTTTTTCCTCTAACCATTTCATTTTTTCAGATTAATTTTCACAGTGTGTGCTTAATTAATTGGCTGGTAAGTTATCGAAGGATATAAGTAGTTGGTATTGTTCTAATAATACATAGTAATTTTAAAGTTAACAAGTTCTATGAATATTGATTAAAGACAAAACACCATCGTAGTTCATTCAGCCTGGTCAAGTCTGGTGTGCATGACCAGTTTACTTGTAAAATAGCTAGGCGGAATAGAGACCTACCTCAAATAAAAGGTAGACGGGATGCATGATTCGTTAACCTCACAAAACAGCAGTAAAGGGAAACATACAAAATAGTAAAAAGTATACCATTGAAAAACCTCTTAATTGTTTCTGGGTTTTCTGTAATTTTTCATAACTAATGTATAAATTCTTCCAGGACATGCAATCAGTGGACTTAGAGCCCTTTGTGTACGGTGGTACCAACATTACTGGCTTCCGAATGATCGATCCAGAAGACTCTATGGTGAGGGATGCTATAGAATATTTCAAAAACAGAGAGATATCAAGATTTGGAGATTTGTCAGTCATCAACTTCAACAAAACCTTCCTTAAGGTAAGGCATTAAAAGTGTGCTGAATACCTGGAATAATGTGGACTGGAATAGTTCAAGCTTAGTTAAGTTTATCCCAAAGACCGCATTTTCAATTCACACTGGAGTCCAGTAAATCTGAATAATTGGAATCAGAGCCTGTTCAAGTTAAGTTTGGAGCAAAAAAGGCAGTACAATTATTTTTAAAAGCGTACTTTTATGACTTTAAATGGTCATTTATTGCTCCAGCAATCATGGCAGCATCCTCTTGCGCAATCGTAGAAATAAATAACCAGCATGATTATGGACCATGATTGGGGCAAAACCCTGATAACAGAGTCGCTCTTATAAATGATCCACTTTCTATATGTAGAACTTAATAACTTAATATTGGTTGATGTTGTATCTCCAAAATTGTTCATTGATTTAGTTCCTAATATACGACCCATTACCACTAAGACTCGATGAGTTTCAGAACAAGACAAACAAATTCATTATCTGAGAGATACAAAACATGCTTTCTGAAGGCATTATTGAAGAGACCAACTCCTCCTGGCGAGCCACTAATCTGCCTGAATGAAAACCATCGTGCCTAGTTATTGAGTATTCACAAACAATAAATAAATATACTTTACTTGATGCCTACCCACTCCCCGGGATTGACGACATTGTCAGCAAAGTGGCTAGGTATGCCATTTTCAGTACTATTGACTTGAAACAAGCATATCATCAATCCATATTTCCGTAGAAGAAAGACCTTACATAGCATTTGAAGCTGATGGCTTAAGCTATGCCACTTCACAAGAATCCCCTTTGGTGTCACTAATGGTGTAGCTTGCTTTCAAAAAGTGATAGATTCTATAATATCAAAATAAGAAGCCTTATTTAGATGATATAACCATCTGTGGTAGCTCTACTAAAAGGCCACAATCAGTCAAGCAAGTACGACGAGAAGTGGATGAAGTAGAGATTATCGAAGCCAACCATCAGTATGCTCGTGTTCAGATTCAAAATGGACCAGAATCAAACGTGTCCCTAAAGAATTTGGCTCCTGGAGGGGATGTGAGACTTCTCAGAGAATAAACTGACACAGTTATGGCCCAGACATAGAATTCTCAAGAAGAACAAGATTATGTACAAAATGATATACAAATAAATGAAAATCCATCTGATTATTTGGAAACTAGTGAAAGTGTATCAAATTTCAATTTCCCATCAAAGACCAATCAAGTAGACAAGACTTCCAAAATACCTATGCACACAATTTTAACCATGGGAGTAGGTGATGATTTCTACTATCCTTGATTTTATACTCTGATCAGCTGTCTTGGTTTTTATGCAATTTAACTTATTTACCAGTTGTTCTGAAACTATAATAATGTTGGTTTTTACTAAAATAAAGCCTTATAGATTTTAAAATGTCTTACATTCATTATTACAACAGCAAGGAAGAGAAAAATTCACCAACAAGGTAGGTGGAGAGGGGCGCATTTACCTTCCGGGCCCATAGCACATGCAAACCGTGGGTCTGCCTGATAATCTATGATTGTGTTCTTCTTACTACATGACAACCTTGTAAGAAAACCAGCAGAAAACCATTGTAGTACTCAGCCTTCCAATTAACCTTTTTCCTCAATAGGTGGTTTGGATTAGCCAGACTTTCAGATTATTGGCATTACTCTGCGGGACTCTAATTATTAGCAATAGGTTGAACTCAAAATATTTAAATATGATGGTGCAAGGATGTCCACAGATAGAAACAAAGGTATAAATGCATTTGCCATCAGTTTCAACAACTTATTTCTTTATAACACATAAGATTGACTAAGAGCAGTAAAAGAAAGGAGGCTTGTGGATCTTGATTTGATCTTGTTTGAAACAGAATGAAAGCCATTTCAATGAGTTATTTATATAATAAATGGGGAAAAAACCTTAAGGTCTTTAACATATCTGGGTATGTATCTGTAATATAGTTTAAACATATTTTCTAAGTATTTATATCACATTGAGTTGTAGTGAGTTACCTTTTTTCAATGGCTATGACAGATTTGTATTTCACAGCTGGAGTCCGCCCTGATCGTGGACTCTGTCTTGTTGTTTGCCCGAGGTCTCAATCAGCTAAGCCTCAGTAAAGAGATAACAACACAGCCTCTCAACTGTGTGGACACCACCAACTGGGAACACGGCTACAGCCTCATCAACTACATGAAGATTGTAAGTACAGTATTGTCTATCTTGACTGTTGAACCACACGAGTGGCTCAAAATTGAGAGGTAAGTTTGTGAAACATTTAAATTAAAGAAATAACTTTTTCCTATACAGTTACCTGACAAAGTGGGCTTCCTTGGACTGATTAAAGCACGCAAAGTAGCTAATTGCAGAATTTACTTACTTTTGCCACACTCATTTTCTTTTGCCGCACTCCAGTATTTTAAACCAAACAACACAAAAAAGTGTGCTTTTATTGGGCACAAAACAGTGTGCTTTTATTAGGCATAAAACAGTGTGCTTTTATTAGGCACATAATATGTGTGTGCTTGAAAAAAATTTGACAACACTTAAAAATACTAGGACTACAATCAGCTAATGCGGTGTTTCCCATTTTGTTCAACTCTTGGATTTAACCTAAACCTAAAAACGTGTAGTACATATAGTATTTGAAAGACTAATTATTTATATGACTTATGTAACTGTGTACCGGTAACACGAGTGCAAAGTGCCTTTGCTGCACTCTAGAAACTTTCCAAACTCGCCTGCGGCTCGTGCGTTAGCATTTCTGTCATGTGCAGCAAAGTGCCACTTCACACACTAGTTACACAGATAACTATTATAGTAATCAGAATCAGAATCAGAAGAGCTTCCTGAAGAGCTTTGCCATTACTGTTACCTGACCTGTTTAAATAGTTAAATAGTTGATTAAGTAAGGCTGTTATTTACCTTTTATTGAACGAATATTGAAGAATTGTTTTTAATGAGCCTTGCATGTTTTTTTTACTTCAAGAACAACAAAAAAATTCAGAAAAAATATTATGATGTATAACATCTGTTAGTACACTTTTGGTTTTGACAAATATATTTTAAAGGCAAACTATATAATACTAGCTGTAACCCGCGGGCTTTGCCCCGTTTAACTTCTTAATTTTCAAGATGATCTCGTTCGCAAGGCTCAATCACGTCCTAGTTGAAGTTCGTTCGCTACACTCACTCACCTTTAGGTTGGAGCTCGTTCGCTACGCTCACTCACCTTTGCGTTGGAGCTCGTTCGCTGCGCTCACTTGCCTTCAGGTTAGCTCGTTCGCTACGCTCACTTGCCTTCAGGTTAGGTCGTTCACTACGCTAACTCGCCTCCAGGTTGAAGTTCGTTCGCTATGCTCACTCACCTTTTGGTTGCAAATTAGCTGTTGTCATAAATGTAAAAGAAATAATAGTGCTGCACCCTGTTGGTAATCCTTGTAACTTTAATGCTATTGAACATCATAGAACAGAACCAACTTGTTTAATTGAAACAGCTGTTAACATTCATTAATTCCATTTCTCATAAGGTTAACATGGGAAACTCCAGAGCCACTGGGGCGGAGCCGATTGGACGGATAACGAAATTGATGGTGTATAAACCTATTCCATGAAATTCTACACGTATGTACCAAGTTTCGTGGCAATCGGTTCAGTGGTGTCCGAGTTTATCACTGCCAAATATATATATATATATACAAACATCCTCTTTTATACTTATAGATCATACCTCAAACTCATTGGGTTATTATTATTCTCATCGGGTTGTTGGGTCATTGAAAGGTCCGGACCATCGGATTCCGGATTAGTGGGGTTACTTTACCCTGCTCAAAACACACCTAGCTCCGTCAACATTTCAGCCAAGTCCTATTAGTTAATGTAACAAATAGTAATATGTTACTCAAGAACCCCAGGCACATGAGTAAATCATTTTATTTTTAACATTAACAAATATTCAAGACAATTATGCAATCATTTTTGTAAATCCTATATATCCTATTTCTAGAGTGAATTCCATGGAGTAACTGGTCTGGTGAAGTTTGACCATGAAGGTTTCCGCACCGACTTCAAACTAGACATCCTGGACTTAACTACCGAGGGGTTTCGGAAGATCGGGACATGGAACATCACTGAAGGAGTGAACTTTACACAAGTCGCTAGTGAGTACGAGGATCCCAACGAATTCCAGCGACAGGATCTCAGGAACATGTCCTTTGTGGTCATGATATCACTGGTGAGTTGGGGCTGGATGGACAGGAAGAAATTTTAAAGATTCTGTTGGGATCCTTAAAAATGATGAATTTTAAAAATAATTACCGGGATTTATTTTTTTCCTGTATATAATGTGGTTAAGTTTACACTTTCTATGTAAAAGAAAAGTATCACATATTTACAGAACTCTCTGTAATGCTTTAAGTTACGAATTAGAAAAGACTTTTTCATTGGCATAAAGTCAAAACTTATTTTTAATTTTAGTTAATTTATTAGCCAATTTATAAGTTCCTTTATTAATAAATAAGGTTTAATTGTGCCCTGTGCGGTACCAGGTTAGAATAATACCGCAGCTTTCTCGGGCTTGTCGTAAGAGGCGACTAAAAGGGTGATGACGCTCTCACTGGGAGTCCCTGGGAGTGCCCCTATTGTGTGCGCATCATAGAGGAGTATCTCCGGATCCGCCTCCTCATGTATGACACTATGGAGTCTCACTTCCGGTGCTGCCCAAGGTTCCGTACTCGGCTGAGACCTCTGGAATGTCTCTTATGACAGCCTTCTGAGGTCTGAAATGCCTGAGGAAACTGTTTTGGTTGGGTAGGCAGACACCATTCCAGCTTTATGACACCGTTAAGCTGGCTCAATGCCAAACGCATGGATGGCAGACCACGGTCTCTCGCTTGCTTTGAGCAAAACAGAGATAGTGATATTGATAAAAAATGGATTGACACCATCATGGTTGGGGGTGGGGGCCATCGAAGTCCCGTGGGGGCAGTACTGCCAAGTATCTTGGGGTTATGGTGGACAGAAAGTTTAGCTGGTGGGAATAGATCTTCCGTACGGCGGACAAGGCCGTTAGGGTGGTTTCTTCTCTTAGCCGGTTGATGATCAATGTTGGAGGGCCTCGGTCCAGTCGTAGAAGGTTGTTAATGTCTTCGGTCCAGTCCGTACGTGTGGGCAGACGCTCTCAATAAGGAGGTATATAGGATGCGGCTCACCCGAGCGCAGTGTCAGGCAGAACTAAGGGTAGCATCTGCCTACCGAAAAGTGTCGGAACCCGCCGACCTGGTGGTTGCCGGAGCCATCCCCGTCAAACTTTTGATGGCGGAGAGAAAGGCAATTTATCAGCACCATGAGGAGGACCAAGCACGAACAGAGGAACGCACCCGCCCTTTCAGCTGTGGCAGGAGACCTGGGAACAGGAGACACAGGGACGCTGGACCAGACGACTGATACAGCAAGTCCAACCTTGGGTTAACGGCGGTAAGGAGAGGTGGACTTCTACCTCACCCTATTTCTTCCTCAGCAATTTCATCCGGGTAACGGCTTTTTCCGGTCGTACCTTTTCAGGATGGGCAAAGCCGTGTCACCCGATTGCATATACTCCCCAGGCATTCTCGATGATGTGGAACATACCTTTTTCCACTGCCAACGTTTGGAAAGGCCCTGCCTGGAGGCTCAACAGTTAGTAGGACTGATGTCGGTGGACACGGTCATACCAATGATGGGGTGAGATGAGGACCTGTGTGTCACATTACATCCAGGGTACCGGTATTCTCCGCGCCAAGAAGCTCGACCTTGACCGGGATGCGGTGTGGGTCATAAAGAATATAAGTGCCAGAAATTGTGAGAGCCCTGAGGGCTTAGGTCACATGTTGGCCTGACTTGAAGTAATGTGACAAATAATTCCAGGTCTGTGTCCAAAAGAGTAGAGAGGTTTTTTAGTGAGTAGTCTGATAAATTCAGGAGTCTCACATTACAGGCTGGCTACCTGTGTGCGTAAAAGCATTTTCTCTTCTCTCCCTAAAAAAAAGGTTTAATTGTTTTACTTAACTCTCTTCCTCACCTAAACACGTCATTATAAGAAAATCCTCTGAACGCTGATAACACCAATGATCGACTATTGCAGACCCATCCCTATGGCATGCTGAAAGAGACTGCTTCCAAACTCTCGGGAAATGACAGATACGAAGGAATGGGTATCGACATCATACAGGAGCTGTCTCTCCTGCATGGCTTCAACTACACGTTCAGATTGCAGCCGGACAGTAGCAGTGGGAATCCTGACCCTAATACTGGCAAGTGGAATGGGATGATCGGAGAAGTCCTCTCTGGGGTCAGTATAATTTTATTCATAGAATCTTAGTTTATCCAACTAACTATTTATAATCACGAGAACAAAGCCTTACAATCTTTCTTGATCACCATAATCTTTCTAATGTCCAAATTCACTTTAAGACACTCCTATGTTCTTCTAGCCTTAAGATAGTTTTGATTTACAACTTAAATGAATTATTTATTAATCCTTGTTTTATTATATTTTTAATTCAGCTAGATCCCCTGTTAAGATCAATCTAGTTTTAATCAAGATTAAAGGTTTTATACTGTAATACAAAATGCATAGCTTGCAAGACGAAGGGACTTAGCTACATAGGGATTATCATACAGGTTCATATAGGCCCTTCTTGCAAGCGTTGGATTGTACTAGAACCATTGAAGTGGGTTAAAAATGTATAATGCATACAGACTCAACAAATTTTTAATATTATTTGTCATTGTTGTTACTGATCATCTAAAATTCTGTGATTCAGAGGGCTGACCTAGCCATAGCTGATATAACCATAACAAGGGAGCGAGAGAGAGATGCTGATTTTACATTACCATTCTTAGATTTGGGTAAGTGCAAGTTTTGTAAGCTGAAATCGGATTGTGGACAGTGTATGCTGAATTAAGTCAACCATTAGTTTTATAATTGACAGTCAAACACTTTATCATCAAGTTAAATATGAAATCAAATTTTCTGTGTGGATTGGATATATTTTCCAAGTGGTAGCAAACATGACGGACAGTTGGTTTTTGCTCACTGTCCACTGTGAGTTTTTGACGTGGCATGATTGACTTGAATTAGATCACCCTTAAGGTGGCAAGCTAACGCTGTTACAATTCATAATTATTTTGTTCATTATCAAAGCTTTCAGCTAAACAAAGTCCGATTAAGTGGAGATCTACTGTGCATTTTAAGGATTTTAAAGTGTTATGAGAAATCTATTGTATAATTTTCATCAGTTCAGTGCACCACCTTGTTTGTTCACAGGCATCAGCATACTGTACAAGAAACCAACAAAGATGGCTCCGAACCTGTTTTCATTCCTGCTTCCATTCAGTTCTCAAGTTTGGTATTGCACCATTGCGGCTTACTTGGGTGTTTCCTTACTTCTTTTTGTAATGGCAAGGTAACAAGTTAGATGTTTTTTTCATTTTACTCTTTATGATCGACTTGTAGTCCTGGATATGCTTTGTTAGGGATGAGTGGGATTGGAGCTTTAGTTTGGGAAGGGACAGGATTTTTATTTTCTTCCTGATTTTCCGATTGGATTTTTCTTCCTGTTCAACAAGAGAAACTTTGTTTGTTGAGTAAACATTCTTGCCAGGAATAACAAAAAAATCAATTTGCAATCATCATTCATCACCAATACTCAATAATAGCCAAATCATGATCATCTCCTGTGATTAGGAGAGATTATCATCGTCAATCACGACAAAAATGCTGTGTCAGTTACAAAAACGTCTGTCCTAATACAACCCCAAATTAAATATGTCCCACTTCAAGATTTGAAATACATTTTGTTAGACCAATTCATCCCAAATTTTTGTGGTATAAATTTAAAAAAAGTTTAATTGAACTTATATTAGGTTTATCCATCTACCTGTCCCATAAGGTTCAAATGATCGCCACATGATTTATCCAAGCATATTCAAACAAAAATATTTACATAAGAAATTTTCCTTGATAAAAAAATTAGTTTTATATTAAGTATTTCACTATCCAGATTGTATTGTAAAGGAAGTTGGTCATATTATATGCTATCTTACCCATAAAATTGAGCAAGAATTTCCTCCTTCCAAAGTTAGAGGCAAAGTCCTAGAGTGTTTTTATGTAAATTAATACCAGCACCTGGACTCAACTTTTTTGGGTAACTTAACCAATTTCTATCTTACCATTCCATATTCTTGTACTGTTTTTAAAGATGTTTTTCAATCTGTTTAGTATGGTGTTTCAATCTGTTTAGTTCAATCAATTTGTTTAGTACATCGACTGTAAGAAACTGGTATTCTAACAGCTATATCTCTTGGCAGGATCAGTCCGAGGGAATGGACCAATCCGTATCCTTGCATAGAGGAACCCAAAATGCTTGAGAACCAGTTTAGTCTCAACAACTCTCTGTGGTTCACTCTGGGCTCCATCATGCAACAAGGATCGGAAATCGCACCCGTGTAAGAGCAACCACAGTCTAAGATGTGGCTTATACATGAAAACGGTTTGCTAGTGGACACACAGGATCTTGTAAAATTTATGTAGAATAGCTGCTACTAAAAACTGTTACAACTCTTAACTCTTGCAATCTGTTCAACTGTACACGGTTCTATTACTCTAAACGTAGAAGTAGATATCTAAGTAGAGCCCATCTGTCAAAGTGAACATAGTTGGTTAAGCCTCTGAAAGAATGTGTGCTGCTCTCAATATACCATTTTTTAGCGAATTTCCCTATAGGGAAGTAGCTATTACCGTAGGTCTCATGGTAAGACCTAAGCCCGGGACCGATTTACTTTTTCATTTTGATGTCCCCAGAGGCCAAAAACACCATTTGTTCAAATTTTTATATATCTATATATATATATATATATGTGTCCATCCGCACGATAACTTGAGTAATTTTTGTCCGATTTTGATAAAATTTGGTTTGAAGGTGTAAGGCAGGATAAACTCGAACGAGTTCGCGAACCAGCATGATCGGACTATGGGAACGGGGGTTTACGGGGGGTTTTATGGGGTAAAAATAGGTTTTTCCCATTTTTGACCCTAAAAACACAAAATTTCACAATTTCTTTTTAAACCATTTTGTAGAGCTTAAAAAAACAAATAATTTAGTATATTGAAGCGTTATTATGCGCCTAATTGTTACGGAGAAAATTCAAAAAAATTGTAATTTTAAAATTCCCATGTTATTCTTATGGAGAATAAGTCAACTGTTGTAGTTTGCTTGTTTACTAGGTGGCGTTCGCAGAGGCATCCACAAAATTGAGCGGAGTCATCAAGGGTTCATATTATATTGTTTTTGTCTTACTGCAGTAAAAACAGTATTTTTTCATGCATGCGCTGCGGGTCTAAAGTAGCATTTTTAATACAGAGTGTCCGGTCATAAGTGTTAAATAAAATTTTGCATCAAACTACATGGTAATGGTGACATAATGACGCACATTTGAGGTTCCCAACCTCAACCGTTAGGGAATAACAAATAAATTAAGATTTTTCAAAAATTATTGTAGTTGTTATGAAAAAGGTTATATTACTCTGTTAAAAATGCAATAAATGTTAATTTAAATGTCATTTTCAGAATCCTCACAAGATTTTAAATAGATATAACACATAATCGCTGGGGTACGGAAAAATATTCTATTTAAATTTCTTCGTTAAAAAATTATTTTCAATATAGACGAAAATTTAAATAACATTCAGCAATTTATTTCTCGGGTACCGAGTTCCACTGAGTTAAACAAATATTACTAAAAACTTCCTTATTTAAAGGGCTTTACAATGATGTATAACTACAATTATCTACTGTCAAATCTATGGTGAATTTTACGTACTATTGTGAAAAATCACGGTTAAACCCAAACAGATATTGTAAAAAATAATGAATTTTACTTACTATTTCTTGAGCTGACCACTGATGATGTGGGTTTGTGTAATTTATGATTGACCAGACTACACTTTCATCAAACTAAAGAGTTTTTGTTTAGACTTTGGAAAATTTGTTATTAAAAAAACACAATACATTAGTAAAAAAATACAATACAAATCAAATCTATGACATACTTCGTCCAAAGCACAACTTTTATTAAGGTGGAATCACTGTTTGGGTGTAAAGTGCCCTCCGTTTTCCCGCAAGCAGGCCCTAGCTCGCTTGTGAATCGCGCCAACTGTGACCTCATACGTAAATTTTTCCCTTACTTTCCCAGCACCCTCAAAGATTCTCTACCGTAACTCAACTTCAGAGTTTACAACAGTCGAGTAAACTAGACTTTACATGTAACCCCAAACAAAAAAATCTAACGGGCTCAAGTCTGGAGATCGAGGAGGCCATGTCACACTTCCTCCACGCCCAATCCATGTCGGGTAGTTTTGGTATAGCCACAACCGAACTTCCGCGAGTTAATTGAAATCTTATCTGAAATATGAAAAATATACGATAACGGTAACTTTATCACAAACCCATTTTGCTACTATATGTTTCTTTTCTTAGCTTAATAGTTATAAAAAAAAGAGTTGCATGCGAGAAAAAAATACAAATTATTCGTTGCCTGCAGTTAAATGTATTATTCTTCACAATAGCTTTTCTTTGCCCTACCATGTTTTTTCACAACAATGATTTAATTACATTAGGAAATTTTAAAGTTAGTAACAACTAATATACACCATTGTAAAGCCCTTTAAATAAAGAAGTTTTTAGTGATATTTGTTAAACTCAGCGGATCTCGGTAACCGAGAAATAAATCGCTGAATGTTATTTAAATTTTCGTCGGTATTAAAAATAATTTTTTAACGAAGAAATTTAAGTAGAATATTTTTCCGTACCCCAACGATTATGTGTTATATATTTTTAAAATTCTGTGAGGATTCTGAAAATGACATTTAAATTAACAATTAGTGCATTTTTAACAGAGTAATATAACCTTTTCCATAAAAACTACAATAATTTTTGGAAAACCTTAATTTATTTGTTATTATCTAACGGTTGAGGTTGGGAACCTCAAATGTGCGTCATTATGTCGCCATTACCATGTAGTTTGATGCAAAATTTTATTTAACACTTATGATCGGACACCCTGTATTTAGGTAGTAAAAATCGTGTTTAGCCTCTATGGAGTAAAAATCAGCTGTTGTCAACTCAGTTGTAAATGTCGATTGTAAACGATTGCATGTATCGAAAATATGTATCGATTTGTGCTTCGTAATCATTTTAACATATTACAGTCTACAGTCTCTTCCCGTAGCATTTTAGCATTGCAGATACATTAATCCATTCCCAAACTCAACACTGCTCACCTTTACTACTTCCTTCACCACACCCTACGTCGTGGACCTGTTTCCCTCTCTTCCCATAGCATTTTAGGATTGCAGATACATTAATGTAATTGTCAAAGACAGTTCCCACACTCTGCGCTGTTAGCCTTACTACTTCCTTCACCATTTACTACGTCATTGGCCTGTTTCCTTCCTTTCTCATAGCATTTAAGTATTACAAATTCATTTATCCATCTGCTCAAACGGTTCCCCCACTCTGCACTGCCAGCCTTTACTACTTTCTTCACCACTTACGTCGTGGACCTGTATTCATCGCTTTCCATAGCATTTTAGTATTTTAGATACGTTAATCTAATTGCAACAAACATCCCCACTGTCCGTACTGCTAGACTTTACTACTTCTTTCACAATTTCCTATGTCTTGGGCATGCTTCCATCCCTTCTCATAGCATTTCAGCATTGCAGATACATTAAAACTGCTACAAACGGTTTCCAGTTCCCACACTCCACACTGCTCACCTTACTACTTCTTTCACCTGTTCCTACGTCGCGGACCTGTTTCCCTCTCTTCCCATAGCATTTTAAGATTGCAGATACCTGAATCTAATCGTCATAAACAGATCCCACACTCCGAACAGCTCGCCTTTACTACTTCCTTCGCCACTTCCCACATCGCGGACCTGTTTCCCTCCCTTTCCGTAGCATTTTAGGAATATAGAGACCTTAATCTAATCGTCATAAACAGTTTCCATACTCCAGACTGTTCACCTTTACTACTTCCTTAACCTCTTCATACGTCACGAACCTCAAGCTAGTGTCGTCATTTGATTATAGTACCTGGGGACCGAGCTTTGCTCGGGGAAAATCATTAGTTCACTCTGAAAGCACCGTAGTATTGGAGATACATAAATCCACACATCTACATCCTACACAATTTCCTACGTCATGGATCTGTTTCCCTCCATTCCATTGCATTTAAAGATTGCAGATACCAGATACCTTAATCTAATCGTCATAAACAGTTCCCACACTCCGGACTACTCGCCTTGACTACTTCCTTCACCACTTCCTACGTCGCGGACCTGTTTCCCTCCCTTCCCATAGCATTTTAGGATTGCAAATACCTTAATCTAATCGTCATAAACAGTTCCCACACTCCGGACAGCTCACCTTGACTACTTCCTTCATCACTACGTTACGGACCTGTTTTCCTCCCTTCCCGTAGCATTTTAGGTTTGCTGATACCATAATCTAATTGTCATAAACATTTCAAACAATCCGGACAACTCGCCTAGACTACTTCCTTCACCACTTCCTACGTCGCGGACCTATTTTGCTCCCTTTCCATAGCATTTTAGAATTGCAAATACCTTAATCTAATCGTCATAAACAGTCCCCACACTCCGGACAGCTCACCTTGACTACTTCCTTCATCACTTCCTACGTCGCGGACCTGTTTTCCTCCCTTCCCGTAGCATTTTAGGTTTGCTGATACCTTAATCTAATTGTCATAAACATTTCCAACACTCCGGACAACTCGCCTAGACTACTTCCTTCACCACTTCCTACGTCGCGGACCTATTTTCCTCCCTTTCCATAGCATTTTAGGATTGCAAATACCTTAATCTAATCATCATAAACAGTTCCCACGCTCCAGACAGCTCGCCTTGACTACTTCCTTCACCACTTCTTACGTCACGGACCTGTTTCCCTCCCTTCCCATAGCATTTTAGGATTGCCCATACCCTTACCTAATCGCCATAAACAGTTCCCTCACTCCTGACAGCTCGCCTTGACTACTTCCTTCACCACTTCCTACGTCGCGGACCTCTTTCCGTCCCTTCCCATAGCATTTTGGGATTGCCCATACCCTTATCTTATCGTCATAAACAGTTCCAACACTCCGGACAGCTCGCTTTGACTACTTCCTTCACCACTTCCTACGTCACGGGCCTGTTTCCCTCCCTTTCCCATAGCATTTTTGATTGCCCATACCCTTACCTAATCGCCATAAACAGTTCCCTCACTCCTGACAGCTCGCCTTGACTACTTCCTTCACCACTTCCTACGTCGCGGACCTCTTTCCGTCCCTTCCCATAGCATTTTAGGATTGCCCATACCCTTATCTAATCGTCATAATAGTTCCAACACTCCGGACAGCTCGCCTTGACTACTTCCTTCACCACTTCCTACGTCGCGGACCTCTTTCCGTCCCTTCCCATAGCATTTTAGGATTGCCCATACCCTTATCTAATCGTCATAATAGTTCCAACACTCCGGACAGCTCGCCTTGACTACTTCCTTCACCACTTCCTACGTCGCGGACCTGTTTCCCTCCCTTCCTATTGCACTTAAAGATTGCAGATACCTTATTCTAATCGTCATAAAAAGTTCCCGCACTCCGGACTACTCGCCTTGACTACTTCCTTCACCACTTCCTACGTCGCGGATCTCTTTCCGTCCCTTCCCATAGCATTTTAGGATTGCCCATACCCTTATCTAATCGTCATAATAGTTCCAACACTCCGGACAGCTCGCCTTGAGTACTTCCTTCACCACTTCCTACGTCGCGGACCTCTTTTCGTCCCTTCCCATAGCATTTTAGGATTGCCCATACCCTTATCTAATCGTCATAAAAAGTTCCCGCACTCCGGACTACTCGCCTTGACTACTTCCTTCACCACTTCCTACGTTGCGGACCTGTTTTCCTCCCTTCCCATAGCATTTTAGGATTGCAGATACCCTAATCTTATAGTCATAAACAGTCCCCACACTCCGGACTGCTCGCATTTACTACTTCCTTCATCACTTCCTACGTCACGGACCTGTTTCCCTCTATTCCCATAGCATTTTATGATTGCCTATACTACTTCCTACGTCACGGACCTGTTTCCTTCCCTTCCCATAGCATTTTAGGATAGCAGATACCTTAATGTATTCGTCATAAACAGATCCTAGACTTCTCACTGCTACCCTTGACTACAATGTATCGAGTAATCTTAAGTATAATCTTTGCTCAATATTAACAAGTGATGTTTTTCCTTTTGTACTGTACAGTATTTGTAATTTCCTAGTATACTGTGGGTAGTTGGCTTATTATGAGCACATGCTAAAACATCAAATCTTTTGTTTACTTTTTACTTGTTATTTAATTCAGCCAACATGGTTACCTAGCAACCCATAAGACTAATGTTAAAAAATGTGATTTTCAGTTTCATTTTTCTACGGATTCCTGAAAGACTTTTTTAACGCCATATAGATGTTGGCACTCACCGATATGGTCTTTATCACCACGCAAAATTTGAAAACGATTGATTCAGCCGTCTAGGAGGAGTTTGCGTATTACGAAATGCATAAAAGTCGACGTATAAGAGCTTCGCTCGCTTCGCTCGCTCCGCTCAATGAACATATTTTGATAAAATTTGGAAAATACATTAATTTCTTACAAAACCACAGTACCTTTTAATATTTAATATTAAAAAACTTGTTTACCCTCCCTGTTGCAGCAAACCTAAGTACTCATTAAACTAATTCTTTTTAAATTGGGAATAAATGTGATATTTTTAAGGAGACATTTTAGTTTAAATCGAATCAGGCAAATGGAAATTCGCTAAGTCTGCAGGTTTGCTGCGGCGGGGGTATTTTATTTAATCACTCATAACAATTAAGAAAGGATTTTAATGAATGATAACTCATTAGACATTGAATAAGTCATGTTAGTTAATTCATTCAACATTAATGGGATGATGTAAATCCACAATGTAACCATAGACAAAACTATTAAAACCGCCTTAAGTTCCATAATTAAGGTTGAAAACATAGTTGAGAGAAAGCATATAAAGCAAACTCGATTATAATAATGTAAATGTATTGCATAGTGAATTTGTTGGTTCACAACATTTATAATTTGCAAACTACCAGAGGCTTAGCTCTTCTTTGTGCCAATATGTGCCCATATTTCCCAAAGGGAACACTTTTTGTGAGTTAACAACCTCCCCCCCACCCCTAGCACACACACAAGAAATGAAGACGTGATATTTTTGATTAACTAATAATTTACATTCAACCTGGTTACAGAGCGATGTCCACCCGTATGGTGGCTGGCATCTGGTGGTTCTTCACACTAATCATGGTGTCGTCCTATACTGCAAATCTAGCAGCCTTCCTTACCATAGAGAGTACACAGCCAAAGTTCCGTACTGTCGAGGACCTTGCCAATCAGAAACCGGTTGTCATCAAATACGGGGCCAAAGCTGGAGGTGCCACTGCCAACTTCTTCAGAGTGAGTTAGACTAAATATTTCAAAATGTAGTTAGATTTTATAAAATAGCAAACTAAAAGACAACTGTACTGAATTTATCATGTTATTCATATTTTCCAAAATTATATAAATAATGGGAACAAAAGTAAGTTATATGGTTTTAAGGACTATCTTTATCTATCAATAGTAGGCCTATTACTTTTAGTAATTTGTATTACGTTTTTGTTAGGTGGGATTAGGTTGGGTCAGTTAAGTTTCCATAATGAAAGAAACTAAGAGTTTTGAATTATTAAAAAGATAGCCATTCAATATTCAAATGGCCTCCATTACGACGAGGTAGGTGCACAACCTTACAACACAGTCTACCAAGCGTTATCTATGCGTTCAGGAGTTTTGGACAATACAACACTCTGAGTACAAACAATATGGAGAGTGAACCAAATACTGATCTTTAATTTTATTCTGTTTAATTTGGTCCAAAATGGTAGACATGCAGAAAAATATGTTTTTGATACTGGCTTTACTTTTGGACCAAAGTGGCTTTGGGCGATTTGTAACTGCAACACTGTTTTACTATTAACATTAACATTATATGGTACTGCTATTTATTCTTTGGGCATGTTGATACTTTCTACTAAATATTCAACAAGATGGACCACTGGAAAATTTGTATAAAAAATATCTTTGAATATATTGTTGTCTTACGTTGTAATGGATGGTATTTGTTAACACATTTGCAACTTTTTGTAGCCAATGGTTGAGGATGGGCACAATGTTGACCTTGAAAAACTAGGTTAAAATCACCTTTTCTACCTTACAGTAAGTAAGTGTGACCCCAGTGATATGGAAATGTCTTTTTCCTTTTCCTGAGATTTATCTTCATCATATTTATAGGGTGTTTCAAAGGTTTGGTTTTTGTGATTTAGACAAGGTTCAGTTTATGGCTTTCAAATTGTCTTTGTACATTGAAATTTTTGCCTCCTCCGCATGAAATGTGAGTGACCCATTCCCTGATTATGTTTTTTGTCTTCAAATTATTTTGAGTGAAAACCCATTTTTTCTGTGAAAGGCAACTTTTTACGTCTGTCTTGTATATTTGACCATTAAAAGTCAGATAAATTGTACTTTTTGTTTATTCAAAATTATTCAGTTTACACTAAAGGCATAGTAAATATTGTACCTACAATAAATCTATCAATGAAAGCTCAATGGAGGCGCATTCACTTTTAGTCAAAGAATGAAAACTTAAGTTGACTTTTTTAGTTATTTTATTTTAGAATGTTGAGCATTTCTGTAAAACAAAACAGAAAGTTATATAATCAGTGAGTCAGTGGCTCAGTCGGTAGTGCCATAGACTTCAGGCCCAAGGCAGCAATGTCATGGGTTCAATGGGTACCTGCCGCTTCTATTTATAGTACAGTTCCCCCTTTTAACTGTACTGGCCCCCTGGATATGTTCCACACATAGACCTCTGTGACCTTTTTAGTGTTTTGATGGAACATTTACCATCATAAAATATTGTGAGAGGTCAAAGTATAACTTACAATCTGCACAGTTTGGCCCCAGAGCTGTAGTTAATGTACAATACACTCACCTACCATCAACATTATGAAGTAAAAATGGTTCATGTGGAGGTTAATACATGTTTCCGCACATTGAATTATTCGCTGACGATGGAAATTCAAACTGACTAGCTGATGAAGCCACCATAGAGGTAAAACATGAACTAACTTTGAAACTTTGGTGAGTCAGTGGCTCAGTTGGTAGCGTCACGGACTTCGGGCCCTAGGCAGCGATGCCGTGGGTTCGGATCCTGGTCACTGCCACTAAAATTTATCAGTACAGTTCACCTTCGTACTATACAGGCTCATCCCTTGCTTTGCTGGATACGTTCCACGCACAGATCTGTAGTCTATGTGGACGGGCAAATGCAAGGTTAAAAAAGGCCGCCACCTCTTTAAAAAAATAAAAATAAAAAATTGCGCCTAAACCATTTGAACTAATTGACAGTTGTGTAAAATGTATTACAATCTGGATACTTAATAAAAATATAGTTGTTTAAAGGTTTTAAGTTTGATTTTTAAATATGTAAACCAGTTGATTAAATAAATATAATGTGACATGTTAAACAGAAGGTTTAAGGTCTAAACAGGTGTTTCCACGATTTCATTGGAAATATCAAAACTACTATTAACACTAAACTACACTGAGTTGTGCCAGGACTCGAACCACTCGACGTACGCCAAGATGTGGCAGTTCATGCAGGAGAACCCTACCATGATGGTGGCTAGTAATGAGGAGGGGGTGGCAAGAGTGATGAGTCATGACGAGGACTACGCCTTCCTCATGGAGTCTACGAGTATCAGTTACGAGGCACAACGCAAGTGTGAGCTATCCCAGGTGGGCGGTCTGCTCGACAGCAAGGGCTACGGCATTGCCATGCGCAAGAGTGAGTTCCTCAAACTTTGTAGTTGAGCTGTTTCTGATTAGCCAGAATGTTAGATGGATTAGATAGATCTAAAAATATTAGCCGATCTGATAAATTGTCCAACTCTTTGGCAACAAAAATAGAAGAAACATTTGAAACTACTTGGTTACTATGCTGTTTTAACTATACCAGCAATTTTTCATCTGCAACATATAGTTGTCCTAGTTTATCTATGTTGTACATAGACAGTTGATCCTGAGTGTTTCTTGGTATCATGACTCTTTTAACTCATGTGAATTATTTTATGATTCTTTCAGACTCCTGGTATCGAGGCATACTTAGCACCAGTATAGTTCAACTACAGGAGAAGGGGAAGTTGCGTCTCCTTTACGACAAGTGGTGGAAAGAGAAGAGGGGGGGAGGGGCTTGTCATGTAAGTAAACTAACAATGTGTAAAAAATTCAGGGAAACAAATTAGAGAAACATTTCCTCCTCTAAATTGGGTGCTTAAACTTTAAAATACCATCAAGCGCTCAAGGAGGGTTCCTCCAGTTGAAAGGAAACATGATTAGCTTTAAGGTAATAATTTGTAAATCTAAAAGTTTTTGTATCTAGTTCTTAGAAAGTTCCATGGAAGGTCGACGTCTACCCTTTGATGGCAGGAAAAGGTTTTTATGTTCAACTAAATGCAAAGATGTTGTTCAAAGGTTTATTGCGGACATTTTCCATCACGAATGTAAAAAACAATACACAACGTTTCTGGATCTGGAATCTGATCCCGTCTTCAGGTGAAAAAACTTAACTAACACATTACAACTAACAATACACAAACGCCCAACCTAAGTTGGAATACACTACTGAGGGTAGTAGTCAAAAAATATGCACTGTATAGCAGTCAAGTCATGATACAACATGCAATTAATAACAAATCACAAAACACTATAATCTATAAAAGGTTTACGTACAAAAAACTCACACAATGGAACACTAACAACACCGTACGCTATGACTCCACCAATGAGACTGAACCAACATGGCTGGCCAATCGGAAACACAAGCAGAGATTGGTCAGCCATGTTGGTTCAGTCTCATTGGTGGAGTCATAGCGTACGGTGTTGTTAGTGTTCCATTGTGTGAGTTTTTTGTACATAAACCTTTTATAGATTATAGTGTTTTGTGATTTGTTATTAATTGCATGTTGTATCATGATTTGGCTGCTATACAGTGCATATTTTTTGACTACTACCCTCGGTAGTGTATTCCAACTTAGGTTGGGCGTTTGTGTATTGTTAGTTGTAATGTGTTAGTTAAGTTTTTTCACCTGAAGACGGGATCAGATTCCAGATCCCGAAACGTTGTGTATTGTTTTTTACATTCGTGATGGAAAATGTCCGCAATAAACCTTTGAACAACATTAACTCACCATCACCAACAATGAACTTCAAACAAAGAAATGCAAAGATATTACTTTTTTCTACAGTTACCTGACGAATCGGGCTTTCTTGTACTGATTATAGCACGCAAAAGTTGCGCTAATTGCTGCATTTACTAACTTTTGCTGAACTCCAGTATTCCAACCAAACAACACTTAAAAGTGTGTTTTTATTACGTAATACGTGTACGCTTGATAATAAGTTGGCAACACTTAAAGATACTACAACTACGATCAGCTGGTGCAGCGTTTCCCATTTCGGTCAATGCTTGGATTCAACCTATCCTAAAAACGTGCTATATAGTGTTTAAAAGAATAATTATTATTTCTATGCTTTATAGTAACTGTAGGCAGGGCCGCAGCTACACATTTTTCTAGGGGGGGGGGGGGGGGCAAGTTCTAAATTTGTCACGTAAAATTACGTACAATTTATATAAGAACAAATAAAACAAATTCTTTATTATTTGGTTATTAAATTACTGGAAACATACAGCTCTCAATACATAAAGTTCCTAATTAGACCTATGTTTAAAAAATTAATCAAATTAGATTTTTAGCAGAAAGCAAAAGATTTGATTATGTCAGAAAATGGAACTTTTACGATCTTACATGTTTAATTGAGATTGGTACTTGCTGAGTCTTTGATTGTCTAATGTTCAGTGGCGGATCCAGCCAGGAGTCGCAGGGGGAAAAGAAATGCAAAAGAAGTGCCTGCGACCGCGGCAGAATGGTGAACACCTCCTGCTATTACGGGGACATCGTTATTGCCACCCGCGATTGCGGCTGAATCGTGATTCATGAACATCTCCCGCTATCATGGGGATATGATAAACGCCACCCTCGATCGCGGCAAAATCGTCAACGTCCTTTGCCATCACAGAGACATCGTTACCCCACCCTCGATCGCGGAAAAATCGTTAACGACTTTCGCCAACACGGGGATATTGTTATCATAAACCGGAAATAACATTAACATCTTCCGCTATCACGGTGACATCGTTATAGTTACTTGCTAAATGAATCATTCATTTAGAAAACAATTTGTTGTTTAGAAAATGCGTTTGTAAACAAAACGCTGTGGCCCTAGGTGTGGCCTAGTGGTAAGTCTGCGGATATTGCCGCTAACAACAAAACTCGTTGTCGTCACCCGCAACCACGGCATAGTTATTGCATGTTAACCAATAAACAAAACCGACATTTTTTACAAATCCTTAATCTTGGTTTTTTTCAACAAATAAAACAGTTAACCGACCCCAACCTAAAATAGGGTTAATTTTTGAACCCTTGATTACTATTTTGTCAATATATGGAAAAAAGTAAACAAGTAAGAGCGATGGACCCCTTTCTCAACAAATTCTTGGATTCGCCTCTGCTAAATGATCGTTTGGAAACCACAACGATTTCAGATAGAAATAAAAGCAATTTAAGAAAAATATATCTTATAAAAAATAAAGGTGTCAACAAGGAGCAGAGAGGGGATCAGGGCAGTGCCAGATTCAGGAAACTTGCGTCCCTTGGCCAAATTACTCGATTGGACCCCACCCCTGTGGTAGAAATTCCCTGCTATTGCAGTAAAAAAACGAGGACTTCTCCCGTGGGCTGCAATCACAGAGATATCAACATTGACACCCATGACCACGGCAAAATGGAGGAAATCTCCTGTGGGCCTTTATCATGAGGACATCATTATCAACACCCGCGACCGCGTCAAAATCGTAAAACTTTTCCCGTGGGCCATGATCACGAGGACATCATCTTCGTGATCGTCTTCCGAGAGCTGAAATCATGGGGACATTGGACATCATCATCGACAGCCGTGACCGCGGCAAAATTGTGAACATCTTCCGTGAGCCGAAATCATGGTAACATCATCGACACTCGCCACCGCAGCAATTTTGTGAACACCACTCCCATGAGCCGAAATCAGAGGGATATTATCATCGACACCCACAACCGCGGCAAAATTGTTAACATGTCCCGTGAGTCCAAATCGCGGGGTCATTATAATCGGCACCCACGACCGGGGCAAAATCGTGAACACCTCCCGTGGGCCGTGATCACGGGGACATCAACATCGTCACCCACAGTGATTTTAAAATTTTAATTTTTAAATTTATAGTAAATAAAATTATACTTGTTCTAAAAAACATGTTTACTGTGCGGCCCCCTTTAGCTTGCAACCCTAGGCCGTGGCCTAATTGGCCTAGTGGTAAATCTGGCACTGGATCAGGGGAAGAATGGCGCGGGCGGCGAACTCCATTCTACACACGTCTGTAAATACATACAAGAAACGACTTTGACCTTGAGCAGTCATGTCTGTCGTTCCCATCCCTAAACCTCACTGCCGTGTTCATATAAATATTTCCTTAAAAGCCCTTTTCATTGGATTGGCTAGACCACTTTAGTATGCAAGATAAACATTTTTGTATTGTAAGGTTTAAAACAAATTACATTGCATCTTAAATTTTGCCGCCCCCAAAAACTTTCTGCCCGGGACAAACGACCCTGCCTGCCACCCCCTAGCTGCTGCCCTGGTAAAATATAATGTGTAACATGAGCGCCATGTACCTTTGCTGCACTCGAGAAACTTTCCGCATTTGCCTGCGGCTTGTGCATAAACATTACTCTCATGTACAGCAAAGGGCCACACTTTGCACACTAGTTTACACAAATAACTATTCTTTAAGGTCATTAATATTTGAACTTTCCAATACAAAGTTTTAATATTATCTAGATATTCAAAGTAGTAAAATCCTAAAACATTGCATTTGGTTTCCAATTAATGCAGTTGCAAACATAATGTATTGCCAACATAAAGTTTTGAATAAAATTGACACTTTACTCATCTGCAGAGTCCCAAAGAAAAGGAAGACTTATATCCTCAAACTTGATTTGCCAGCCAATTATCTGTCATCAACCTGCAATCAATAATAATATGTTGTAAAAAATTTTTTAATAAATTAACGCAGCAGTAGTGGGAATAAATTAAGTTCCAACTTTTTGACCTGGTACCTATATTAATATCCTTGTCACATTATGCATTGATTAAAACCAATTATAGTTCGGCCGCTTAGAAAACGACCTCTTCCAGCATAGGTTTAGCATTAGCGCGCAGGTCGTTTTCTAAGCGGCCGAACTATAGTGCCTTTTGCAAAAATCTCCAAAATCAGCTTATTTGGCTGGATTTAAATTATTAGGTGTAGAGGGGAGAGTTATTCCTTGTTTTTCTTGGTACATTAACACTAGCTATACAAATCGCTAAAGTAGTGTCATGTCCTCTCACAGGATGATGACGGTGGAGGGGAAGCGGCAGAGTTAGACCTGGATAACGTAGGAGGAGTGTTTGTAGTTCTGCTCATCGGAGCTTCCTTTGCATGCTTCATAGCTCTCTTTGAGCTCATTTGGGAAATATACAAGAAGGAGGATAAGGTGGGTAATCGTTAATCATAAAAGTAGAATATTAACCTGAAATATTATCCAGTAGGAAAATAGTTTATCATAGTTGGTGATTTATTACATTTTTATAGGAAATTTGCATCTTGTTTACTTTAGAATGATCTGTCATTGACAAAATTTTTTGCATCGATTTGTTTAGTGTTTTTTGATTTGTTGTTATATAAAAAACAACCGACTTGGTTTTTTCCTACTGGCTTGACTTTCAGACAAAAAGTCTATATGGACTTTATTTAACAGCAAAAAATATATTTTGGATTGTTTAGCATTGCTATTTTTTTGTTAAACACAATGATACTTTGATCTATTGCAACATATATAGTAGGAATTTGTGTGTTTCCTTGTATTTAATTATATTTAATGAGTAGTTGTTTTATTTTTTGTACTTTGTTTTAAAACTACTTAAACTAAACTACTAATAAACTACAGAGCACTCTTAAAACAAAGTTTTCACCAAAGTTTATTTCTTTGCAGGTTTCGTTCTGGCATGAACTAATCGAGGAAATCAAATTCATAATGAGCTGTCAAGGTTCTGTGAAACCACTAAAGAAAGGAAACAGAACGGAGGAAACGATGTCAACTGACGACCCGGACACTTTCTGTAATCCTTTCAACCACAATGAGACAAAACATCCGCTGGATTGAAGAGAAACTGTAGAATATGCTGATAAGCTTTTCTAACCTCCACCAGATGTTCTCTGCTGGTGGCAACATTGTCCAGTTGTAGTTGAAAGTGTAATGGTTGATTTGGTGTTTGAGGACACTACACTATAGGTCGGCTGCTTCGAAAGCGACCTCCTCTTACATGCCCAATAAATACTTGCGCAGGTCGCTATCTGTCCGGCCGACCTATATACAGCATTCCACGTTTAACTTACAGTACAACGGGTCTAATGGGGTCGTGCCCAAGCTATTAAAACTAACTAGAAACATCATGCTTATTGTCATGCAGTTTACGCCATCTGCCCTCGCTACCCTTGTAGGCGGTAACATACATTTGACTCTTGTAACTTTGTGCTATTTATAAATTGGTATTTCTATTTAATGATTTGGATTTTGCCTTTATGGTTATAATTATGTAACTAGGTATACTAGTAAGGGACCGTGAGGAAAAAGTTAAAGTTTTAAGGAGACTTTTGTGGGTCCTGATGTTTTTAGGATGGTTTGCTTCACCAAAACTAAAATTTGGAATACATGGCTTTAATGACGCTGAGAACATGCATTGTAAACGTGGAATGAAGTATTGAGAATGTAACTTGTCTAGCAAACTTGACTTAAAAATACTGGTTTGGTTGTCAAATAACAGAAACAAGTTACATAGGAAACTATGGTCAGGGAAATTACTAAAAAATTATTAAAGTCATTTGAAAAATTATGAACTATACATAACATTTTATTTATATGTAACACATTCTGATCAAAAGTTAAAGACTATATAACTAAGTTTAGTGTTAAGACAAGTATTGCTTGTATGAAATTTCCAAAGTTTATCTAGTCTAGTATGTTAATACCAGTACTCCTGTTTTAGTTCACATACAAAATGTTCAAATGTTAAATTTTTTTAGAGCATGGTGTATTTTTTTGTAATAAACTTCATCATAAGGTTTTTATACATAATGAAGGAATTTTTTTAACTAGATAAAATATTTTGTATCCTATACTCTAAAACTGTCTGTCTGTCTATAGTATAATATAATGTAATATAATATGTCTGTAATATATATCTAGAAATCCAGCAGAAGGATTTTGACTAAATTTTGGAATTAAAATTTAACATCGGTCTTATGGGTTAACCAACATTGGCAATTGCCAAGTAACTATGTTGGTTGAACAAAATAACAAAGAAAAAGTCAACAAAAGATTTGTCTCATGTGATTATAACAAGCCATCCACAGTATACTTTTCTTTTTTTGTCTAGGTATGCTAGGCACAAGCCCGGAATTGTTTTTCAAATTACTTCAGGCTAGATAGACGTAGGGATTGCAGCATTATCACATGGATTGGTGATTTGGTAGGATTTCAACCCAGCATTCCAAGTAAACTAATTACATCTGGGGGTTTTAATTAGCATAAAACTATTACTGTATGCTAAATCCCAATGAAAAAAAAAAGACAGAATCAAATTTTAATTTAGCTAAAAAGCAAAAAATCTTTCTCATAAGCCATTTTAAAGCTAATATGATTTTGTCTATATTATATTTTAGCTGCTGTTATTGGTGAGCGTAAAAGTCAAACCACAGGTTTCAATGACTAGAGGCATTGGGTATACTCGTTATGTATACTCAATGCTAGAGGGTAGACAAATTCTGTGCAATTAGCCCTTAAAAACTTTAGCAAGATCATTAAAGTCTTATCTTATTTTTGTTTGATGCATACTTTTAAATTACTTAGTTGTTATTCATGACTGTATAATGTTGAATAATTATGACAGTTATTCGTTTTGAAATAACACCTGTAATACTTTGCAATTGCTCGAATTCGAGCAACAGGTGCACTAGTTTTAGCTATTGTTTGTAGTAAAAATGTTTTTCGTCAATTATAAAATGTCTGTTGCACTGTGGGTGCGATACTCCCTGATGTGGATTAACGTCCGCACTAGTGAGTACTACGACTATCCACAGTACTATCCTGATATTTAAACCTATTTGTTAATTTCAAGGCAAAAATGTGGTTCAGATTCCACTATAAACTGTAGATCCCTTAGTTGCCATTCATGGGCTATTAATTAACCGCTGTGTCTAAGAAATATGTCGTCCTTAGTCAATAACAAGACTACAAGATCGCGCCACTCATCCTACACTCATCTCCATTCTTACTTGGCTTAAAATACCTACCTTTTGTATGGTCGCGATTTCAATGTAAAGTATCAAATATTTTTTACAATTAAACCCAATTAAACAAAACCTAGCAAGGCTCGTTCCCCTGGTACCGGGTTAAAATAGCAAAGTTTTTTTTTTGGCAGATGTCAGAAACTTTCAGTAAACTTTGAGGGTTATGACATTTTACTATAGCTATTTTAAGAATTCCTAATAAATATTTACAATAATTACTTTGTGACTAGATTTTTCCTTGACCTCAGAACTGAGAATTGGTAGTAATTGTACGCAATGCGATCTGCATTGGTTTGTTTGTAAATTTCACCCAGCGCTCATGAAACGTCTTTAATTGATAGAGATATGTGTGGATGTATGTGTTGATGTATGCTTGTTGATGAAGACGTTTCTCAGATTTTATGGACTTAATTTGATGTTGGATTTGGTAATGAGTCATACAACCCAAAGCTTATTATTATCTGACTACTGTATAAGACTGGCGTTTGACAATATACATTAATTTTTTATACATATTTCAATTTTTCATTCTTGGTGGCAAGAATGTTTTAATCTTTGATCCCACTTAATATGGGAATATCTGTCAAATTATTATTGATTTATAAAGAAATAGCACTATGAAGTTATGTTAATAGACAAAAGTAAGGGTGCAAGACGACACGGGTTAAGACGGGACTGAGCGTAATGTTTCATTTAGCACCAGCCCTCTGCCACAGTGTCAGGCCTCGGGTACGATACTAGCAGCGAGCGGCACCGCTCTGACATCAGGTCTCATTTAGTTGCATGTAAATTTGTTAATGATTAACAATTGACTACGATACGTCTGATTGGTATGCGACCTATAAGCTGCGCCACCAAGCTCCCCTCATGGTTTCAAGTCCTGACCAAATTTCACCAAACGCCCCTCAGTTGAGTTATGCTTCAGTTTTGTTCTAAACCATGTGCTGTTGTAAATGTGCCCTTTTTAATATTCCATCTCAATCTGCTTAGAATGTAGTCAAAAGTAGGGATGGACATTTTCGTGTAAGTATTCAAAGAACCTATTGCCGTCTTCCCTAAAACTACAGATTTAGATGGTATTATCATAGATAAAACATACGGAGTATTATTCTTTAAACACTCTTCTCCTTTTGAAAATCGGCTGTAGCCCCATTGTGTCCTGAGCTTATTTATAAAAACTAAGTTTCCTTGGACAGACAATTAATTGTCAGATAATAAAGATAGATGCAACACGTCCTGCTGGTCCGCACAGCTAGCCATCTTGAACTACACTGTCACCTAGAATGGGGGGAAATTCGATGAGCGATTGGTGCTGACTTACGAGTGCTACTCGTGTCACCGCTACACAGCGCCACTAGTTATTAAATAATTAATTATTATTATTTCCCCCCCCCTTTTTGTTTCTTCTTACTTTTATTATGTTTATAAATATCTTGCTTCATGATTTGTGTATTTACTCATTTATTTTTGCGAATAACAAACTATGTTGTGTTGCCATGGAGACCAGGTATCACAAAACATCAGCTGCAGTAAAATAAACAAACAAACTTTTTTCTATGTTATTACTTTCAACCCTTTCAATGCCTTTTTGTATTTTCCAAAAAATGCTAGATTTATTTGCTTATTTCGTCCGAAAAGTGCTAGGCTTGCCACCGGGGCTAGGTCTAGTGTGCGAGAAAAAATTCGGTAAAAATAAAATTTGTCATCTGAAAAGTGCTAAGGAACAATATATCGGGCCTCAATCATATTAGGAATCAAAAGAAACCATCGCTGTTTCGAAACTACAACCGAGTCAACCGATATGCTCATTTAAACTCACATGATCGAAAGTCCCCCCGGCACGATATATCGTCGCTTAGCACTTTTTGGATGCAACGCAAACAACGATATATCGTTCCATAGCACTTTTAGGAAAAAGACTCACAACAATATATCGTTGCATAGCACTGAAAGGGTTAAATAGAAGTACATAAGCCTAACTTGTGATTTTTCTACATAGGGAATCAATTGAACTTTATAATAGTAGTGTAATTTGGTGTTTGGATTAATCTTGGAATTTTTAAATCAAGTTTACTTTCAAAAATTTTTTTTTAAATGTTTATTTTTTTAATCTTTATAATTTTTTTGGTTTTACTATCGAATTACCACTTTTTTGCAGACAATTTTACTGTGATCAAAATGGCAAAAGAATTATTAATTTATTACCTATGGTTTTCTTTCTATAGAAATTTGAGTAAAAGTCTACAAATTCTGTAAAATTAATTGCCCACAGAGGGTGCTGCAGGCAGAACAATAATTCCATCCCCAATGGGTTAAGAAAATTGCCGCTTGTAGCCACCACCACCGCTTATGTGTCAGGATGCTTCTTGCCGCCCGAAGCTCGTATCGTACCCTAGACCTTATTATCAATTTGACTGCAACAATATCCCATTTATACCTCTGGGCTCAACACATCTTCATGAGGGATCACCTTTAATTACAACAGAAAACCAACTATACAAATTTTTCTTTCAACTTGTGATTTATAATCCAACTAACCTTTTTTGGTTTTCTGTAAACTTGGAACGTAAGGGGCAGGCAACGTACGGTTCAGAACTGCATGCCAATCGGTTCCCTTGAACCAGTTGTGAGCCTTCACCTCTCTGGCTCCCTTGGAGTAGTTGCCCAATCTCTTTTCAGGAGAACTTGTGATCAGTAGCTTGACCAGACTCGTGAGAGGTTTGGAGAAAGTCGGGGGGAGATCAAATTTCATTTCAAGGATCATCTTGTAAAGTTTGTCGGTGTTGGAGTGTTTGAACGGGCGGCGGCCAGCGCATATCTCGTAGAGTGTCACCCCAAGAGCCCACCAATCCACTGCGCAGTCGTAGCCTTGCCGGTTGATTATCTCTGGAGCCATATACTCCGGTGTCCCTGTCAGAGTCCAAGCTCTGTCTCTCCCATCCACACGAAGACACTGACCAAAATCTGCTAACTTGATGTAACCAAACGCATCCATCATAATGTTCTCAGGCTTCAAGTCTCTATGGATGAGTTCCAAGTAATGCAGATATTCAAGAGCCAGAACAAGTTGAGTTACATAAAATTTTGCGTGGTCCTCTTTCAAAGGTTTGAACTCAGCGAGGTAGTCGAAAAAATCACCTCCAGGTACAAAAGGCATGACAAAATATAAATAGTTGTAGTCTACAAAGAAGTACCGTAAGTAAATACAAAATGGGAAATTAATACTTTGAAGAATCCTTTTTTCATTGTTGACGTACCGGAAATGCCTTCCCTTTATGACAGCTTTTTTATCGATGACCTTAATAGCATACAACTGATCATCTTTCTTCAATTCGGCTAAAACAACTTTTCCAAAAGCCCCTGAACCCAATTTACGAACTATTTTGAAGTTGTCTACCTTCAAATCAGATATTGTTCTGTCGTTGTAAAGGTGCTTAAAATCGACTTTTGATTTTTCCAGGAATTCCTGCAAGTTTGGTATGTTTAGTGGGCCAATACTTTGAAGTTTGTCTAATACTTTGTTATATTTGCTAATGAGGCTTTTCTCTTCAGGTTTTATTTGAGAAGGTGATTTAAATAAATAATCTCCACTATCTTTATTTGCACCAGCCAAGAGAGCTTCTTTAGCTAAATTCATTTAATATTATTAAAGTTTGATCGGAACAAAGAATTTACAGCCAAGACTAACTTTGCAGGTTAGAGGATTAAAATTTGTTTATTTTATGTTTCAAGTTGTGGTAATTTTCAAAGATAGCTAATAGACAAGTAACAGCTGATCTTTGCTGAAAGCTAGAAAAACAATGTTCTGATAGCACTTCTAACTACTTTGCTGAAATTCAGTGTGTTATTACAAAAATATCAAAATAGCAATAACAAATCAGCTGAACCAAAACCACAACATTGTGAATTTAGAATCAAAATTTTTGTTTACTAATTTTGAAGATTGTAATTCTTAATACTAAACGTGTAATGGTTTGTGTGTCAATGGCTTAGTGTTTCTAACTTTAAGAACAATAATTTCTTTCAACAACTCATGATCAAATGCATCCAAACCAAATAACAACTACCAAATCAAACATAAACAGCTCAAAACATAGACTATCTGTAAATGAACACAATGCAAGTAGTGATGAGGAAACTATAAACAAGGTAGTGGAATTAGGAGAAAATGAAACATTGGTCCTAAAAGCTGGTGATACTAATTTAACATCTGTTGTTTTAGAGGAGAATCAAACATTGAATGGATTAAAAGAACAAGTTACTGCTCTTAGGGATGCCCACACCCTACAAGTGCCTCTACAAAGACCTTTAGATGCATCCAAACGTCAAAGTTTATTAAGTTTAAAGAATCAAGTTGCGGGTCAAAAAACAGCTGGAAACATTGTTAAATCAACAGACGTAAACAAAAACAATAAAACTATTGAAGCCAAACCACAAAATGAGCACGAAGCATCAGTTTCTACCAAAGAAAACATAGAACCAAAATATGGAGGATACCAGAATGGAATTCACCAACTATCTAAAACAAATCTACAAACTATGCTTCAGTTTCAATCAGATTTATCAAACAGTATGAAACTTTCAAATGAAAATGAGATGACAGAATCTAGTAGGAAAGTTTCCAGTCAGTTTTTTAGAACATCTGATAAATCTAGGCCAAGTTATGTTCCCCGTCAAGGTCCAGCTCCACAGATCAAAATAATTGATTCTGCTTACCGAGCGTCAACGTCCACACAGTCACGCAAACCAATCAATGCAAAGTTCTCTAAGACATTGGCCTTGGCAGAGTCCACTGCTACATTAACTCGTCCAGTATCTGCTTTGGATAAGCTCAAAGCAACAGAAAGAACATCAATACCAAAAGCTGTGGAAGAATTCCATGAAGAATTCGGTGAACATACATATGTGAGAGCAGCAAAAAAACTGTCCAGTTGTGGGCCACTAAAAATCTGTGATTTGGATGATTTCTTAAAAAAATCCAAGACAGATTTTGAACACTTGTACACCAAAAAACCTATCAGTAGCCTCCAAATAACAGATTTTAGTTTGACAAAAACGTTAGGTGTGGGAGCATTTGGAAAAGTGGTGCTTGCAGAGTTGAAAAAGAATAACACTTTGTATGCTGTGAAAATCATTGAAAAAGTGGGAGTAGTAAAGCGAAATCATGTCCGATATGTAAGCAATGAGAAAAGAATTCTACAAGCTCTGAACTTCCCGTTTGTCATAAGCCTCAAATACTTTTTCACTGATTTATATTATTTGTATTTCGTAATGCCTTACGTACCTGGTGGTAGCTTCCACAAACACCTCAAAGTTTGTCGGCAGATGAAAGAATCAGATGCAAAGTTTTACATCGGACAGATGGTCCTGGCTCTGGAGTATTTGCACCATCTAGAACTGATTCACAGAGATGTAAAAACAGATAACATCATGATCGACGCTTTTGGCTATTTAAAACTGGTTGATTTTGGTCAATGTGTTCGGTGTAGTGGAACCGAGAAAACCTGGACTTTCACTGGAACCCCAGAGTACATGGCACCAGAGATCATTGTCGGTAAAGGCTACGATTGCGCCGTCGACTGGTGGGCTCTTGGCATCATCATCTACGAACTCTGCGCTGGATATCGTCCTTTCAAACACGAAAATCCTCGTAAACTACAGTTGCTAATTCTTTGTAAACAGTTTTCTTTACCAAATTGTTTTAGTCGGTCTTTAAAAAAGTTGATTGAGAGTTTACTAATGCTCGAGCCTAAAAAGCGCATTGCAAACCGAATTAAGAAAGCTTCAGTGATTAAGAAACATGTTTGGTTTGCGAATTTGGATTGGTTGGCTTTACTCAACCGTACTGTTGCGGCTCCTTACTTACCTAATTTAAATAGATCATCTCCACACCAACAAAGTTAACAACAGGATTAAGAAGAATAAAATAGATCACTGCATTGAGAACAAATCAGTGGTTGTTTCTTATTAGCATTAAACCTGCCTTAGCATGATTCACACATTTCTTAAGAAAACAGAAAATACCAAATTTAAGTCATATGGTATTAACAGAGGGGGTTCTACGACCTTGTCGAGGGGTTCCTTATAAGGAACATTAATCAACGACTTAAACATATCCTAAAAAACTATACAATAAAAATACCCCGCTGCAGTAAACATGCAGAATAAGGGAATTTTCATTCACCAGATTTGATTTTCACTTAAATCTACCTATTTTAATAACACGAGGTTTAAAAAGTACCTAGGTTTGCTGCTACAAGGAGGGTAATGTAGTGTTTTGAGTAAAATAATAATAGCTTGGTATAAAATAAACAAATTTCCCAAGTTTGATCAAAATATAATAAACAAGCAAACTATTCTATTGTATGAGTTGTTAACTTATCCTCCATAATTTTTTCAGAATATCCTCCGTAACCAATAAATGTGCAAAAACACCCCATTGTACTAAATTATTTTTTTTAAGCTCTACAAAATGGTTTGGAAAGAAACTGCAAAATGTTATGTTTTTAGGGTAAAAATGGGAATAATTAATTTTTACCCTATAAATCCCAGTTCACATAGTCGGATCATGCTGGTTCCCGAAACTTAGGTTTACACGTTTGGACCAAATTTAATCAAAATCAAAAGATTTTTGCTCCACCTACTGTGCTAGCGAACTCACAATACAAATGTATAGGTATTATAATAAAATATAATAGTTATATAATAATTTTTAAAATATATATAAATGATATATTATGTAAAAGATGAATTTGAACGGATGGTGTTTTTGGCCTCTGGGGGACAACCAAATGAAAAAGTAAATCAGTCCCGGGTCCAGGTCTTACCATGAGACCTACGGTAATAGATTATTCCCTGTATTGGATAATTACAAACAAACAAAATTAAATTAGTGCTTTTTAAGTTGAGAAGAAAATAAAACAAACCCCTTCTAAACAACATTAGGTATATTAAATTCTATAGTATTTAAAAAAATAACACTGTTCAATAACGCAATTACCTGTATGAGCATGATTAATTGCCAGTGACAAATAGTAACATAAAATTATCTGTTGGCAATATATTTTAATGTTAAGACACTGACATTTAAGCTCATACAGGCAATTTACAATATTAAAAATATCCACAACCAAAAGCTAGTCACAAATAAAGTAAATAATAAAGTTTTTGATTTAACAACACAACAATCACAAATAAAGTAAATAATAAAGTTTTTCATTTAAAACACAACAATAAAGTCTAGTTACATTTTGTTAACAGATTTATACATTTTTAATAAGGTAAAACATGAATATATTATCTAAATTTTCCTAATCGGCTATTAATAATACTCAGACTTAAGTTTTATTACAGGTCCATCACATCAACATGTGGTATTATCACATTAAGTCAAGCTGAAGGCTCTTCTCTTCAAAGGGCATTGATTATCAGTAGCAGTGTGCAGGGTCTCCGATTCCTTGTAGCCCATGTCTGTACAGTTGACACATCTCCAGCTGTCCGAGCTGCAACTGCTGTCTTGGTGGAAGCCCGCGCAAAGTCTACAGCGAATCGCCCTCTCACATTGGCCAGAAAAATGTCCAAACCTCCAACACTTAAAACACTGAACCATGTCTTCGCCTTCTTTGGCCTTAATCGTCATTTCCATCACAACCACACACTCAGCATTTACAATCTTTTTTCCTACAAACCAGGGAAGCCGTACCAGCCAGTTGTTTTTACCCCTGTCCTTACAGTAAGAGTTAGGACACTTAAATTTAAAAAAAGCTTTACTCAGCTCCTCAAATGTAAGTTGGCCACAGTCCACATTACGGTAGATTTCTTTAACTAAAATCGTAGACTCCAGTTTCTTGGGTAAACCGAAGAGTAAAACCAACATATATGGTTGTGGTGATGAGTTAACAGACGCACAAAAGCCGTTTATTTGCTTCTCTTCTTTATCATTCTCTTCCTCACTTTCAAAATCCTTATAGGTATGGATCCAGCGCATCAAAGCTTCCCAGGCTTTTTCTATCCTCCACAAGCGCCTTTTGAGTTTCCTTGTTTCTTTTGTGTTGTTCTGCTCTAACACTATTTCGACTAGATCTTTAGCTTCTGTCATAGTTGACTCAAAGTCTTGTTCACTTAGGACGTTTGCCTCACCCATTTTTTTTTACCAGATAGACTCACATAAGATATGCCTAGTCATTGAAAATAAAATATCAGCTAGGTCTTCTCTATTTTATTAATCTGTTGCATTTAGAACCTGTAACACAAAACAGATAGGACTTAAGTGACCTAAATGTAGGATTTCATTACAATAACAATGTTGACATACTTGGGATCGTGTACAAACTATTTGACAAGTAAACAAAATCCTACACTCTGATACAAGCTATGTCTGCTTGTCTGTCTGTCTGTCTGTCTGTAGTATATAGGTATATATATAACGTCAGATTTAATTTTAAAAATTTACATCTTACTACATGTTATAGTCTGCTGTAGAACAAAGAATAATATAACATAACGATTTTACAAGTTTGTCCCAACCTAACTGTGATGATTATTATCTATCTATCTATACTATTATAAAGAAGAGGTGGTGTCTGTGTGTGTGTTTGTATGAGCTAATCTCAAAAACTACTGGTCGGATCGGGCTGAAATTTGGCATGATGATAGCTCTTATTCCCGATTAACATATAGGCATATTTTTATCCCAAAAATCCTTCGGGGCTCCGCCCCAGTGGCTCTGGAGTTTCCCATGTTAACCTTATGAGAAATGGAATTAATGAATCTTAACAGCTGTTTCAATTAAACAAGTTGGTTCTGTTCTATGATGTTCAATAGCATTAAAAGTTACAAGGATTACCAACAGGGTGCAGCACTAGCACTATTATTTCTTTTACATTTATGACAACAGCAAAAGGTGAGTGAGCGTAGCGAACGAACTTCAACCTGGAGGCGAGTGAGCGTAGCGAACGAGCTAACCTGAAGGCAAGTGAGCGTAGCGAACGAGCTAACCTGAAGGAAAGTGAGCGCAGCGAACGAGCTCCAACCTAAAGGTGAGTGAGCGTAGCGAACGAACTTCAAAAAGAACCGAAATTTCTTAAACCATGTCCTCACTCATAACTGCTATAAGCATTTGATACTTATATGCCAACCCCGTACGAAGGACGGGTACTCTGCTAGTCTATATATAAAGCCAAAAGTACCCATGAACTTTTGAGAAAACTACAAGTCACACCCCCATAAACCATATACTTAAAATGTTCGTCATGACGAGAAACCTTGCGCAAAATTATCCATTATTTCATAAATTGCCCTATAAGGTCGTAATTGCTTTCCAAAGGGAACTTTCCATTTACCTAATGTTAAAAATACCTCAGCTGTTATTATTTGTTTGCATTACCATTACTGTATTCTGTTTTGTTTATTTCATCTTAACTTAACCAATCAATAGTTTTATTAATACTAATGTAGTAAAACGGGGTGGAGCCCGTGGGTAACAACTAGTTATTATAAAGGTGGTTTCTTATAATGAGCATTTTATGGCTGTCAAAAATATTAAATATAACACTTCATTTTCCAAATTGAATTTCTTCCCAAATGATTGGCCTTGTTTAGGAATTGTTTCTGTTGAACCAATAAGTAGTCCATAAACTTCAAATTTTCATACTTTATATTTTTACAAATAATAGGGGATTGTTTTCTTAAATATCTTCACTTTTTCTTCGGGAACTTCCATTGGCTGGCTTTTGTTTGTCTCGTGACAAATTGTTGGGTCCATCGATAATGAGACCGTACGTACTCTTCCCTTGTCAATAGCCAATGATATCACCCCGCCTCATAGAGTCATCTTCTTCTAAAGCTGTGACTTCTCATCAATGGTTCATTGAAAAGGTGTCATAGAAAAAATAAGTTACTAAAAGCCTCACTAAACATTCAACATCCTTATCTCTTTACACACAACAATGGACTATCAATCCTATACTTTACTTGATAGATTTCACGTCTAGCCACTGAGAGGTATGGTACATAAAAACTGCTCTGTAGCTCAGCAGTTAATTTAATGGCTATAATAATGGAATTGAAACTGTAGCCCCAATGAAAATTTTAAAAAAAATAGGCTATTTAAAATAAGCATTATTTACAAAACACGACAAGATGCACAATGTCTTACTTATTGACTGGTAATTTCAAAACACGAGGAGACGCACACGGTGTAATTGACCAGAACATGACAAAATGCTGTCGCAAGACTAGAAAGGGTTTAAGGATGGCAAAAAAACGGGTCACAGTATTCCTGGAATATGGAGTGTTATGCACTGTAGCCTAAAGGCTGACAATACCAAAAACCAATAAATATACTTTTTACACAAAAAAGTACAAACCTGGTCATTTAGACAGCTATGTGACCTGGACCTCTCCCGGGTTAAAAAACTGAATTCCCAACATGAACATTATCATAGACTAACCAAAACTGAGGGAACATTAAGTTATGGCATTATCTAACAAATTTACAAAATGCCACCAAGTTGGTAATTATATCAATCACGGACATCTCGCTAAAATTATATGTTTTTCACTAGGCCCTATTCTTTTGCTAAATAACGTTTTGAATTCAAAATGGGTTGTCATTTTCCCCGGAACACCGTTTCCCCGAAAAAGCGGAAAACAACATTTTTGCGGAAATGGTAACCGGTAGAGTGAGCTGAACAAGAATGTGCAAGAATTTTCAAGATTTGATAGATATTAACGGAGACACGGTCGGAAAAGTGCCGTTTCCCCGGAAAAACGGAAAAAACAACATTTTTGCGGAAATGGGTCATGAGGTCTTACTCAAATTAACCGGTAGAGTGAGCTAAATGTGCAAGAATTTTCAAGATCCGATAGATATTAACGAAGATATGGTCGGAAAAGCGTCGATAAATTGAGTTAGCTCCAAAATGACCAAAAATAGGTAAGGTTAGGTTG